CTGTTTTATAAATTTGTCCGATTATTATTTTTTTCTTTTTTGTTACCGGATCGGCTTTGATATTCACTGATCCAGATAATCGGTGCTTTACAGTACCCAGATTAAAAAACTTTGATTATAGACCAAAATTTGCTAACAACTTAAAACATAAAATTTTAAATAAACAATGTAAAATTTTTCCAGTATTAAATAAACCCAATTTATACTACTTATTTCACATACTATACTAATATATTTTGAAATAACATTTAACATAATTGAATATTAATTTTAGTGCAGATTAATAAGTTACTGTTATATACTCAAATCTATTATTGAATACATCTACCCTCTAAAATGAAATGCATATTATGGCACTTGTGTATTGCACATACAGATTTATAAAACAGTGATATCATAATGAATATGTAAAAATATTTCATTAAGAAAAAAAATATATAATACAACTATTTAGCTAAAAAAATATTCAAAAAGTAAATTGTCTTAGAATAGAAATTTTAGAAAAAAATCTATGCAAATTAAGAACTTCTTAATACAATAAAAAATAACAGGGTTTGAAAACTTTTACACGTCCTACCAAGCATATTAATCTACAAAATATGACCCAGAAAATTTTTTTACAAGTCCAAACATCTTTTTTCAAGTGCACAGAAGTGTATTATTTATTAATCTGCCAAAATAATAATATTTCGAACATTTTATCTACACCATTTTTATTTTAATTGTAAAACAGAATTAAGTATTGTTAAAAAAAAAAAAAGTATTAAGATCGAATAAGCAATGGGGAAATTGCTTTGCATTGCTCATTGATTATTTTATACAAATAATCACTGATGGTCTAAATGCAGAGCATTATTATTTTAAGAAGTATTCAATATTTATCAGTAGGTGCATTTCTTCTCGTATCTTATAAATTCTTGTTTATGTAATTAAATTTAGTAACATTTAAGTTTTAAAAAATACTATCAATTTTCGTTTCGCTTTGATACTATAGGCTGATTTTGTCAAATTTGAAGAGGTGATGCGTTGGTTTTTATATATAAATATTTATATGCCCAAACAAGTATGTAAGGATAAAAATTGCATAAATGTTTGGAATTTTTACATGACATGGGTATTAGAATTTTCAAGTTCTGTAAAACTAAGAAAAGAAAATTGTTCTTTTTAGACTTTAGTAAGATCTGTAAATCTTGTTAAAATATTATTTACATTTATTGCTAAGTATATGTGTACAGTGTGCAAAATAAAAATCAAACCATCCAGAATAATTTTTGATCTGATCTTCATGTTCTAAGATTCATGCTTAATGGTTCGAGGGGCTGACTTCAAATTCATCAATAATGCTAATTAATTAGCGCAAACGATATTTTAAGTTGCAAAATCAGACACAAAAATCTCTGAATAAACACACTTTTTTTTAAACAGATTTGGATTTTCGACCCCAAAAATATAAGGGGTAGCCGTAATCTGGGAAATATCACTATAGGTCAGTGAATTTGAGTGAAATTGGTTGAATAGTTCTTGAGAAATCAAATTTTAAAAATACGAATTTTTTTTAAATTCAATTTCTCAGGAACTATTGAACTGACTTTACTCAAATTTTGTCTTGAAAAATTATGTTCCTTAAAATGATGTGAAAAATTGAATAATTACAATTCAAAAATATTTGAGACTATTATTAAATAAAATAATAAAAATTAATAAATATTTGCCAAAAGTTGTTTTTTTCACAAGGTATTATCCTTAGATAAACAAATTTTATAATTGTGCGCAAAATCTTTTTCATTCACTTAAAAAAATCTCTAGATATGGCAAACTATGCAAAAAGCCAAATAAACATTAAGGGGTCCAAACTTCAAACCACTCTCCTGATCAAACTATTGGGACTATATTTCCCAGATTGCCCCTACCCTTATATATTTGGGTTCAGAAATTTAAATCTGTCCAAAAAAAGGTATGTTTATTCAGAGAAAGTGCATTTTTGTGTCTCATTTTGTAACTTAAAATATCATCTGCACTTAAAATATCATAGCATATTTGATATCACACCCTTAGACCATTAAGATTGAGTCCTAGAACGTGAAGATCCGATCATTAGATCAAAAATTATTCAGGGAGGTCCGTTTTTTATTTTGTACACTGTGCATAGCTAATATTAAATAGATTTTAAAAACTGTATGAAACTGAAATATGATCAATAATCACATTGCTATGCTATAGGAATGACATTAAGTAGACATGTAATGTAGGAAAACTTGTTTTTTTTAAACAGAATATCACTTAATATTATACAATAAAAATCAATCAACATTGTGTAATGATCTATCTAATATATCTATAATTAAGAATATATACAGCACATTAAACAAAGCAAATCTTTGTACAGATATTTGACTTAGTAGCTCAACAATTATTTATTATCACATGTATGGCTTGCTAAGTAATTTAAAGTACTATAATATTGCTTTTCGGAAAGTACACTGTACATGCAAGGCCAAGAATATTGATAAATCTAATAGGGGTGAATTATATTTATAAAATGAGTGATTCATCAACGTGAATAATTACATTTAAAACTATTAAGAAATGATTCATTATAAATGAATAGTAGTCTATAAAAATGCACCATTCCAGAATTTGTTCTATTTTTGAGGACTGTATTTTGAGAAATAAGAAGAAATGCTTAAGGTTTTTTTTTAAAGAACTACCTGAGCATTAAATATTTAAATAATATTTAAAAATCAATCAAAAATTATGTAAACTTGCCACATTTCTGTTCTTGTGTGTAGAATATAAGAACTGAAACTAGAAAGTAATTATTTAATTTTCAAACTTAATTTCAAAATTAATTTAAGTTCACATTTGAAAAAATACATAATTTAATGCATGAATAATATAATAATACTCATGATTATGATAATATTAAACATTTCCATTTTAACTGACTAGTAATGTAATGTTTGTATTTATTTACATTCATATAAAATAAAATTTACACATAACGATAAAAAGATTTGTACTAATACAAAATAAACATATTTATATTCTGATTAAAAACAAATGTCACGTTTAAATTTAAAAAATTTTAAGAGTTAAAAATGACATAAAGGAACTAAATAAAGGTATTGGAAGCAAATTTTTTTTACAAGGATTAAAAGATCAGCTTAATTAAAATACACAATTATAATTTTAAAAATAAACTTTAAAGATATTATTTAAATTTTAGAGATATTACTCAGTTTTTCATTACCATAATATTAGATAAACATTAGTACAGAAATGATTAGTACATAAAATTCAGTATCACCGATTGTTGTAAATTTTGTACAACATTGATTATAAAAAGGTTCTTTATTTTAATATTTTATGCATGAAACATAAGTACATAAGTGCACTTTGTATTTTATAATAAAATTTAATTCTTAAAAAAAAAATAACTTTCTGTGTTACAATTCAGAAAATGGAATGGGCATTTCAGTATCCTCTCTAGGGTTTCAAATACTTAGACCAATGGTTCCCAATTTTTTGCAACTATAAAAATCTAAAAGAGCAACAGAGCCCCTATTTTATAAATGAAGTTTTTTAGCAGTTGTGACAATTATTTTGAATGTATTTTAATGTAAAAAATAATTTTTTTTTTGCTTCATCCATAATAGCTTTAAAATTAGGTTTTATGTTAGGCAGTTAAATTCGTAAGTATATCTAATCTATTTAGAATTAGTTTTTGTTGCATGCATAACCTGAAATTGGATAAATAAGCGGATATTAGAATCTGGTGCGTATAAATACGTGTTATAAACATTGAAAACGATTATCAGATAAACATATACAGTAGAGCGCCGATTATCCGAACCCTTATTATCCGAATGTCCAATTATCCGAACTGTGTCTGAATTCGTTTTTTTTAAAGTTTAGAATACTTTTTAACCTATCGACAATTTTTCTAAATTGAGAAGAATTAATAATACCCCCTACATCTGAAGATCATATTTAATTTACAACCTTTTTAGCAAATTTCTTATAGTAGCCATATATGTATTGTGATACAGCTAAACCTACATACCCCTTTAGCCCTTTACAACAGAAAATTATCTTCGAAGAATGCAAGCTTCATTTTGATAGTCTACAATGGTTGGAATGCAGAAGGAGTTTATGAATTGATAAGTTCTGAAGTTCTATAATTGGGGAACGGGTAGTTGTAACTTATGTTTAATAATTAGTGATTACAGTGCTTGGAATCTTAAATCTTGGAATAAAATTTTTAACAGAAAAACAAACGAAACTGAAGTTTCTGAACCAGTAGATCTTTCGGATGAAAATGATGAAATTGTTGCTGAAATTTTGAATGAAAATCGGAACTCTACAGACGAAGCGAAAGTTTCAAGTTCAAGATAGTGTACCTTCTCATATAGAAGCATGCAATCCATTAGATTTCGCAATGAATTGGCTAGAACGTCAAAATGATGTTGATCCAGTTCAGTTGATTTATTTAAAAAGAATAAGGGATAAATGGCTGATAAAAAAAAACGATAAGGGATAAATGGCTGCTAAAAAAAACGCGTCTTCTTTGAAACGAGATCTTTGCTGGATTTCTTTTGCAATGGAAAATAATGAAAAATGTTTTAAAATCAGTAATTGACAAAAAAAATTATAAAAAACTGAAATATGATAAAAATAATTCAAAATGAAAAAAAAAAGTTTAAAAAAAATTTTATTTAAAATATTTAAAAATTGAAAAAGGAAAAAAATTTTAAACACGCCAGAGCTATTTTAGATAGTATTGCCAGTCCTAAGCCTACAAAAGGTGTGAAGGGAAGTTAATGCATAAATAATAATCATTTACACTAGATTTTAAGCAACTTTCCAATTATCCGAACCATGTTCGGTCCCGAGCAGTTCGGATAATCGGCGATCTACTGTATATCTTTTTTGATAAATTTGTTTCATACAAGCATATTCTTTTTCATAATTTATTCAATATATGAATATTAGAATATATCTATATTTTTCTAAATTTTGCTATTTATATATTTACTAAATTTTAGTTTAATTCTCATTAATGTAACCAAAATATTAAATAAATAATGGATAATTGCATAAATATGATTACAGATTTCAGAAATTATAATCAATTAAAAAAAAAAAAACTTTGGGAATCATGTAACCCTTACGCAAAACATCTTTTGGAGACCACTGATTTAGAACATTCTTTTCACATTTTGCATTAAAATTACAAAGATACAACCTTTAAATATATATATATATATTAATTTACATAATAATAGATAATTTTAAAATTATTAACAATCATGACTACTAAAATGACATAACTCATAAAAAGATATTAAAATATTAATGTAAAAAACATTTGTTAGATGATCTGACAAAAGGATTGTGCAGGTGAATATTTTTATAGGCTATACTGTGGCTATATTGTCTCCAGCTCCTGCAAATCCATGAGCAACATTAGACGTCTTATCAGGAACTTGGTTCACTTTTAAATAGTTGGATAGTTCTTTCAATATCACAGAAGAATGTTTCTTAGCAATCTCAGTTAAATCTAAAAAAAATAAAGTTTTTAAAAATTAATAGCTACATTACACAACATGTTAGTTATTCCGTCATCAGTCATTCTACTAGATTTTAGAAAGCTATGGTTCTTCCAAATTTCTGGGTCCCTTTTTACTATAAGCAAGTTCCTATTTAAAATATGAATTTTCTACTTTATCAAACTATTAATAAGCATATTTATAACTATTATGTCTACTGATAGACAAAACAAAGAATTTCAAATGTAATATTTGAACTATAAATGCGAAACTATTAAGGCTTTTAATTAGGATTAATCTAACACTTGAAAGAAAACTAAACTTAACTAATCTAGCACTTGAAAGGCTTAAAAGAAACAATGTAATTTGATACTTAGATATTAATCTTATTTCTCCCTCAGCTATTAATAAAGAATTGAAAAAGATTTTTTGGTATAGTTACTTAATGTTTGGTTATAATTTAGCCTGTGTAAATTTGCTGACGTACTTCTCTTTTTTTTTCTGCGGGAAAATTACTCATCTCAGGGGAAGCTTCATAACTTATTTGTCGCGTTCCCTTTACAATGTTAACGTATTTAACACAAGCGGAATCATGAATTACCAACTATTAATATATTATAGGCTTGAGTTTTAATAAAACAAAAGATATTAAAATTAGTTTTTACCTATTTTTTTATGCGTAAATTTGAAAACAAAGATTAATGAATGGAATTAAAGAGAAAAAAATTTATACAAACAAACTACATTCACACCTTCCCAACTTTTACCTCAGTTTTGTGAAATTTTTAACATCTTAAGAAGAAAAAAATGACACTTCGAATTTCCTATGCAATGTTAGAAAAAAACTCATCTAGGAGAATTTCTTATCTCGATAACTGTGTTAATTGATTTATTTTGTTCATTATTAACCCAAATTTTTTGACATTTCAATTTTTCTTGTATTTTCCAAAAATCAATAATTTTAATAAAAACTTATTGACTGAACATTATATTTTAGTTGGAATAAATTATATTCTAGCTAGAACAGGTCGCATTGACTATATATAGCTCTATAAATAACAATTTTATCTTCGCACGAGTAGTGTTTAAAATCGGCTGTACAAAGAACCTACAAGGACATGCATTGAGGGTCTAAGATTAAGAAGTCTAGATTTTGCCTCAATGGGCCTAGTTACAATTAAATATATGTCATATTTAGGCAGAAAAATATTGACTGAATCAGACAAATCAATATAGGGTCAATATGGGCTGAATAATTGCTATAAAATATGAAGTGAATAGGATAATTCTAAAGCCAATTTAAGCAAATTATTTGGAAATAGCACAGCCTTCAAAATTTGCACACCATCACTTTTAAACAAAGCCTTTAGTAAAAGTTTTACGATAAGAAGGATTTGGAGCAATATAATGCTTAGCTACACTTTTGCCAAAGGAAGGTGATATTTTTACATTAAACATGCTTCTTAGTAATATTTGATGGTTTCTTTACAGTTTTCCCCTAGATTTAAGCACAATACACAGAAAAGCAAGGAAGTTGTATTTTTTTCCCCAAAACCGCTCTTTTAAGAAATTTTCCTAAACAATTTAAAAACTTAGCTTATATTATACATACCTGTATAGCACATGCACCTAAAATATAACAATTTTTTTTTCAATGCCCACCTGGGTTGAAAGTTATCAATTCAGGCATACTTAGGGCAAATTTGTTGGCCACTCTTTCAGGGGCACCATATTGTGTGCCAATGTTGCTCCCACAGTAAGGACAGATAGCACAGAGAAAGAAAGAACATCCATGCCTTGTCCGGAATTCGAACCCAGAACCATTCTGTTGCAAGGCCAATAGACAGGGACAGTGATGACGTATTTCATGACGTCAAACGACGTGTCCTTCCAATCTCCGTTCCAAACATTCTGTTGAACGATCCATTTAAATGGCATTTCCTATGTTAATTTAAGACGGCAAGATTTTTAGTTGTTTATTGACATAAATAANTGTAATAGCCGGTAAAATATAATAACTAAAAACCTAAAAAAATAAATAAAAGAAAATGTATTACTATGATGAATGGTGAAATATATGGGCCCCCAAACTCCAAACCAATTCCTTTTTAGTTTCAAGTGAAATTTTGTTGTTTAAAATTGTAAAATGAGATGAAATATTTTGATTTAATTTGTAGAACAGAGGAGTTAGTTAAAAATCGTAATGAAAAAAACTATAAAAGCACCTTTAATAACAAATCCCGAGTCCATAATAGTTTTCTTTTGTTGATACCATATAACATACAACCTGAGGAAAATTCCTGCATAAAAATCATTGGTTACTTTGAAAACATCCATGCACCTGTTACACTCCCTGAAAATAATCATCACAGAAAAAATGTATAAATTCCATGAGAATGCATAACATCAATCACATTCAATCAGGAGAAACTAACTGACCTATTTAGAACTTCTTCCCGCATTGATTCTACAACTATTCTAGTAATATTAATCCCCATGGCACAAAAAGGAAAGTTCTGAAATAATATATAGAATGTTATTAATTATACAATTTTTTATTCAGTCAATAACACTTTAAGGGACAAAAATCACAAAAAATGATAATTTAAATGACAAACAAACACACACAAAAAAAAAACTAGAAACTATTTAGTTATTAGCGCACAAGCATTGCTGGATGAAACCGTTTTATTAAATCTAGACGTTAGACGTGTATTCATTACTTACTTTGTAAATCATTTAAAAAAGAATCTATTTAAATTGTGTTTTTGATTCTATAGACTCACCATTCTATAGAATGCCTACTTATTTTATTAAATGCCAAAAAAACTGGCCAGCAATGTGTGAAATAATTTAACACTTCCCACGCTGCCTAGGCTGTCTGGCAAAGTATGAATACATATTTTGGACAAAAATTTCTTCAGATAATGAAGACAGATAATGAAGACGGAATAATGAAGACCAATTTCATTATTCCGTCAAAATAACTTCAGTAATTTTGAGATATAAATATCTTTTAAATAATATTTTAATCATTACCTTTTCCATACTTTAATGAGCACCAATTATCCTTCTTTGGAAAGTCAAGGTACTATATACATGTATGTAACAGTTTTATTTTATTTTGCAACCGGTGTCGAACAGCCAACCCATTATTGGGTTCATTTCTATCAATGTTTATCTCCATAGCCCTGTCATTTAGAACCCAACACAGAAGAAGGAAGGAACTCATGGATCAAGTATTGAGACAAACTAGCCTTTAGAGGGGACTTTTTGACTTAAACTAACCCATATTTGCATTACACGGAAGAAAAAAACCAAGAAAACTTCAGACAGTTAGCCTGATGGCTTTAATCCACAATTCATCAATAATTGAGAACATTTTATGTCCGCATTGAGTTCGGTGCAAGACAGGAGCAGAATTTGTATCGACCAGCCATTGCTCGAATCCACACCTGGGACACCTCATCAAGGGACGGGCCCTCTACACCTACGAGCCACCGTGGTTCAGTATGTAATACTAGTTGTCATGCTCCATATTTGTCTAAAAATGATAGAAAATCAATAAAATGCTCACAAATTCTGCAGAATACTGATGTATCATAAATTGCCAGTAACATTTAGTTTATAAGAAATTACTGTTATCCACAATTTTTATAAAAGCTTTATGAAATTTATATTAATCTGATGGAGAGGAGGTGGAGCGGCTCTGGGAAAAGAGCGCTAATCTTCTAATGAGGTTACCTAGTTTGAATCTCAGTGTTAGCTGGTCGATACGAATTTTACTCCAGCATCACCAGCCACAGTGGTGATGTAACAGATCATAGGTTAGAATCTAACTAACCATGGGAGGTTTCCTGATTTTCATCACCATATAATGCAAATGGGAATTAGTTCCATCAAAAATTCCTCCTTGAAGGCCAGTTTTTCTCAATGCTTGCTTCAAGAGTTTTTTAGTCTTTTGGATTGGACACAAAATTATAAGGCTACAAAGTTGAACATTCATAGCCGCAACCTCAAAATTGGGTCTGCTGTTTAATGTCGGTTAAAAAATAAAATCTGCAGGAGAAATTTTTTGATCATCCTAAAACTTAATTTTTCAAACAAATAATAAAATATTTTTTCTTAGTTAAATGATAAATAATTTAAAGTTTAGCCGTCTATCAATTTTCAATCCAAAGGCAGAGAGTAAGGCAGCAAATGATATGCTTTGTTTTAGTTTATTATACAAACCATATTAAGATAAAAGAACTACATTTAGAGCTGGTGGAATTTTTTTAAATTATTTAAATTTACAAATTTATTGAAATTACACAATTCCAGATTTTTATTTTCAAACATAAAAATTAGAATAACATTTAGATTTTAAAAAAAAAAACTATAACATAATGGTGTCATGCACCTATTATGCTGAATCAACAATTATCTAAATCAAATTATTAGAAGATCAAATGTTTTATTTTTTAATTATATTAATAAAAATTATGACATCACCTAAAAACAGCTGAGATACTGATTTTTTTCAAAATTTTTTTTTAATGTAAAAACACCATAAACACCTGAATAAATAAATTATGCTTCATCTTTCATGTCCAATTGCAGTGTTCTCCTAAAGCGTTTTTAGAAGGGAGGCCGGCCCTATCTGCCTTTTCATACCTTTATATGCACTCTCTTTGCCTTTTTTGTAAAAATAAGCCACCATCCTTTCAAAACACTGCCTTCTTACTCCAATAAAATATTCCAATCAAAAAAATAAATAATTCATTGCTTAAATAATAATTATACACTGATAAAATCATCTGTGTTTGAAGTTTTAATTCTGCTTATTATTACAAATATTTATTTTGTTAGGATTATTCTCAACTGGTTTAATTTTTATAAAATTCTCTTTTTTTCAGGGGTATATTAATTAATGTTTTAACTAATTTTAAATTCTGAAATTATTTTTTAAATAAATACTTTTTTCTAAAAAAATGCACCTTTAAATGCTCATTTTTTTTTATAATTTTCAGTTTAAATTATAGAAAAAGTTTCAAATAATTAAGTTTAATAAAAAAAAATATTAGGTTTATCAATCAAACATTTTTTCTTAGTTTACTTTTTTTGAAAAAAAAATTATGCTCAGAGATTGTCTTTTAGCATGCCTTCAATTATTTTTTACATACTATAAATTTTTATCTTGTTTTATTACTATGTGAGAACTACTTTTTGAAATATCTATATAAAATAATATAAGAGGGTACTTAAAATATATTGTTGAGGATCAAATTCAGTTATTACTTAATATTACGCAATTTGATAAATTTTTAAGGTGTTAAGTGAGTGCCCTTTTCCTTGAGGAGGTAGCACCCTACCCTTTTTTATTCCTAGGGAGAACTCTGCAACTATAAATAATTGCATTATATTCTTAATCCTAATTTCTTATAAAAGATTATAAAGATTATAAAAAGATTCTAAAAAAGATTATAAAAATTAAAAAGAACCTTAATTTTAATAACTTTTAAAACAGTAAAAGAATAAAACATTTTAAAAAAAATCATACATTTTAAGTATATACATTTTCTTTAAAGAATTATATTATTCTTTGACTTCATGCAGTACGTCAGTAAAATTATTTCAATACAGACAATTTATGAATTGTTCAGAGAAGAAAAATCACACATACTTGCTTCTCATTTTTAGCAAGAACAGAAATTGATTTGGCAAGATCAGCAGTGGCTGGATTGAGAGCAAAAGACAGTAAGTGTATGAGACCAAGAAATCCAACACCTCGTAAATCAGTTCCTGGATCGATGCCTACATAACGTAAAATTCGTTAGAAGCAGTAATATGAAAAGAAAATATACAGTTGCTAATATTTAATTTACAATGACGACATAAATACATAAAGAGTATTAGGATAGATTTTAAATAGCTCTTATAATGTGGTTATAAATTTGGAGCAGCAAAAAAAAAATTAACATGTAAGGCCAAATTTTAAGTATACTAATAGAAGTCAAGGGAGTGCGCTCCAATGGCGCAGTCAATTTTGGAATCACTCACACCCCTGGCATATTTAATTTTATACCCCTCATTGAACAGCCGACCAAATTTTTGGGTTTACGACTACTAATCTTCCATTCCATAGCCTTGTAATTTTGAACCCAATCGAGAAGACAAGGGAACTGCTAGATCAAGTATTGGGAGAAATTCGATGGAACTAACCCGCATTTGAGTGACATAGAGAGGAAAACCGCGAGAACCTCCCACGGTTAGCTTGACAGCAAAAGGACTAGAACCCATGATCCGCCTACCACTGAGGATATTTCCGTCAGCACTGTGGTCGTTGCAAGCCGGATGCGGAATTCGTATCGACTGGGATTCGGACCCGGTTCGCTCCATTGGAAGGCGAACGCTCTATCCCCTGAGCCATCGCGGCTCTGGATCAAGTATTTTATTTTATATTTTATAATCGTCGTTGAAAAGCCGACCCGATTTTAGGTTTACGACTACTAACGTTCAACTTCGTAGCCTTGTCATTTTGAACTAATCCAGAAGACAAGGAAACTCCTGGATCAGTACCCCTAGACGTATGATTTGTTATGGGAACATGGAGGACTTTGAGACTCAACGGATTTAACGTGCATCAGTCACCATTTACTACACGGGGAGTCATCGGCCGGCGAGGATCGAACCCACGATCTCTTGGACATGGGTCCAGGGCCCTATCAACCAGATGGAGCTTTCTGGTGGAACTAACCCGCATTTGTGTTACATAGAGAAGAAAACCGCGAAACCCTCTCGCCGTTAGCCTGACAGCAAAGGGACTGTAGCTCGGTCCGAGCTGGGTGCAGAATTCTTATCAATCAGCCATCGCTGGGATTCGAACCCAGTTCACCTCATTGGAAGGCGAACGCTCAGCCACCACAGCTCACACCCCTGGCATAGAGCTGGAGCTTATGAATTCCATCTTGGCAGCTGACATTACAACCTATATATATATGCAGCAAGGCTCACGTTAAATCAATCATGCCTGAAAGTCCTCTCGTTGGTTGTTTGGAGAGAGGGTTACAAAGTCAAGCACTGTTCACGTTGTCTAACCAGGGTCAAAATAAAATGGCATTTCCACCATGACCATTAAAGGATAGAGCCCAGTAAAATGAAGTTGCTTATCCGGGGTTAGGTGATACGTAGAAGTCATGGCATCAAAATTATGATCTCTGAGGTATGGCAATTAAATTATGGTCACTAAAAATAATATTGATTATATTAGATTGATTGATTTAAGACCAAATATCTAATAGATAAAAATTTATTGTTTCGGAATATAGTATGAAATTAAAAAACTGATCAGTAAATTCTGGTTAACATATGCATTTTAATAATATGTTAATAGTTTAAACACTTTATGCATCATTTAAAAGTTACATAAAAATTGTTGCTGTTGAAAAAGTCATCACTGTTTAAGCACAGTAGTGTTTCAGCCTATCATAGTGCCATTCTTGTCATTTTGTTACTGATTGTATGAAAAAACTAGTTGAGTTCATGTATAAAAAATTAAATTGAAAAATAAATGAAATATCTAATAATTATAATGTTTAAAAACTTCAACTACTTAAAGACTTTTAAATTTTTTATTCGTTAAATTTCTTAAAAAAATAACTTTTAATAAAGCTATGGACTAAATCATGTGTGGCATGAAATGACAAACTTTTGAAGCTCCAGGTGACTAACTTAATTCATTAATCAGCAAGCAAAGCCTTAAAGCAAATGACTGGGCGTCTGTTTTGAAACTGCTATTTTCAATAAATATAATGTCGTACGTCAAAACTTTTAAAATAAAATTTTGATCGAGAATATGTATTAATATGCGGTTTTAAAACTGCCATTTACAATACAATGACATAAGATAAAAACAACTGCCAAGATTTTTAAAATAAAACTTCATGTGTAAGAATGCATTAAAAATAAAATGCTGTTTTGGGACTGCCATTTCCAATAAATACAATGTCGCATGCCAATTTTTTTTAAATAAAATTTCATGGAGGAAAATGCATTAATATGTTGTTTCAGGACAGCCATTTTAAATAAATACAATAATGCCATATGAGAAGATCAAAACAACTGCCAAGACCTTTAAAATAAAGCTTCATATGAGAGAAAGCATTTAAAATAATAGGCTGTTTTAAACTACCATTTTCAATAAATATGTCATATGCCAAGACCTTTAAAATAAAATTTTATGTGTGAAAATGCATTAATATATTGTTTTGGGACTGCCATTTAAAATAAATATGTCATATGCCAAGATCAATGAAACTGCCAAAAAGAAAAAGGAACTACAGAACATATTACAAAACATATAACATATTACATATTATATAACATATTACAAAAAAAAATGAATACAGTTTTCAAACAAGAAAAGTACAATTGATAAATTCATAGCATCCTTTGAGAAGAAAGTCACACAGATTATGAATGATCATTATTTATGACCACCTAGAACTGAATTTAGAAAGTCATGTCACTTTTCGATCATTCAAGGGAGTTTGAAAGTATTTTATTTATAGTGTGATATTATTAAAGGAAATAATTATTCCAAATAATTTTGTTGAAACTTTTTCTAAATCAAATGGCTAAATTTCGAGTGCTATGGACATTAAAATAACAGTGCCTCTATGGAATAGCAAACAGGACTTAATGAATCAGTTGTTATAATTGAAGAGTCGTTGTATTGGGGGTCGTACAAAAGGGTGTAGATGGTATAACTAATTTTATACTGCAAACAAGTATCATCAGTTATCACTACCAAGACATAGATTAAAGAAAAATTAATCTGACAGAGATTAATTTCTCTTTATTCTTTTTTTTTTCCAATGGCAGGCACTGAACTTTATTCGTTTCGCCTTAGAAGATGCCAGAGTTGTTACTCATTTCGCGCTTCCCAGTGGGCACCTGTGAACCAAAGTCACAGAGATGAGTAACATTGCCCAGGCCACACTGCCACAAACCCGTTCATAAGGTGAGCCACATTCACTCATTACACACAACAGAGGACAACACAAGAGAGAAAAACATCCATACCCAGAGCGGGATTCGAACACGCGGCCATTGGCTTCACAGTCAGGTGCGCTAACCGCTCGGCCACCTGGCCGGCTTCCTCTTTATTCTATATTTTGGCATTTATGATGGTAACTACGTATAGGTCCTTGTAACCATATGCTGTTTTCAACTTTATAAACAATCTATGTAATTTAAAATTTGATTTTTCTTTCAAGCATCAAATAAATTTTTACATGAATTTCTTAACTGTTTTTAAGGGAATTTATTAAAGGACGAATAATACAGAAAAAAATTTAAAAATTCAACATAATATGAATGAAAATTAAAATATTTTATTTCTTAAACTAACATAACAACAATCGTAAAAAAATAATAAAATAAACACAAAATTATTTTTTTCTATTAGGAACTAAGAAATTCTATGAATGTTTATCAATTATTTCGAAAAGAAACTTACATTACTTATATAATACTTATTGATAAAAATAATATTTGTTTGTATAAAATTTAGAAATAAAACTGATTTTATTAAGTAAATTTAGTAANTTTTTGATGGAACTAACTCGCTTTTGCGTTACATGGAGAGGAAAACCACGAGAACCTCCCACGGTTAGCTTGACAGCAAAAGGACTAGAACCCATGATCCGTCTACCACTGAGGATATTTCCGTCAGCACTGTGGTCGTTGCAAGCCGGATGCGGAATTCATATCGACTGGGATTCGGACCCGGTTCTCCCCATTGGAAGGCGAACGCTCTATCCCCTGAGCCATCGCGGCTCTGGATCAAGTATTTTATTTCATATTTTATAACCGTCGTTGAACAGCCGACCCGATTTTAGGTTTACGACTACTAATGCTCAACTTCGCAGCCTTGTCATTTTGAACCAATCCAGAAGACAAGGAAACTCCTGGATCAGTACCCCTAGACGTATGATTTGTTATGGGAACATGGAGGACTTTGAGACTCGACAGATTTAACGTGCATCAGTCACCATTTACTACACGGGGAGTCATCGGCCGGCGAGGATCGAACCCACGATCTCTTGGACATGGGTCCAGTGCCCTATCAACCAGATGGAACTAACTTTTGGATGGAACTCAACATAATATGAATGAAAATTAAAATATTTTATTTCTTAAAATAACATAACAACAATCATAAAAAAATAATAAAAAAAAAACAAAATTATTTTTTTCTATTAGGAACTAAGAAATTATATGAATGTTTATCAATTATTTCGAAAAGAAACTTACATTACTTATATAATACTTATTGATAAAAATAATATTTGTTTGTATAAAATTTAGAAATAAAACTGATTTTATTAAGTAAATTTAGTAATAAACTGAACGAATCATATTAATAATCTATAAATTACCTTGGAACCCTACATCTTCCCAATGTTTCCCATAGCGAGGACAATCTTTATTAGAGTTAGTCAATGTTCTGTATAAAGTCTGGAGTACTCTGATATGTATTTCTTCACTGCTATCAAAAGGACCTACATTAAGACACACACTTCTTTTTATTCAATTGTCATATAAAATTAGTAAATAAAACCACTTCACTAAGAATTTTTGTTTTATTTTTTAAAAAAAGCAAGTAAGCAAGATAATATTTTTTAAAGTAAACAGCAAGTTTGGGACACAAGAAGCAAAATCTTCATAAATATAGATTTGTCCGTGATCCTAACACGGTCAGATCGGCTATTATTGTAAAATTTAGGTTTAATCTGACATGTGTATAGCAAAATTAGCATATATAAGGTACATAGAAATGATACAGAAAAAAAGTTTAAAATTTAGTGCTTTAATTGAAACTCTTAATACTTATAAATTAATAAAATAATTGAAATTTGAAAAATGGAATAAGTCCCTAGACAGTCTATAAACAAGCAACTAGATATTTCAGAAATTAAAAAAAAAATTTTAAAGATTTTTTCTTTTTTAGGCTCTTACATGTTCAAAATTCCAGCTAATCAAAGAACCTAATTTAGAATTTTTGAAAGCCATCACCTTACTTTTGCTTATACATCTGCATATAAGCAACTAAATTTTGTTAAGGACTTGAAACAATCAGTAATTAAGTAACTTTGGAGATTAAAAAAAATTTTCTGTATCCTCTATCAGTAATATTTTCAGTTAATTTTTTTAAATCTGAGAGGCAAAATAATATTCATATCTACTGTGTGCTTAAATAATCTACAGTGGTTTTTTTTTAAATCTGAGCAAAATCTGCAGTGCTCGTTGCTATGCTAAATGATTTTTGCTACCAGGTCTGTGACTAGGTTCTACTTGTCATAATAAATAAAAATAGAAATATTTATATGTAATAGTTAAACTGTAAATAAAAAGAGGGAAAGAGAATCATAAATTCTTATTTGCTTACATTATATAATTCATAACTGCTGATTCTATCTTAGCGTCTAACAAATAATTGGTTTTTTAAATATTGCTTTTTTAATTTCTTTAACATTGTAAATTACAATACTGTAATAATATGCAATGACAATAAAACTACTTACAAGAATTACATACTAGCATAAGTTTTAAAATTGCAACAAGCCACTGAATAATATACAATTATTATCTATATATCTACTGAATTTGTATTAAATTCAGTTATACAGTATGATTAATTGTAGCTTACATAAAGCAACAAAAAAAAATTGGATTTAGTTTTGGAAGGCCAGGTTATAAAGCCTAGTTGTTTTGGATTGAAGCAAAATACTAAATTATTATAAATGATTATTAAAAACACATGCAAACATCTAAATGAATGAAAACAAAAATATTACAAAAAATTATAAAAGGACTTATTTATGTAGTAAGACAAATTACAGCTTACATAAAGCAATGGCAAAGAATAAATTTCTTTCTGAAATTAAACTTAGATTTAATTTGGGAGGTCCAACAATCCAGTGTTTTAAAGCCTCAATTCTCTTCCTTTGCTTTACAGGTTTGATACATTTCTAGAAGAAAAAAATGCATATTTAAATTAGTTCAAACCATAAACTAATAATTACATACATAAATTAAATATCTAGACAATAAATATACTAGTTAAAGAGTAACAGTAGAATTTGAATGATTTTTACATGTCTATCTTGTCATATTTTCTGACATGCCACAGTAGTTTTAGCAAATTCAAAAAAAAAATTTTACCAAAATATAAATAAACATTAATTGAAAATTAAATTCTAATAAAAATTATTAAAAAAATTACATTGCATCAAATTTAAATTAAATTGAAAAATATATTTTTATAAGTGCACTCAGTAATTTCATCGTAAATTTTATGTCTCTTCTATTAGTTGTTTTAAAATATTATGTACTTTATTGAACTTAATACTTTATAAGTGTGTTAATACTTTAGTGTTAATAAATGTGTTAATACTTTAATAAGTGTGTTAATACTTTATTGAACTTATAAAAAAATCATTTCTTACAGGGAGCCAAATTGATGATTTAATAGACGATGAATTATTGTTTAAAAGTGTAATTTGGTTCATTATTTAATATTCTTAATTAAAAAGTATTACTAATTTTAAATGCTACAAAAAAATTTAAAAGAATTAATTCACAAGTAAACCCTTAAATTGTTAAATAAATTAAAATAATTTTAAATAAACAGTTCAAAGAAATTAAAATTTTAAAAATAACTCATATCTATCCAACAAGATATGAAAATAGTTTATCATCTAATAAAAATGCTAAATAAAAATATGAACTCTGAATCTCTGTCTCTTAAATTTCATAGTAAGAACATTTGTTTCATCAAATTTTTTTTTTGTTTAAAAAATTATTTAAGATTCTTAAAAACATTCCCAGTATTCTGAAACAGAAAATTTAAAAAACATGTCACTTCAAATCACTTTTGTATATTTCGTGAATGATCCCCCAGTTCAACAAATCAGATTTTTCAAACCCTTAAATCTTTTATAAAGGAATGGTAAAAAAAAGAAATTTGCCGAATCTGTAATTAAATTGTACTTTTAATTGCAAATGATTACCACTTACCAAAAATTGGCTCATGTTTGCTGATCGGAAAAAGTTCAGTACCTCATCAACAGATATTGGTTCAGTTTTACAAGTAGGAATAAAGGTACCTGAAAAAATAGCTTTTATTTTTAATTGTATTGAATATTTATGAAATAATAACAGATATAAGAAAAGAAATTCATTAAATGACCTTCATTTGAACCTAACTGATCCCATTCTGCTTGAGCAAGTTCGATGTCTTTTCTAGACTGAGATAAATCTAAAAAATGACAAAACAAACTATTTAAATGTTAAAATTAACATAAAGATATATAAAACATTGCACAGACAGTTTTCTTTACATGCATGGTAGATACACTATTCATAAACATTCTTTTGGCAATCAAGAAAGGTACTTAAAAGTTTATATCTCTTTCACTATGAAAGTTACAGTGGTTTAACATATTTGTATTAGCATGGTCTGTGAGAAGAATGTTTAAGAATCTAGGGTTAAGCCTAAATCGCAAACTCTTCAATATTACAGAAAAAATTCTTTGATATTCTCGTAATAAGAAGAGTCATGCATGTTTCATACTGATCTTCAATTTCCCAAAATATTTTTGCTAAAATTTTTTATTAATTTTTATTATTATAAATTTTCATTTTCACTTTTTTTTATTAATTTTAACATTCATAATTTTATTAATTTTGATTATTTTATTTCTTGATATTTTAAAATTTTTTCTGGCAATCTAATTCTTTCAGGTTACTTTTGAATGGTTTAATGAACCATTTTATATTGAAAACAGGCACACAAAAAATTAAAAAAGAAAAAAAAAATTGAGGGTAAAATGTAAAAATAGCAAGNAAAAAAAAAAAAAAAAAAAAAAAAAAAAAAAAAAAAAAAAAAAAAAAAAAAAAAACTAGAAAATTCTTATTAGTTTGATACATTATTTTACAATCAAAAGCTCAAAAGTGTGAACATCCCAATGCTTTAGCATATCTTCTGAGGTTTTACTTTTTGATCAATTAAATTAAAAGAAAATGTTTACACAGTAGTTCACATTTGTATAAATTCTTCATTCACTTCATTTGAATTAACATACTTAATGATAACTGAGAGCCGTGATAGCTTCCAGTGGTTAAGGTACTAAGCTGTTATTGTGAAGGTCTAGGGTTCAAACCCCAGTGGCGGCTCGAAGGCCACCCAGTTTTCGATCAATAGGCACCAACTTGTCTGGGAAGTCAAGGCAACCTGTGCGTAATTCTGACCACATTGCTACCATCATACTGTTGGCCATGAAATTGAGGCAACTTAACCTTCATGATCTCTTGGCCCACAATGGGTTTTTAAATGATAGCTGAAGAAATAAATTAAGCCACAACATTATTAAAGGGTTTCCACTTAATTTCAGGAAAAAAATTCCCTGACTTTTCCAGATATTTCAGGAAAATTTCAATGTAAATCCAGACCATAATTTATCTATACTATGCAATTTCCCTCAGAAAACTTCGATATATATATACTTTTTTTTATATGTATTCTTTTTCTTCAAATATTAGACTTAGCGAGAAAAAATCATTAATTGAGGATAGAAACATGGAAAAGTTTCACTAAAAAAATGGAATTTTTACAACAAATAATTGTAGTAGATGTTAGAATTAATTAAATCGAATCTCAATAACTGATTACTGTTACTGACACTTTTAAAACTGGTTATTTTCCAGGTCTTTGTAAAAAAAAATCTAACTTTCCCTGCTCTTTAGAGTCAAAATAAAATTCTCTGACAATTCTAGGTTTTCCCTGACCCGTGGGAGTCCTATTATTAAGACTTCAGAAAACATTTTGTAAAAGATATAAAACAAAAAATCAACAAGAATTACCAACAATTTCCTTGTGCTTGAAAATAGCAGGTTTATTTCCAAATGTGATAATATGCTGCATGGAAGGAAAAAAATTAATTTAATCATAGGAAAATGATATTTAAATAAAACAAAATTTACTTTAAAGCAATGGACAAACATTTCATGGATTACAAAACCTATTATTTTAATAACTATTATCAGTAGGACACTTGTTGGCTGAGTGGTAACGCTTCGGACTCCTGTGCCACAGGTCTGAGGTTCTATCCTCCAAACAGGGTAAGCTTCATTCAGCCTTTCATACCTTAAATAAGTCAATCAAATGAGTATCAAGCATGCTTGCCATGGGGGTTCTACGCTCGGATGACCACACATCCCGAAAATCTGCTCCTGCACCTCAGAGCTCAAGGTCAAGAAAATTGGGATGGTGGCAATAGCCTTTGGCCTTCATTGAACTGTTACACCACTGAGTTTAATTTATATAAATAGATGTGAATATAAAATTTGAAAATTCCATTGAATAGGAAATAAAAAAAGAAGAAACAGGGTAAATTTAGAAAATGAGGTAGGAAGAAAATTATACAAATCAATTATGTACAAAACTAAGTCAACACTCTACTAAATCTTTGTAAGCCTGATTCACTGATCATTAAAAAAATAGTGCGAAAAATTGAATGGAAATTTTTAATTTAAGTTAAAATAAGTTCTAGCAATATATTTTGATATTTATCCATAACCTTTTTGGTAATGGTTTTCTTGACAACTGGTACAAAAATTTTTTTAAAAAAATAATAAATCAGACATTGAAAAGGAACTACTTTGTTACCAGTACACACTTTTTTTTTTTCTCTTCGCCAACCAGATTTGGCACTTTTTGATTAGTGCCAATTTCCCGACCTCCCAGAACAACATCAAAAATTTAAACCCTTTAAAATTATAAGTTCACATATTTTTTTAACATAAAACTGCATTTTATAAGTGAAAAATAGCAAAGACCTATATCAAATCTCAGCCCCTAGGCAGCAGTTTCGCCACCAATAGCACCAGTTTCTTGCCGAAAATAGTGCAGACCCATACCAAATCTAAACTCCTAGACAACAGTTTCGTTATCCGTGTGCCCCCTGTTAATAATATACGGATTAAATGCATCCCAGGCAGTAGCACATAATAACCTTAGAAAAACATCAGTGTAGGAAATATGGAGCAAATGTATTCCGAGCAGCAACACTTAACTTTAAGAAATCTTCAGTGTAGGTTAAATTGCAAATACAGTCGTCCCCACTTAATCGCCCCTCGGATAATCGAATAACCCGCTTATACGAATAAAATTTAATCGAACCAAATCATTTTATATTAAACTAATGTTAAATTTCCCCGTTTAAACGGTTATTTGTTGTTTTTTGCCCCCGCTTAATTGCTCAAAGTGCTACTGAAATGAAAAAAAAATAATATTTTTGAGAAATGTTTCACCAGCTAAAATACAATCTCCCTTTTTAAGATAAGGATACAAGATGGATTCAATAGGGACTTCTTATTCATCAGTAGGTGCTTGGGATGAAGTTGAAAAATTAATCAAATCTTGCTACCACTTATACATTGGAGTAAACGAAGGGTGTTTTACTCCTCTTTGACTTACTTCACTCGCACATCATTTAGTATGTAAAGAAGGAATAGAGTGATTTGATTTTTGGTCAAGATTTGTGGTCCCCTCTTTATGCATTATTAAGTTTTAAAAATCTAATACACTAGTGTAAGGAATGTTTTCTCTAAAGTAGAATATTTGCTTAATCCTGTGAATAATTTTGAGTTGGTTGCAAGTTGAGAGCGAAAAGGAATGATTTAAATTAATTGAAAAAAAAATTAATTTTAGAATCAATAAATTTCAAAAAAATCCCCAACGAAAATAGCGCATTAATTAGGAATTTCTCAAGTTTCGAAGATTTAAATTTTAAAAAAAATCTGAATGCGCTTGAAAGGAATATGGACAAGTCATGAAAATTTTAGTAGAAACTAAAAGGGAAAATCCAATTTTGATAAATTGACAAATTAAACGGGTACAAAAAACAGTCTTCAATTATAGAATTTTTCACATGGGATTAAATAATATTTCAGTTCCAACATGATTCACCAACATTGATTTATTTTTATGTAACTTTAAATGATATTTTTTTATGATACTAAGGCAGAAAGTTTTAATTATAATTATTTATTGATCATAAAACTGAGTTTATTTAATCAAAACGCTATACTACGCATTAAATACCATTAAAAAGTAAAATTTCACAAAAATTCAGAATTTAAGATTGATTATAGCACTCCCCTTTTAATCGAATAACCCACTTAATAGCATAGATTTGGCTGGAACCGATGGTATTCCTTTAAGCGGGGTTGACTGTATTAATAAAAGAAAAATATTGCAGATATGTACCAAATAATTTCCTCCAGCTACATTTCTGTTACTGCTGGGCATAAAATTATATAACAAAATAAGAAAATCCTACAAAATATAAATACATAAAAACTCACATGTAAACTATAATTCCATTCATAAATCCTCAAATAAACATCTGTCTTCATTATTTTGTATCACTAAAACCGTTTTTTTTTTTTTTTTTCTCCAGAAAATTTAACTTGCAACGCTACAAATTTTGCACCCTAACTCATAAATTATGCAAATCAACAACAAAAATACCAATGTTCACAACAACAAGTTTAAATCCAAATGGATTCACAAAATGCAATAAGAACCACGTAAACATTCAACCCGCACAAAAATAAAAAATTAGCAATACTGAAAATATTTTCTTCATTCAAAATTCGAATAACTTGAATTCTGCAGAAAATATTACGTATCTTACTGAAACTCTAATGAATCTTTCTTGCATCCTCAAACAATCTCCCATCCCTTTACACAAATCTGTCATTATATCAACACAACTTTGATTACATCATCATTCACTTCGATGATCACCATCTGCAACTATATGTCTATGATTCCTCCAACCTACTTTCAAATTGAAACCAGATTATCATCAGCTATCACCCAACTTTGCAATAATTTTTTTTTCAAAGATAGATGCATATAAATAACAAGTCTGTATACCTTAAAATTAACTTCGATAATTTTTTTAGAAAAAATAATAAAGGATCATAAAAATTTAAATTTAGTAGTTAGTACTTTAAAGGAAAAATATCATGCCAAGGTAACACATACAGTGTTTTAGTATTCTGGGGCTTTAAAAATTATGCCAAATATAGAGCAAAAATTTAAACAATTTAAGTCAAAATCCAGCAATACCTAAAGTGAATAATTACGAATAACAAATCCTATCTTCATAAGTCTTTTAATTTATCATTATTAAATCTTTAATAAATGTCTTCATTTCATTAAGATTATTTTTTCAAATTTATTAATAAGATAATGTGATATTAATCATGGTAAATTAACTACAGTGAAACCTCCAAGAAAGATCACCTGTGTGTAGTGGCTTCATATATTTATGAACGCATGCGGAAGGCAGGGAATTTTTTTCACAGAATTTGTATTAAAGAAAACCTTTAGGAGAGAAAATTGAAACCTCTCCCAGAGACCAGGCAAACCTCTGCACCAAATGCAGAAAAGGTCACATAAGGAAACACAAAAATAGCAAAATAAAAAATGCTAATAAAACAATTAAGCAGATTCAAATGTATTCAAAATATTTGTGAGTGGCTCTTATTTAGAGAGCTTTTTTTGGCGATCTCTGAAAGAGATTGATAATCTCATGTTGCAGTTCAGGTGCATTAAAGACCATGCTATCACTGATCTATTTTTAGAGCTAGAACTTAAATTAGAAAAAAAAATATTTTAGAAAAAAAAACTAACAGCTCATTTTATAAAGTAAACTAAATTTTTTGATACAAAATTAAATGCAAACTTAAACATTTATAATAGTTCTATCAATTATATTTGGTAAATTTATTTTTACACATATGTGTTTTCACACATATTTATTTTTACAAATATATACAGGGTATCTGCTACATTTTAGATTTTCAAATTCATGACTTTTCATGATTTTCCATGACTAATTCCTAGAATTTTTCATGACTTAACGAAGTTGCTATTTTCTCCAACAAAAACGCAACAATAAATTAAAAAAAGCATTATAATCACATTATTCGAAACAGGCATAACCAAAACTATTATACTCTTCATCTTCATATTTATATATTTTAAACTTAAAAAACAGAGTAAGGAAAGAGTTGAAACAATACAATAGCTCAAAAAAATACAAAAGCAAAAAAAAATTTCTTTCTGCAGAATTATATTCTAAAGATACTTTTCTTGTTCGTCAGAAAGGAAAGAAATACTCCTGATTTTTCTGTTCATTTCAGAATAAAAAAAAATTTGCCAATAACTGGTTTGCTTCAACTAGAATTTTAAATTGATAAAATTTTTTAAAAAAATAATAATAAAAATTCTTAAATCACAGAAGAGAGTTTAAAGGATAATTCGCTCTAGAAATGATATTTTTTCTTTCATTTTTTGAAAGAACACCATAATTTTTAAAGAACATGATAAAATCATTTTATATTCAAATAAAATATGACTGAGTGGTGATTTTGTTAGAAATTCAGATATTTGGAACAGGATGAAATCCATGACTTTCCATGATTTTTTTTAAAAATTGTAAAAATCATGACATTTTATGAAAAATTTTGTTCAATACCGAAATTCATGACTTTCCAGGTGCACGGATACCCTGTATATAGTTATATCAGTAGAGGTCATTTTTATTGAAGCTAAATTTTATTCATCGATTCGGTTCTCATGATGCCAAAACGGGTGGCATTTCCACACCAAGAAAATGACATTACTGAGTAAAATTAAAATCGGTAGCGAAAAATCATGTATATCTTCAATAACATTGTGAAGTCAATTGAGGTAACCACTAAGTGATCACTCCCTAGAGGTTTTTCTGTTACAGTATGTAATTGTCTAAATATACCTATAATTAAGTGATAAGTTCCTTCAGTGAATATGCTATTCATCAAATACATTACAATTTTTCAGTCTAAAGTTTTTTTTATTAAACTAACAACTTGCTAAGCTTAGCTTAGCTTACTTAGCTTAGATAATATTAGCTCCCCTTATGATGGTTTTAAGACTTAACATGAAATTATCTCTTAAGATGAAATTAGCTCTTCAAAGAAAGCATAAAACTATAGAACTAAGCTATTACGGCAACACATTAAAAAAGTAAACTCAAAACAAGTAAAATAAAAAGTGAACGTAAAGTTTAGAATGTCCCATAATGAAAAAGTAAATTTTGCTATTTGCCAACTTATTGGTATAAGCACAACTAATGGCAAAATCATGAAATTTCAGAAAATAATTTAAAAGAAAAATTCACTAAATTTAAATTTGCTGAAACGAAAATACTGATTAAATTTTACCTCATCTTTAACAGCTGCTGTTTCATCACCTTCATCGATCGCGTCTAAGTGCATAACTAAAAAACTTTTAAGAAAAAATAAAAATTATTAATCACAGAAACTTTACTGATATTTGAAAAAAAATTTTTTTAGAGAGTATAAAAGTCATTTTCAAAATGTTAAATAGTTATTGCATTCAATTACATCATTAATTGTCATTCCATTAAAACAATTTTCAGCTTAACAACAGCTCCTCAAATCTAATTAAATGTAAACAAATCGAAATATCAGTTAAAATCATGAGCAAGAAAAATTAAGTGGGACACTCTTCCGTTTTCTCTACCCCACATACTCCATAATCTTTGTTATTTAATCGAATCTTTAGCAGAACAAAAATAAGTAACCGATAACTTTGAGTGATATGTTACTTTTTTCCCACTACAACTGAGAAAAAAGAAAAGGGTTCAAACCTGCTAAAATATTTGAAATTGCTAAATATATTGAAATATTTCAACGAAATACTTGAGAAAAAGTAAAATTTTCTAATTAGTAATATTACACAATTTTGTTCTATTCTTTAAAAAAGCGTGTTTTTAAAATTGTATTATATTTTTTTTAAACTTGCATTTGCACAATCCATCATTTGGTTGTTGTTGTTGTTAATTTACGTCGCACTGGAGCTGCACAATGGGCTATTGGCGACGGTCTGGGAAACATCCCGGAGGATGATCCGAAGACATGCCATCACAATTTTGACCCTCTGCGGAGGGGATGGCACCCCCGCTTCGGTAGCCCAACGACCTGCTCGCGAAGATGAGCACTTTACGGTAGCACAGTTTAACGAGGACCAATACCGCACACCCTCGGTCCCTGCGCAGACTGATCCAAGTGATCACCCACCCGCACACTGACAGCAGCCAGTGATGTTTGACTTCGGTGATCTGCTGGGAACCGTGTCTTAACGATCAGTCCACTGCGGGACTCCATCATTTGGGAGCAAAGCAAATACAATTTTTCGATTTGGTTAAAATAGATAAGAAATTAATTAGGTACACTCTGTTGGAACAGAAAAAGTATATGTTCCATATATTTCAGCAGACGTGTATATAAGTTCATTTCTTGTAAATTTGATGGTGCATTATATTCTCTATATATTTCCTTTAAAATTAAATTTGATCCTAATAAATGTTTTATATTTTCAGCCAAAATACATGTATTTTGAAACGATAATTTGCTGTAGTAGCAAACAAATTACTTAGTTCTAAATGCTAATAGTGAGGAAAACTAAGAAAGAAAATGAAGTAAAAACAGTAAGAATGAAGCACTCAACTGCTATGTCGATTTTTCAAGTACAGCTATCACAATTTTAAAAAAAAAATTTCCGATTATATTCAGTTGTTTACTACTTAATTTTATCAGGAATGTTCCAAAAATTAGTGAATGATTATAGAAGGCTATTATTGTTTTAATCAAGATAATACAAATTCCATCAGTAATTTATTACTTTTTACCACGAATCATCCCTTTTTTGACAATGTAATAAATTTATTTAAGTGAAACTATTTGGTTAGTATAAAATGGTAGTTGATCCCCTTTTGTTATACTTTATTATGCACCTTTCATCATCTGTCCCGCAGGTGCTATATTACATTAATATATGCAAGAGGTTCAGACACAAAAAAAAAAAATTAATAGATTATGTTTCAAATTTTATTTTTAAATTTTAACTATGTTTTAATAACATTTGTAAATATAACAATAATATTAATAGAATGTGTATATTAGTAGAATGTTTTCTTTCCACTTATCACAATCTGTCCTAATTTTACAAGCCCTTTCCTCCTCCCTATGCACGACATCATTTGTGGACGGTCACAAAACAAATTATATACACATAATTTTAAAAATAATCAAGCTCTATTTAAAAGGAATTTAAATTGCTTTTGCGATATATTAGTAATATACATTGTTTTAAATAAGTATTAATTTTTGCGCAATTACTGCAACTTTGGCACGCTATGAAATATAAAAGTAATTGGTCAATTGTAAACATCAAAATATTGAAGTTTAATTTGTATAAAACCTAATTTACACATTGCCTAAATGTGCCCCATGTTTTTCATGTATTGTTTTTTTTCCCATCCACAAATAAAACATCAGATATATTTCCGCTACAGAGAAAAGAAACATAAAATAGCTATTTTATCTCTTACCTGTGGATTGTGTATTAAAACTTCAAGATCATTTTCATGCACTCTGTAAATTTACTTGTATACTCACAGCTCAAAATTTAAATTAATAATAATAATTAAATATTAAGGGAAACTCATTGTTTGGAGAGAAAAAATTTCGTATAAAAAAATTCGCAATAAATAAATTGTAAAAAAAAACATCAATAAACAAATTAGGCTTTAAAAACAGTTTATTGACTTATACTACAATAAAAGTTCTGATGTACAGAGCTGTATACATACAATACTAAATAAGAGATATTCAATATTTACAAAGTTAAAATAATATATTTCAAAGAAACATTCAAATTATTGTAGTTTTATTAAACTACAATGATTCATATAAGGAATATGTTATCAAAATTGCTACTCGCATATTTAAATAAAAGAAATTTGCTTCTTTATTGAATAAAAACATATACATGAATATTCCAGAAAATCATAAATCATGTAATCATGTAATCAAAATTGCTACTTGCATATTTAAATAAAAGAAATTTGCTTCTTTATTGAACAAAAACATATACATGAATATTCCAGAAAATCATTAATGATAATTTTCAAAAAATATTAATATTATTTAGAGTTTTGGTTACATTAAAATGAGCACAGATTTCATAATTTGAAAGAACATTGATTATTTTGACCCAATAGAATTACAAAAATGATAGATTAACTTTGAGATATAATACAATTCCATAATTATTTTAATAAATTTGATGACATAAATATTTTATTTCTTTAAACAAAACATATTTTACATTTAAAAATAAGAAAAAAAGTTTTTTTGAAATAAAAAATAAAGTAAAATTTAAAATTTATTTAATTTAAGAAATAAAATTTAAATGAAATAATATTTATATATGACGCAAAGCAGTGGAATCATCATGCTTTTAATAAAAAAAATTTTCTCTTATATTAAAGCTTGTACAATAAGCAAGATGATTTTGCTAGTAGTAAAGTATTTTAAAACTAATTTTAACATTGTAAATTAAATTTCAGTATCATAGAATAAAAATAAGCAAAGCTGAAAAAAGGAGAGTAAAAATTAAAATCTCCAATTGAATAGAAAATTATAAGCGGTAAATTTTTGATAGATTTGTGCAGCTTTTATATGCAAAAAACTGTCCTACAAATCAAAGTAAGGTTAAGAGCATAAAATTAAGTTCAATCTGCAATTAAATATGCCAAAGGAAGGAGCTGCCTTTAATTACTATAAAAAATCATTACAAAAAAAGTTAAAAAATGTTTGATATATATGCTATACATGCAGTGATCTCTAACGTTTAAGATTCCAAGATAATGGTGCATATTCTCATTCATAAACAGTTTTATTTCCCCCATTTTATTCACCAGATCAATTAATAATAATTAAAAAAAACAATGTTCATAGATACTATAAAACAACATAGAAAACATAATTTCAATAACATTTTTACGTAATCCTCAATTAAATTATTTCCAATCAATCCAATCCTCAAATAAATCATTTTTTTATATCCTTTATAATTAAAAAAAAGTCATCTATTTTATTTACATTTACAGTACTGCAAAATAAACGTATACATTAAAGAGAAATCCAATTTTACAAGATAAAATTACTGTACATAAAATTTAAATTATTGAAGACATAATTTGGATATCCAAAAATACAATGTAAAAAAAATATACAAAAATCTGCCAGGAAAGTATGAAATTATAATTGAGATCACTTTAATATAATAGGAGTTATCACAATATTAGAAATATAATGAATATAATCTCAATTTTCATAATTACTGAAAAGTAGAAAATATTGCACAATTTTATAATCACTATTCATCAGAGTAAATAGCATGCTGTATAGTATTAAACGTTATTTTTTATGTATAAAATAAGTAAAATCAAGCAGACAATAACAATTTTATCTTTTTGAACTTTTTATACTAAGATAAAGTGTTCCTACTTAATTAAAATAACACAAATAAACCATTATTATTATTTTTATTTGAAGCAAGGCTTGTAAGAATTGAAAAACGAATCATTGCAATGCTAAGTTAGAATAAAACACATAAAAAAATTGAGGTAATTAGGATACAAAAATAATTAAAGAAATCAAGATATTAAAAAACAAAGGTTTTGAAGAATTCAAGTATGAAATTTTTTTTGGTTCGTATGTTTATTACATGAACCATACACCCCCATTACATGAACAGTACAAATAAGAAAGATTTAATTTTAATTCTATCGGATATCAAAAGACCAAAATTATGCTTCGTGTATAAGTTATAATAAAATATGTTTCCTAGTTTATTAAATATAAATCTTTTTCTCCTTACAGATTTTATTTTTAATTTACCTATATGCAGAGGGAATTTTTCAAATTTTAATAACGATTGCATCCATATAAAACTAAATGCTATAGATACAAGCCGTATACACTAAAAACTAATTAATTACATTTTATTTTTAGATGATAATTTTAGAACTTTTAATGTTGATAATTCTCACGACTTTCAATATAGAGTTTATAAGTTTAAAGATCAAGAATAGTTTTGTAACGAAATATTAACACTGTTATCTATTTCATTAAATTTTTTATTTCTTTATATTTTTATAATTGATGTATTTCAAAACATGATAACAATCAAAACACATTTGCACACCAAAAGTTAATATTTTAAAAAAACAAATATCAGTCACACATAATTGATTTTATTGAACTTACGTTTAATTATTTACACCCTAATATTTAAGGTTTGGTATTCAAACATTAACTTCTTTTGATAAACAATTACATATTTCCTCTATTTTTTGAAGTTCTATTCAATTAATTTTTTATTAGCTAGAGAACTCTTGCTCACAAATTGAAAATCATTAAGATGTATAGCAAAATATCTACTGCTATACCCAGAATATTAAAATTTCTTTAATAATTATGAATAAGAAAATTATTTTAGTTAGAAATAAATGATTTGATTAGAACAATGAAAATCACATGCTAAATGTATAATTATGTTCTTTACTCTTCTTTAAAATTCAACTTTTAGATGAAAAAAATATTTTAAAAGTAACCACCTTATTCATTAATTCCCTGTAAATAAGATTAGAAAATTATTTTTGAAACTTATTATTTTGGAAACTATTTACAATGTCTGACAATGGTCAGGTTGAACTATTTAGTAGTGCTTTTATTGCAAGAGCTTTGAATTATATGTACCATAGAAAACTTATCTGAAAAAGCTGATAGAAATATAATAAAATAACTAAAGTGACACAGGAAAATTAAAAATTTTCAAAATATAAAACATAAGTAAATAAAACATCGATTGAAACTAGTTAATAACTTTAGCCATTAACGTTGCATTTTGAAGCATAAATAGCCAAAAGCAAAATTTGGTTTTCTAAAAAAAAGAGAGAGAAAAAAGGACAGGCAACATATTTAATTTTAAATAATCTAAAGCAAGTAATGTATCACAGTTTATATAGTGTTGTTTTCAATGAAACTATTGAACCTGTACACTATTTTTCACACAAGTTTTACATTCATATAATCTTGAATGAAATTCATAGATTTTACAAAAATACTAAGATTTGGCTCAGAGAAAGCGTAAAACCTATTTTGTGATGTCTTATTTTATATAAATATGTCAGACAGCTCTAATATATTTTTTTGACGTAATAGAAAAATAAGTGCTTAACATATAAGGAATAATAGTAATATTTCCCAGAAGTGACTTAAAACTTTTCATGCAAAATCCATTTTAAGTTTTTCATTAAAAAAATTTACAAAGTGTTCTATCTATTTTATACACATTTACCAGTTACACATTTAGAAACAATTCTAAGAATCTTCGAGTATATTCACAACAGAATAGGGTAATATTTCCAGATCAGTACCTGTTTATACTAACTATTACTATCAAAGGATTTTTGAACATGCAAAAAAATTATAAATAATATATAGTGGCGTGCTCTGCTATGGCTGAGAGATAAACACTTTGATTTTGTTCCCTTCTGTGATGTTTTTTGATAAGTTTCTCGGGTGCTATTTATCAGTTGTCAGTGAATATTTTTGTGCAGATACTGAGATGAAAATTTTACCCTAACTAAAGCTATACATAATGTATAAAGGAAATACTTTTAAGTTAATATAGGGGGGCACAGTTATTTTGGAAGAGAGCAGTGATAAAAAATGGCCCTGGGAGCTGCAATGAATTATATTTCTACATCAATTGATAATAATGCAATTTTTTTTTCTAAGTGTAATAAGAACAGTATCAATTTGTTTTAAAAATAAGACGAAGTAGTTGTGCAAGATTTTTGAAAAAAAAAAATCATTTCCAATTTTTCTTTACTGTGTTTTAATAAAATTAAAGCAAGCTTCCAACTTTCTCTGAAGTAAAATTTTATTTACTTCTTGTCTCTTAAAATATAATAGATTTATTAATTGTTTTTACAAAAATATGTGAAACACACTTGTTTTAAAAAAAAATTTGGTAAAAAAAATTTTCCTTAGAAAAAATTTAAATGTTGAAAGTTTTAAATCTTCTTACACTTGGAATTAGAACCACTACGTTGTTGAATTTCAATGTTAAAATTTTGGCATTTTTTTAAAAAAAATTTATTACTTTTTTTAATCGTAAGGACATACATTGTCTGTTCTAGGGTTAAACTTTGTGCACCCCTAAATTAACAGAAGATTAAAATACTTTAAAGTTTCTGATGTTTAGAGAGGAATGAAAACCCATCGAACATTATCAGAGGAATTTTATTCTTCAAAAGCACTTAATCTAAATTTCTCCATTGTTGACACATGTATCACAAACACGAACAGGATACTCCCAACCCCTGGAATGAACAGGTTTCCTGGACTTGGAACAATCTTTGCACACCCCTTCGCCACAAGATCGACAGTGATGTTTGAGAAGTTTAGGACCAAATGGATTTTTGCAAACAAAGCATTCTTTTAAAAGATGATCAGGTACCCAATAAGTTGGACGAGCTGAATCTTTAATGAATCCTGAAACAATAAATGCATTTTAAAAAGTAAAATTTAGTATCTTTGTTAATATGAGCTGTGACATAAATGTCTTTTCTCTCAACAGAACTTGATCATCAGAGGATTTTAGACTGAAATTCTAATTTTGCTTTTAATTATTTTTATTAATTTTTGAAATATTAACTCCATTCTAAAACGTCTTTTAAAACATATAAAATTAAAAGTCATACTCAATTAGAATAGGAAAAATATAGCAAGTGATATTCTAGAATTTTGACAGGAACAATTATGATTCATTCAGACTTTGAGAGAATTAGGAATTATAATAAAAATATACTAACATAATTCTACAATCCACCATGTTTTGAAAGCTAGTTCAGAACCAAATGCGTAGGATGTTTAAATATTATCTGTATTCTGTTTAAATATTTCTGTAAAAATATTTTTGAATCTATCTGTTTAAATATTTTTTTCAAAACAAAATTTTTATTTCGAGAGAATATTTCTGGCTCATCTATCTTTGTTTTAACAAAAGTAAAAGTAGTCATCAAGCACTTCATTTACTAATATAATTTAGTGACGCCTTTAGTTCCTACCTAAAGTTATAGTACTATCAAATGATATCAACAAAGTTTTTTTAAAGAAACTGAAGGGATAAAAAAAAAAAAAAAACTGACGAAAAAAAAATAAAAAATTTAACCTATAATCTAAGGGAAAAAGTCTCTCCTAAAGGAAAGATGTGGATTATTTAAAGTTCTAGGGAAGAAAAAGTGAAATGTCTAACTGTGTGTAAAAAAAATAATATGCTTAACTGACAATTTTTTAAAATTAATTTGCATAAGAGCTTAAAAAGTATTAGAATTCACTGGAGGAACAAAAATGGTAGCATTTTGAATAAATTATAATAAATTTACTATTTTCAAAAATTGGACATTTGAAGAAACATAATTTAAGTGAGCAAATACACCAACTTTGTATTCTTTTATAATACGTTTCTAACTAATATACTCTTTACCGTATTTTCTGGTTTAGTAGACTATCGATACTCTTAAAGTATAATGAAAAATAAGAGTTGATCTGCACATAAGTATTAAAATGATGCATCTGCCAGCTAATCATGATATAGGGACGCATAGCAATTAAATAGATTTCTATACATCTATAATGGTTTTTTTCCTTGAAAATTATTTTCAATATGTTTTGTGCAATTATACTTTATTGATTTTAAGGTGAAATTTTTTTAACAAGGAATTTTTCTATCTGAAACAATAAAAAAGAAAAATTGTGAATTACATGATAAATAAAAGAGTTAAAAAAAATTAAGATTACTTTTGTTTAATGATTCTTTACAAATAGTATACTTGGAAAACATAATTTTTTTATCACTTTATTCATTATCAATAATGCTATATAAAGTAAATTTATTTTGATCAACATATTATTTTGAGCACAAATAGAATTAAGATAAGAAAAAAAAAATTATGAACAAAACTATGCAACATGTTTATTTCAGAAAAAACAAAGAAATTATAGAAAATGTGCATTTTTATCCCTCCCTTGTTTTTTTAAAAAAAGTTACTGCTCTCAAAGTCGTTTCAGATAATTTCCGTTATACATGTATATAAGGTGTTGAATAAGACAAAGCCAAAAATGAATGAGAGTTCAGATCAAAATAAAAATAATCTAAAAAAAATAATGACTGAAAAAGCAGTTAAAGGGTAGGTAGGGAGAGAGAAAGAACTCGGAGGAACCCATTTGGCATCTGACGGTGCAAACTTTTTACATTTATTGTATCATCATGTACTGTATTCATTTCAGAGGTCGAAAGTAACATGCTACGAGTAGCGAAACTACTGCAGTTACTACAACTTTTGTTGTACATAAAATAGTGCACTACTTTTTGGCAAGTAATGAGATACAAAAAACACTAGTTTGTAGCAATTTTTTGCAACTACTCTTAACCTTAATTTAGTAAAGAAACAAGATTTAAAAGCAACTCATTTTTGAATATGATCAGAGCAAATCTTACAGGAGACACAGTAAGAAAACCCACAATGTACTTCACATTGTTTTCTTTAGTTAAGTCAACTTAAACTTCAATATAATCACAAATGTTTGATAATTTCTTCGCATTCATTGAGATAGTCAAGAAAGGCATAAAAAGTAGAAGGTTGAAAGAGAAATTGGTTTATTTATAATTCTAAATAAATTTTTTTTAAAAAGAATTTTCTTTACACTTTTTTTAAGTTTGAACACGCGTGCAAATAGGATTCTCCCAAATGGGTATCCTAAGAAGAATTAAGTAATGATTACATTTCAAAAGTATTGTAATCATTACAACTTCTTTTCTTAAAAAAAATTTAGCTAATTACAACAGTAGTTGCAGTTACTACGAAATTCATGTTTTTTTTATATCATTGATTCATTTAGATGTACATTTGATGCTCAAAGAAAATATTTTTGATTTTCTATCCCTACTACCATTTCCTGTTGACATTTTCAACGATCGGTTGCTATGCTATGCTAAATACTTGCATTATTTAACAGTTTTTCCGAAACAAGTTTGAGGCATATAAGTGACAGATATCTGTTTGTAAAAATGTTTGTAATACCTATGGGATAACTGACTGCAGAAGCTACGGTTTCCAAGGTCGTATGTACAGCTTCCCCGAGTTTCCGAACAGTGACTTCTGGAGGATTGTGAAGGTTGTGAGTGCTTGAGAGATTATCTGAAACAGACACACCATCTAAATTAAGAAAGAAATATATACAATTAAAAAACCACAAATACTCTACTTACATGAAATAACTGATAATCATTTCAGACAAGTTTCATTTAAAATAAAGATAGAAATGTAGTTAAGCAAAACAAATAACAATAAAAACTTCACTCAGAATAAACAACATTTAATAACACCAGTCTGATGAAAATAAATTTACAAAGCAGTTTTTTTTTTCTTCCAAAAGGTGAGTGAAGTTGGAAGTAAAACTTTACGACACAAAACTATAAAGCTCCAAATGTAAATAACATTATATTTTTCAGCTAGGCTAATTGAAAATGTTGCAAACTAAAACCTGATGCAAAGAGAGTAAGAAAGAAACCTAAGTAGCCGCAGGGCACCAATTTTCGAAAATTTATTAAAATTGGAAGAAATCTACACGTTTGATTAAACAAATGATATTGTGAAGAACTATTATTTTTTAAACGTTGCCTTATTTTGTTTGAACATTCTTAAATTATTTAAGATGAATTTTAATACCGAATGAAAATCTGATTGCTCTAATTGCAATTTATGATTCATCAAGATTACTACATAACTTTACCATTGAAAATTGAAAATTCATGAAGAGTCAGTAAGACTTAAGTACATAAGCTATATACTTTTTACAATGTTTTTCCTTTTTTATACATTTGATTCAAAAACAGTATTTGCTAAAAATATTTTTTCCCTATTTATTAATAATATTAATAAAAAAGGTTTTACTATTAATACTATTTAAATAATACTATTTAAGAGGCAATGATATCAATTAGTTTGAATTAATGCTGTTCTACAGTAGTCGTAAAACAGCCCATTTCCAAATTTTATAAAGGTTCAAATAATTTTTTTTAAAAAAAAGACAAACAAACGTGATTCATAAAACATAATTAAGTTTAAATATACCTATGAGAAGAGAAGCATAAACATAGCTTGAGGAAATTACACTTAATTAAAAATGTGCGTAAAAAAGATTACATAACAAAATTTCAATACTTATATCAACTTTGACATCAGCATTCAGTGCGAGTCTATGTTAGTATTGCAGTTTGCTCACCAGAAAAACAGGTCTAATTATTGCCCAGAGAATGGAATAATAACTATGCAAAAGTGATATAAACAAACTGTTGATTAAACTGTTTTAATACAGAATCAATTATTATAGCAAAATTAAATTGTAACTTGTTTTCAATAACAATTTGGTAATACCTGGGAATGAGATAGCAAAAAAGAAGAAAAGGGGGTGATAAAAAAGCAAGTTTAAAAAAATTAGTAAACTATTTAATGGGCAGCAAATTTAATAACCAACGATATTTGTCTAAAAAATATCAAATTTGATGCTAACAATAATTTATAGCTAGTTTTTTGAACTTTTAAAAAAAGCATTGATGTATCATATTCTGAATGGATCAATGGGTCAAAAAAGCATTTGAAAATTTTCCATTTATTTTGGAATAACAAAATTTTGGTAACATAAACTTTTAATTCAAAATGATTATACTACTATAAAAATAAAACCATTAATCTAAATATGAAAGACATAGATTAAGAAAATTCACCATAGAAACTTCAGTTATATAAATAAAACATAGATTTTCACAAAATTTAAGAAGTATGATCCACCAATAAGCCGCATTAAAAAATTCAATCAGTTAGCACCTGATCTCAATCTTTATCAATCGATAGATTAAAATCATTGTTTGATTAGTTTTTACCCATTTTCAAATGCATATGATAGATACTTTTACGTAGTATTTTTATTTAAACATTCTGGGAAATATAATAAAAAATTGGAAAATCATTTCAAAGATGAAATACTTTAAATAAAGATGAAAAATTAATTTAAAAAAAAAAAGATTTGAAGAAGAATCTTATAACAGAGTCCCAATAGCAGTACTGATGTATGACTATGCTTTATATAACTCTTAAATGACCCATATAAACTATTGTTTTAAAAAAAAAATTTTTTTTCAGAATTTTTCGAAAGATCCAAAGATTTATGCATACACTAGGTAACAGATGTTGGATAACCACAGCCAAAAATCTGTCCATATGTATTTTTAATAAAATACAACATGAAACAAAAATAATTAAGCAGCCCCTCAACTTCAAGTCACCTCTGGATAAGATGATATAAAATAGTTCCTACCATTGTTGAAGCATTTGTCACAGACTCTTACAGGAGAAGATCCCCATGTTGGAACAATACGTGACTTTGATGCACAATCCTCACAAAAACCACCGCCACACGCTCTGCAATGATGTTTCTTTTCCATATCATCAAATTCCTTGGGGCAATTACCACAATGCTGAAAAAGAGTCATGCATTTAATTTTTTTTTTAAATAGTCAACAATAGTTTACAAAGAAAAATGAATTAAATACATAATAAAACACATTTTCATTTTTTTTAAAACTAAATATCTTTTATATTTCTGCGTTGTTTTATGGGGCTCTGAATTAAATCAATTTATTATGTAGTAGATTGAAACTAAATACACCTTAAAATATGGCTGATTTCTCACCATATAACTCTCGGGTAAAATATTAAAATAAATCTTACATTTTCTTTTACTATATTTTAACAGGTAAAATGTTATAACTTGGAATTATGTTCAAAACACAAACATTTGTTACACATCAAAATTTAATCTTAATGTTCTTTTATTCAAAGTATTTTAACAGTATTCATAAGGTGAGAAGATTAGAACTTAGAATTATATTTACAGAACTAACATCTCTTGCATACCAAAATGAATTTTAAATTTTCTTTTACAATAAATATTTTTAAAAACATTGACAAGAGTTATAACTTGGAATTATGTTTACAGTGTAAATAAATTAATTTTTGCTGTTTTTATGGGACAAAAAAACATTAATTCATATCTTTTTAAGTAAGAATAAATAAAGTCATCATGTTACGAATTTGTAGTTTTGTGGAAAACTTTCAGGTGTATAAATAAAATAGAGATCAATATAAAGACTTTATAATAAACAGTATAATTCAATTTTTGCATTAAACAAACTTTAAAATAGATATTTCGAATATAAATTATTATATCAGTTTTTGGGAACATACAAACAAAGTGTTACTTTTTACATTCATCAGTTAACATGCTTCACACACACAAAAAAAATTAAATAAAATTTTTTAAAAAAAGAGACACATAGGGAAAGCTTCACTGCACCATGCTTATTAAAAAAACATTTTAATTCTGAAAACTCTTACAACATTTATTTTAAAGTTAATTAAAATACTTACGGTTATTCTTGAGTTTGGTATCCAGTAAGAGGGGGCAATTTGATCTGCAACCCAACTAGAAAGTACTTTTGTGGGTTTTGCTCCAATGTTTGACACAATCTCTGACACTGTTGTAATATTATCAATTACATACTGTGCAGTATTCTGAGGCTTTGGCATCAGACCTTCAGGCTAAAAATAAGTTATTAACTACAATTAGAATCTGGCAACACTAATTGAAAATAAAAACAAATAATAACCACCTAGTAAAATATATTAATTGCTTACTGAAGGCTGCTCTGGCAAGATAAGTTTAACAGGTGAGAAAAAACATTGGTATAGGTGATAATAAGATAAAAGAGCTATTTTTAATAGGTCATTAAAGCTAGATTTATTTTAAATAGTTAGTAAAAAGTTTACTCTATAAATAACCATTTGTTAGAGTCATGTCAAAATCATAATCTCATAACGTTTTACCATTATGAAAGATGGCAGTCATTTTTCCCTCTCAACCAATTTTAGAGAAAAAAAAACTTTCTCCTCCCATGGTCAAATCTATTGCTAATGTGAAACGGGAGCTGATTCTTCATCTACCAAACTCTTTTACAAAGGCAACAACAGGTAATTTTCATTCATCATTAGTAATAGATTTAAATACAAGAAAAAAACCTGTGCCAAGACTGAAAACTAATTGTGTTGTTTTAAACTGTTCATTGTAATGGTAAAACACAATATTAGGAGTATGATATATTTACAACCCATTTTAAACACTAAACATTGAATATTCTTTTAAAAAAATATAAAAAATCCATTTGCTTAAAAAAATGCACTACATGAATTGACAATAATTATGCACTACAGGACAAAATTAACAGTCGCCTCTGGGTCTCGTTAAATAAAACAAATGGAAATTAAAAAATTGTCTGTCAATTGCCAACTGATCACCAGTTTTTTTCAGTTCAATCTATAAAATGCACCCCATGTGCATTTTATAGTTTTTCAATAAATATGGAACTCTGAAATAATGTTCAGTAAAAAAATTTTTTTCACGCTAGTTTCTTAAATTTTTTTGTCCATTTTAGAAATGAGCTATGTAACGTTTGCCATAATTGAGAAATGCTTTAAAAAAAAAAGAGCCTTATATATCTAAAATAAAAAAAAAAATTCAAACCAATTAAAATTTTCAAAAAAATGGCCACATGCTTTGAAAAGTGGCCACTGTCAAAAATTTTACAATTGGTCACTAGCCTGTAGCAAAATTTACTAATTTTGTCCAATATTAAATGCTATGAATTATTCTAATAGTTATAAATTAAGATTTACAAGAAGGATATAAAAAGAATGTTGAAAAAAGTTAAAGAAAAAGATATAAAAAATAAAACAAATTAAAACTAAACAATATACAGATGTAAAGAAGATAAAGAGGAAAAGAAGATGTAATAAAAAAAATAAAAAGAAGAAGAATGTGTATATAGAGAATTAAGAAGATTTTTTTCTGCATTTTGTGTTCCCAATATTTTTTATTATACTCCGGAAAAAATTGAGAAAAAATTATCAAATGTAATGCATTTAAATAATAATTTTCAATTTCTAAACAAGTGGATCAATTTATTATAAATAAATAAATATGGTAGAAAATATAGCATACTCTATGCTAGTAAAAAGAAGTGTAAGAAATGTAAAATATAATCCACGGTACGTAGCCAAATCCTTCAACAAAAAATAAGCACCTTTTAAGTACTTTCTAAGCACTCAAAAAATATTTTTAAGCAAGATATACATTAACAAAATGCAAAATAATTTTCAAAGACTATACATGATCGTGATAAAATAACTAGTTTCTGACAAAACACTATTTTCTTGACTATATTAGCCACTATAAGAAAGTGAGAGATTTTTCAGTTCGATTTCAGTGGGTAGAAAATTAAGACTGAAATTGAGAATATTTTACAAAATGCAGCCGAATTGCACATAAGGGAGCTAAAATCTCACAGACTTCTACTCAGAAGACGCACATGCACACTTGTAAGTATTTATCAAACATGTAAAATGATTGATGCTTTCATATGCTATGGACCGACGGTAGGCGAAAATGGATTGTGGTTGAATGAATTGTGAAAATGTAGAATAGAACAATGTGAAAAACACAATTTTGCATCATATGTGGCAAAAATTGACATGATGAAGACATTTTAAAAAAGGGAAAAATTAAGCACTTTTTAAAGACACCGAATGAGAAAAGTACCTTTAAGGGCTTTTAAAAAACAAAAATCGGAAATAAGCACCTTTAAGCACTTCTTAAAAACGCTACGCACCATGTAATCTCGTTCTTTATCAATCTATGAATTTAAAGTTGAATTTGGTTAGTTTTTATATATTTTGAAAAGCACATGATCGAAACATTTTGTTAATATAGTTATTTTTCGATATTTTTAGAAATAAAACCCAAAAATTGGAAAAAGGTTTTTAAAAAAATTAGCAAAATTATGAAAAGTGAGCAAAAAAAAAAAAAAAAAAAAAAAAAAAAAAAAAAAAAAAAAAAAAAAAAAAGAGTAAAAAATGACATATTAAAGAAATAATCTTCTGACTAAATATACTTATAGATCCAAATATAACATACTTCTGGCCATATGTGACAAATCTCAGTTCGGACGCAAGTGTCCCAAGGGTTTTGGTTACCATACCAATACTGACGGCTTCGATAAATTACTCCACATTTTGCACATTCCAAGATATAACTGTGTTTAATAGAAAAATAAAATTTAAAAATATACAATAGCAATGGAAGACTTTTGTTAAAAAATTCATTGCACTAATCATGCTGATAACTGACATAATGACAGAACTGTAAACGTACCCAGACCAGGCATATTTTGCGATTCCCATCCAAGATGAGTCATTAGATTCCATAACTTCAGGTGTAACAGTTATCTTTTCACCCCTCTCAAAGCAAACCTAAAATGTAAAAAGTTATCTTCAATAACTTTTTACAATTTTTTTTCATTAAATATTAAATGGGCAAGTAATTAAAATATAACTAAAAAAACAACTTTATAAGATGTAAAATAATTTATAATTAATTACCAATTTCAACACTAATCTTTTTTCAAGTAAACTAGCTATCAATTAGTATTAGTCACTCATTTAAGGCAGAGGTATGAAATATTTTTTCCACATGAGTGTACAGAGCAAAATAGAAAATTAAATAATATCAAAAAATTGACACACTAAATAAACATTGTCTAGAGGTTTTCAAGTACAAGTGTACAAAACGAAATATATTGAATAAAAATGCTAATTTTTTTGCTAAAATTCATATTGGTTTTAATTACTTTTAGTTAAACTATAAGAAATGAAAATGGATAAAAACATAAATTAAAAATATTTTTCAATGCATCAGTAATAATTACCTTGCATAGGAACACTCTGTTTTCAAATTGATGCTGATAGATACAATTGTTAGAAGAACTGTGAGGGATATCGTCTTTTTCGTGATTCATGCTATTTGAGCAGCGAGATCTATAATACATAATAAATTAAAATGTTCAAAAACCAATTTAAAGCTGGAATTTTCAAAAGTGATTTTATAAAAGCTCTTTAAAAAAGAAAAAAAAAAAGAAGAAGAAAAACATCGCAAAAAAGAGAGAGTAAGAGAAAAAAAAAATTTTTTTTTCAAAAAATTTATATTTGAAAGTAAATTGTTCCTTTTTTTAAAATTAATAATATAAGTTTAAACAAGGTTAGCCAAAGTTTTGATGCTTTCTAATCATAAATGAAACTGTCACATTAAAAACCTAAAAATTTACGTTTCCGTATAGGTATAATACTATTATTCGTATTCTAAGTAGCACATGGCAAAGACATTAAATTTTAAATAATTACATTCTTATACAATTTAGCATATTCTAAAAAGAAAATGCTAAAATCTCTTTTAATACATGCATATATATAGACCACTTTATGCAAACTAAAGATCAGTTGTAAGTTTTACAGTAAAGCTGCGTTGAGGTTGTTTTTTCGAAGGCTTCGTTGTTATATGAAATAATGCGCTTTTGCAAATAATATGCTACTTTCATAACTGCTAAGAGTTTGCAACAGTTACTCATGACTGTTAGAACAAGTTTAGCCTATCTAAAACTAGAGCTGTCTATGCCTATTCTGAAAATGGTGCAAAATATGAATATGCAACTTCATGTTTAAAAGTTAAATTACTAGAAGTGAAAATTCTCTCTTATTTTCTGGTACTAATATTTTAGCTTTTATTTTACTCTTTAGGAACATTCAAATGAAATAATAAAGTGTACTCTGTTTACTAAAAACTATAATTTCTAATTTAATTATTGTAACTAATTCAGCATTTATGTATTCCTTAGTACATATAAATAAGAAAGTTAATGTTTGAAATATACTCTTAAAATCTTCACATACATTATGATCTTATGAGTACCATAGATTTTTAAAAATTTTAACTAGTATGTCTAAAATCTAATTTTGAATTGAATTGAAAATGAATCAGCATGAAAAATGGCATGTATTAAAATGATTATCAGTATACATACTTGCAAGATTTACAATAGGCTGAGCAAGTGAAATATTGATCAGGAAATGTATTAGGTAGGGTTTTTTCTAAATTGCCACTGAACTTTTCATTTAAAGTCTAAAAAGAAGAAAAAATAGGATTACATAAAATCAAATAATGAAAGATTAGTCACAATCAGTTAATGAAAAATTGAATTATTCATATATCTATAAAAAAATTTAATTTTAATATATAAGAAAAATCACTTTTTTTATTAATGCCTGTCTTACTAATGTAAGCTTTCTGGAAAAAAAATATTTAGCAGCAAAATATTTTTTAAGTCTCCAAATATTTAAGTTATTTTACTTCAAATACAAAATCAATGCATTAACTGTTGTCAACCTGAAACGGTATAAGAGACTTTCAGAAAAATTCAAAACTCAAATAGGGTCTCTTCACAAAACTGCATGAATAAAAAAGGAATGTTTGCTAAATTCTAAATTATTAAAATGAATTCTGAAATAATTCTGAAATTTGAAAATAATCCAAATTTTTCTCAATACCTATTTTTTTACAATTTAGGGTAAATATTTTGCTTTGTTTGCATTCATACGATTCAAAAACTAATTTTCAAAAACAATAAAGCTTTGTGTGAATTATTCCCAAAAGTGCATGTAAAAATGAACAGAAGATTGATATAATGTAATTTTTCAAGCAAGCAACCAATAGACAATTTAATTTGTTTCAGATTCTTGGTTTTGGAATATTCATAGTCTACATAAGGGTGGTTTTGATAAAATAACCCATTTTGTAGAAATAGGATCTCATTTTAGGAAAAATTACTTTTATATAGTCTCATGTTATTTTTCACAAGTTCCCTATAAACAGGAACTTGGAAAGAAATTATGGATTTGATCCTAAATCCATTTACTACACCTCTGTCATCACACAAATCTGTTATAAGCTTTGCTCTGTTCAAAATTCTGGTTCAGCAATTATTAAACAGGATATTGAGAAAAAACTGTTTTACTGACCATGCAAGAGTTATATAGCATTGAATTTTTTATGAGTAGTTAAAAAAATTTATAAATAATTTGATCTTACTTATTTTGAAAATTTATATTTTTCCCTAATCCTTAACAGCTCTTCTTCTATCGAGGCACTACAGCCTGTTACAAGCCATCGTAAGTAGCACCAATTTAAACTTAAAAGTTAAGCCCCTACTTAAACTAATTTTCATCTGAATCAACAACTTGCATTTTCATCAAAAATTAACTGATAAACGAAACATTGAGAAAACAAAACCAAAATCTAGGTGGTTTTAATGGTAGATAGATTTTAAAAAATAAATTACTCACTTTAAGAACTGTGAAAATTACTGATGGAGATCTGGCTACACGGACAGAAGAATTTTGTACTAATTTAACCACTCTTTGTCGCAACTGAACAAAATCACTTTTTCCATTTTCAGCATGTATACCCAAATATTCCAAACTACTAAAAGCATCAACCTTCAAACCATTTTCTTGAAATCTTGATCTAAGTATTAGTTCTGGTTCTGTATCTTCAACTGAAAATATAAAAATCATAAAAACAGTGAAATTAAAAATAAATATATAGAACTTTAAGAAAATTGAAAAGGACTACTTAAAACTTTATGATCTAGTTTAAATAAAATAAAGTACAAAGAGGAAGTTATTTTGAAAATTTTGAAATGTTATGATAAGACATTATTATATTGGCAATATATATATATATATGTATTATTATACTATCTTGGTTTTAGATATATATATAATTATATATATTCTTTAAGGTTCTTAAAAGCATTTTAGTTTAAGCTTGCTAACATCTGAATATGAGTGTTGTTTCTCTGTTACAATCCAGTAAGCATAACATTATTATTTTTAGACTTTAATAAACATTTGAACATAAACTTACAATTAAATAATTATATATAGTCTTACAATTATTACAGTCATATAAACAATGTTATAGGAAAGTTAATTTCTCCAATTCCAAGTCTTAATTTCTTTGTTACAATCCAGTAAGCATATCATTATTATTTTTAGACTTTAATAAACATTTGAACATAAACTTATAATTAAATAATTACATATAGTCTTACAATTATTACAGTCATATAAACAATGTTATAAATAGTTTTTGGAGTTCCTATAATAGACATTAGACAGTAAACTTTTTTCTATTGACTGTAAACTTTGTTTTATTGACTGTAAACTTTTTTCTATTACTTGAAAGTGTAGTGTCAATCATATATCACAATGAAATTCTCAAAAGTACTATTTCCAACAAGTATATAAATGAGTTTAAACTATTTATATATTTATTACATTAAATATTCTTGTAAGGTTGTTACTATGATTGATAATTGGCAGTGCTTTTGCAGACTGGATCTGAATTGAGAAAGAAACAGACTTATAGTTGTTAGTCATGGAAATATTGCAGTTTATTTTAACCCATGTTTTCCCTTTTTAACCCCATAACCCTGCTCAAAGTAACACATACTTGTGATTATAGTTACCACTAGTGACTTGCAAAGAAGGGAGCCAAAGGGCACACACATTCAGCCAAATAGGTTTGCAATAACTGACTACGGACAACTAAAACTTTATATTTATTACTTTGATTTTATTATATTATTAAATTTATTTTGTAATTAAGGCTAAGTATATGAAAGACATAAGCATCAAGTCTTAATTTTTTTGGCAATTAGGGTATTAAAAGAGACAAAGGATTAAAAAACATTGATAAAAATCTAAACAAACTCAAGTAAATGAATATCAATAGCAGACCTGCCAACCTAAGAATTTAAAAAAGCCTTTGACTTTTTGTGACCACGGCATGGCGTAATATACAAAACAATAAAAATGTTTAAAAAATAAATTTACAAATTTTCCAATTTCATTTTTTAATTAAGTTTTTAACCCTAAAATTAAAAAATAATAAATAATTCTATTTGTTTAAAATAAATTAAATGACTGATTTAGCAATTTTAAAAAAAAAATTAGAAAATTTTTTTTCTAAAACTTTTTCAGGTTTTCCAACCAAGTCAACAAATTCTTCAAAGTTTGTTTCGACAAATAACAGAATTAAATCTGGATTTTTAATATGTGACGGAATATTCTCTCCTAGGTCACATCTCTGTGAGGAATGTTAAATACTGCCACCTTTAATTAAGCCAACTCACTGAAGATATTACTTTTCCTGTACTGAATTTTTGTATTAATTCTGTCAAAAGAATGAAAAACTTCTGTTCTGAATTATTGTCTTCGTATAGTAAAGCACAAAACTTAAATTTCTGGAATATCAAAAATTGAGCTTTGTCATTTTTTCTTAAAACTTTTACAAACAGAGAAAAACTATCAACAAAAACACACACACATGTGACCTATGATGTCAGTGCCAGTCGATTGTTTATAAGCAAAATGGTGTGTTAAAGTTCAATTAAGTTTCTCAACGTAAGCTAGAATGTTAATTAACATGAAGTTAATTAAATACAGCCCTGTATCACACAAGGAATTTCTTGAAATATAATAATTTCTCGTCTACACCTTTATTTAACTTAGATTTATTATTTGTTTATGCATTTTATTCCTACCATGATATATATTTTTGTTTGCATACATGGCAACTTCGATGCATAATTAGTTTATTTATGCTCTGCATGGCTGCGTTCCTCTCTTTGTGTTAAGAAATATATAATGAAAGAGTTAAAATATTTGTGAAAGAATATAAAATGTGTCACCCAAGAGAATTGATACTAGATGGGCTTGGTTTACTTAAAATAGAAGGGAAAGAACAGTTGCTAACGTAAACAAATGCCATGTTTCAACAACCAATCAGGAACTTGCAGGTATCCCATTGAAACACATTTTGTTAATGCAGTGCTTTGTAAATGCTAAGTTAAAGGCAGTATTAAATTTTTTTCTTTTTACGGTATACCTGGCGTTTCAAAATATTAAGAAAAAATTCTAAAAAGGAATTAATGATAAACCAAATACCTTTAAACTACAAAATTGCTGATATGGAGGAAAGTTTTGAAAAAATTATGCAAACTGTGCACTTATGCTTAGATTTATAAACTTATTATAAAAAAAGCTTGAGAAAATACTTAAATGGCCTGAGAGTTGGCATGTCTGCTATAGGTAAAGAATACAAATATAAAAATATAACACTTAATAAGCTTAATCTCTGAAAGTCCTTCACATAAAATACTATTTTTCAACTAGCCTGTTTTTCTCTGATGAAAAACAAACTAATTTCTTGTATATATTTATGTCGGTACAGCAAAATAATGCAGAGAAAAGAGCGCCTCAAAAATTTATTTACATATGAAAGGATGTAAGAGTTAATTTATCAATCTTAAGAACTTATCCTGATAATAAACAAATATAGCTCTTCAAAATTTCTTACTATTTGAGATCACATCAGCATGCTGTTTTTCATGAAAATTAATAACAGAAGGACCTAAAACTGGTATTAAACCATGAAAGGTGTATTAGTGAATGGCTTTAATTTTAAAAAGAAGTTAATAATAGATCAATCGTAATGAACAAAAATAGATTTTTTAAAATCTCTTACTATTCGAGAGAACTTCAGTGTGTCGGGTTTCGTGAAAAATAATAACAGAGGGGCCTAAGACTGATATCGGTCCATCAACATTACATCGAGCGGATGCTTCTTCTAGTTCTGGTGTAAAATGTTTGGTATATGCAGAAGAAGCATCACCCAAGAAAGAGAACATGTCATTGTGGAGGCGTTCAGCTCGAGTTCGGTAAATTACCACATCAGATATAGCTAAAACCTAGAAGTGAAAAATTACATTTAATAAACATAAGTTGAAACTATTCTAATTACTTGTTCTTAAAGAGACTTAAGAAATATTATTTAAATGAAGTTATCAAAGAAATGTTGATAATCTAACAGGTAGAAAGGGCTTTGAAGGAGTTAAATATTAGTACTTTGCTTATCAATGAAAAGAATTTGTTTCCGAAATAAAAACCAAAATTGTGGGTAAAATGATAAATTTTTCAAAAAAATCAATTGGGTCTAACCTAGCCATCTCTGCTGGTTAGTAAATAAATAAAAAAAAAATCCCTATTTCAGCAATATGTATTCTCTTGTATGAGTATTAGATGCCTGTCCTAACAAACTTTCAGTATCAATAGTGAATGGTGGTCTATCGAAACTAACTTTTGTTAATTTAAATAAAATTGATCTGTAAACAATGTAACTTCAGTAAAAAAGTTCCTTTGCAAACACAATGCAATTTCTTTTATGCATACTTTGTTTATCAATGGGGAAAAAATAGGGTTTTGAATAAGAAACCAAAAATAGGTGGCAAAATTATAGGTTTTTTCAAAGAAAAAAAATTTGCTTTTGAAATACAGACCAAATTTGTGGGTAAAATTATAGGCTGTAAAAAAAAAAAACCCTGCTAGCTCTAAATGATAAAAAAAATTCTTTATTTCAGTAACATGCTGGCTCTTGTATGAGAAATAGATGCCTGTCTTAAAAAAACTTCAATATCAATAGTGAATGATAGTCTGTACGAAACCTTTGCTAATTTAAATAAAATTGTAAACTGTAAACAATGTAGCGTTAATAAAAAAGCTCCTTTACAAATATAATGCTATTTTTTTTTGTATACTTCGCAAATAAATGGAAAAAAATTAACTTCGAAAACAAGTCCAAAATTGAGGGTAAATTATGAGTTTTTTTTTTGAGGAAAAAAAACTCAGCTAATCCTGCTAAGGGAGTATAAATAAATAAAATAAATAAAAAATCTTTACTTTCAGTAACATGCGGGCTCTTGTATGAGTATTAGATGCCTGTCCTAAAAAACCTTCAGTATCAACAGTGACTATTCCCACAGATGGACAATAGGCAGCCCAAACTCCAACTGTACAGGATTCTTGAGAAGCTGATGTCCTAAAGATTTCTCGCCCATCAAAAAATGTATGGTTCAGAGTGTATGATTTGCCATCGCCAGTATTACCAAATATTGAAACAACTTTCAGCTGACGACTACCACAACCTAATTTTTCAATAAAATGTTCAGCATCCTTTACCTATTAAAATAATATGCTGATGTATAAATAAAGTAAAATAAAATGAAAATATCAATAGTAATATTTATATAAATAACTAACACATGAATTGTAAACGTAATTTTTAAATAAAAAAAAAAATCACAATAAATTTATATTTGACTGAGTGAGGAGAGGTGGTTCACCCAACAAAAATTTATTAGTGAAATATCTCCAATGAAATATCTCATAAAAGTAAATATTCAAATTAAAATTTTGCTAGAAACAGAAAATTTATTACAAAAAAAGAAAGATAAATTACCTGCAACAATTCCTTGTCATTGATAAGTAGAAAACTTTTTGGATCCTTTGTAGATTTTTTGGAGCTTTTTAATCCATATTTAGATTCAACCTCATGCTCAGGAAATAAATCAGGTAAACCGTCATTAAGATTTGAGCTAAGGGACATCATTGTGCTGAGAGAATTGATGCTGATATGCCCTGGATCGTTTGATTGTTCCAAAATTGGCAGATATTCATCAGGAATTTCGTCACACGATAGAAATTCTTCTGCCTGAGTGGTAAATTTTGTCCTTACGTGGTTCTGTTTCGATTGAGTATGGATCAAATGATCACACACAAGACAAAAATTGCGATTGCAGAGGGAACAAGTAAGATCCGCAAAATTACGATCTTCACAATTACCTTCACAGAGTTCGTCAGCTGGAGGACCCGATATAATTTGTCTGTTGTGCAAATTTAGACGAAAATCTTCATGCAACAATGCTTCACATGCCTCACACTGATTTGAACCACATTCTTTACAATTAAAAACAGCATAAGGTTTAATACCTCGGCATGCTAATCTTTCGTCACAAATTTTCCTAGAACTTCTAACTCTTAAAGCTTTGAATTTTATCAAACGCGAGTTTGCTGAAACTGTTTTAGCAGACATCAAACAGCACGAAAGTTACGTCACTCAAGTCATCGATAAGGAAATTTAAACACGATGACAATGAAAAACAAAAAATGTTTATGAGAGAAATCATATATTTCTTTAGTGAGGTCACTTGTTGTTTGACAACAAAGTCACCTTAATTGACGCAACAGTGAAAAGATACCGCGTCAGATTTTTATTTTTAATTTTGTTATTTAAATTTTCTAATTTTTTAAGTAAAAACTATTAATTTCCTAAAAAATGCTCACGACATATTTTACAAAATACATTTTAATACGTCGGGAAAGATAATTTCAGCATATTTTTTTGTTTTGTTGCAACTTAAAAAAATTATTTTCGAGCAAAAAAGTTTCTTTTTAAATTGAAAGGTAAAAGAAAAAATTTGTGGTTAAAATAAATCAATTTTAAAGTATTATTTTCAACATTTACAATGACGAGAAAATTTTGTTTCTTCATGAATTTCTGCTAGTTTCGGTTTCATCTTTAAAACAACTTGGAAAAAAACTATGAATTTATTTAAGAATGTTACGAAATTAATAAACAATTTTAGCTCCAAAGAAAATATTTTGTGTCAAATTGTGTAATATGAACATCTATTTACCTTTTTTGTTTGCTTATTTGTTATATTTCTTTCAAATTGATTGGTGCAGCTGTAACCAAGGCCAAGAAGGGAGCTAAGACCAGGGAAACAGAGCAAATGGAAAGGAAATTGTGTTTGTGTCTGAGATTTGTGAAGAGCAAGCTGCGTGACCAGTAATGGATTAGGATCAAAATATTATATAAATAAAAAGTCTGTGATAGTTTTAATAATATTATCCGCGATGCAAATCACAATTTATCCTTTTTTAATGCTTCAAAGTTTGAGCTGAACGTTTTATTATTTATTTATGCTTCTGTAAGCCTAGAAAGCTGCTAATCATCTTATGTTTACATTTTGGTAAATACATTTACCTTAAGTAATAATCAATTAATTTATTCCTTTAACATTTATCTACTTCTTCTGAAAACAGTAATTGAAATTTTTATTTCGTTGAAACTCTTTTGTTCATATTCTTTTTCTTTTTATTAATTTTAACTTAACGTTGCTTGCGAAAAGATTTTATTTTGGCTTAACTACCTAAAAAAAATTTTTCTTCTATTTTTTGTTTTGAGGTGCTTTACTAATGCGTAATATTGTTATACCTATGCATTTAAACAAGCTTTAACCTTAGCATAACCTGTAATAATGCAAATTCTTTCCCCCTTTTTTTAGGATAAATTTTATGGATTGACCTGCACTGGAATATTTAATGTGTAAATTATGGCATCATGATTAGTTTGTGAGTGGAATTCATATTTCTCTTAACATTTAGATAAAAAAAAGTTATTAATTATGTTTTAGACAACTATGACTTTTTTTTAAAACTAAGATATAAATTTTTCTGCAATTGTTTCCATTTTTATAACCGAATTTTTATGCTAAACTAACATAAGAAGATAATCTTGATTTAAAAAATATATTGTATTTAACCTATAATGTGAAAAAAAAGTCTATTAATACCTATTAAAATTTCTAAATGAATCTTGCAATTTTCTTATCACTCCATTAAATTGCTAATAAAAAGAAAATTTCGAAATTCTAAAATGTATGACTTTACATATACTTCTGAGAACAAGAAATGGAGTGTAATCATGTGGATGATCTGCTCTCAGACCTTCTAAAATTTGCAGCATTTGCAAGGTTTAGACTTATAACCAGGCATCATAATTTGCTTGCCAACTTGTTTCGTTTAAATTTATAGACTCTTACTTATGATGTTAATGTGACTCTGAACAAGTTTTCAAGGCTGATCACTTAGACGAGTGCAAAGCATTCTAAACTGTTAATGATCTGCCTCATAAGTATTGGAGAGCTAATTGCATCATAGTCAAAGCTTGACATTTGTCAACGACAACATGTAAGCCTGTGACTTTTTAAATAATTTTATATTTAACTAAAGCTATTTATTACTTGGCTTCTTACATCACATATATTGTTGATTTATGTTATCAAACTAAACATAGTAATTAATAAAATCAGAGCTGTAAATTTGAAATCAAAATCAAGGAAGAATTTCAAGAGGTGGAGTTGAAAAATGTTACTCGCAATCTACTCTGGTTGGTTAAAAGTTAGGTCAATAGGGTGTTCCTTGTATTGGGCAGTGTATCGTGAAGCTTTTACTGTGTATAAAATCTTTAATTTTCTCATTCTTTTTACCTTGGTTTCTTATTAGAAAATCTTACTTTCAATGTATGAAATCACCAAAATAAAAGGGCATTCAATATTAAACCTTTGCCGCTAGGTCGTATAGGTTAAAAAAAGAAACAAAAATTTTGATCTTTTGAAAATTATTTACTCAAATACTTATAATCAGTATGCAAAAGAAATTACCTATTACTTTTTTTATGCCGCAATTATTTAAATTATATTTTATTAAAAATATAATTTATCACATTAGAACATCTTTGATCCTGTGGTTGATTGAACTCATTGGTTGGAAAAACGGCATTTTTGTAGCTTACTACCTTTGTTACAAATGTAGTTAACTACTACTGCTTTTTTTAATATAGTGACTACAAACTAGTTTTGAAATGTAGTAACTGCTTCACTACTTTAAGGAGACTAACTTTGCTGGAGAACTTCACTCACACCCATGTTCACACCCGTTTTGAATAAAAAAATTTGCATAATGTAAATAATTAAGCAAGGAAATATTAAGAAATATTTATTCGTGTTTACATGAGCCAGTTTGTTAATCCACAAATGTAAAAAAAAATATTTTACATTTTTTTTTAATTTGTTCATTTAACCTTCAACTTCTTATGCCTTTCTCAATTGCAAATATTTAAAAAGTGCTAAAAAACATCAAATATTTGCAATTTTAAGCATTTTATGCTATTTTATTTCCTCTAAGAAATTAAGTACACCGAAAATATGTTCCCTTCTTTTGAAATAAAATTAATGTTTCACGAGTGTCCATTAGCATGTGAAAGAACGACCAAAGCTGGCTAAAGAATGACTAAATATGTCTTTCTTGCGCTTCAGAGAGGAAAGAAATAATCATGATTTTTCTATTCTCATTTGAGATTTTTTTTTAATAATCGGTAATCGGTAGTTTTTAAGTAAAATTAATTATTTTACATAGTTGAATAAAGTAATTAATAGCTTAAAAATTCGAATGAGCAACTTTATATTGAATATATTTAAAATTGGGCATAAAATGTTTTTATGGTGGCTAATAACATCATGAGTAGATTTCTTTGCCACAAACTAGTATATATAAAGCCCTGTGGCAGAATTGTGGCGACATTGTCGCAGAATGCTACAGAATTTTTGCTGAGAGATTTTCATTTGGGAGGGGGAAATTTTGGTTTTCCTTTCTGCATAATTTTTCAAAAAACGTTTTTTTTTTACTGCATAATTTAATTTTTTTAAAGATGTTTTTCTTGCACATCAGAGAGGAAAGAAATAATTGTGATTTTTCTCTTCTCATTTGTGATTTTTGCTAAAAATCGGTAATGACTGGCTTCAGCTAGAATTTCAGATTAATTATATAAAGTAAAATAATTCAGAAATCGCAAAAGTTTAAAAGATAGTTCGCTCTAGAAATGATGTTCTTTCTTTCATTTTTTTTTCTTTAATGAACACCATATTCTATAAACACTTATTTGAGTATCTCTTTTTTAAGGAGTCTTATTCGCGTGATTTGTGATCTTTATCTTGGGAGTTACCACAAGGATTTTATGATTTTTAATTTCTGTGCGAATTTTTGTTTATTACCGTTTAATTTATTTATGAATTTTAATCTGTGTAATGATTTACAAAATTCGAATGAGGAAGTAATGAGTGCCTTTTTCCGCCCACAGAATGTGAGAATATCGCCTATAATATTAAAGTTATAAGAATATTATTTTTCCAATTAAAATTTTTTATAAATTTTTATTCTGTAAACACAACGTTTCTGTTACTTTAAATTAGTAATTGTTTTAAAAGTATCTAAAAGCAAAATATTAGTGCTAGGGAAGTTTGTTGCAGCAAGTGCGAAAAAATTCTGCCTTAGGGATATCACGATAGGATCAGTCTTTTAAAATGTTTCTGCATTTTGATAATTTTATGTACATCTGTAGTCTTATACGAATCTTTCTATATTAATTCATGGATAAATATAGATTTTGTTATTAATTTCAAGATTTAGAAATCATTCTTTAACAAACAGCTGTAAAAAGTTAATGTTCGAATTAAAAGATTATTTCATGAACTTTTTGAAAATTCACTCATTAAAAAAATCCCCGAAATTCTCTGAAGTCTTTATGTCATCATCTGTTAAAATGAATCAATNTAGGGTGACCTGGGGTAATTCCTGATCAAAAAATGCAAACATCTATTTTGTAAAAAAATTATTCAAGATAGAATTTTAATATTTACTGGAAGTTTGAGGCTATATGAGATGAGTCCTATTCTACCTTCTTTTGTTTGAAAATCTAATTAGAATTCAAAAGATTTAAAATTTTTAGTGATCAGGAATTACCCCGTCTCTTGATCAATTCTGGGGTAAATCCTGATCATTTCTGGGGTAATTACTGATCACCAGTTTTTATAGTAAATGGGCTGTTTAAAAATAACTATACAATGGTAATTAACAAATAAGACATTAAGATCAAACAAATAAACCAAAAAGATATGTTTAAGCAGCTAATAAAACAATTTATTTAAAAGCAAGAATAAAGATTAACACTTTAAATTTTCCAAAAATCTTTGCATTGTGCCATACATTTTAGGCAAGCAGCCATCTCATTCTCATGTTCTGCTGGAATATAAGAAAGAGTTCCCACATGGGTTACTTTTGCTGGACTTTTTAATTTCACTAAGTGAGAGTGTAAAGTATGTCAACAGCTCTGACAGCAGTTCTCACACTGAAATTTTCATTTTCAATCAGTAAAAGAAATTCACTGATTTTGCTTAGTATCCTTTCTAGAAGCTTAGCATCCTTTTTAGGCCTATAATTTCTCACCATATTTATATTAGGATGAAGAAATGGCCATGAAATGAAGAAATGGAGACCAGAAATGGTGCAAATCAGAACACATTTGTCTTGTATAGAGTTAAAAACAAATTTTGTGATTACAGTTAAAATATATTTTATAGTTGTTCCACTTAATAAATATGAACTGTTATTTAAGAAAAGACAATTAGCTATTTTTTTACACTATTTATAAGAAGAAATGACAATGATCAGGAATTACCCCAGTGATCAATAATTACCCCATCTGTAGGGGGCAACGTTTGATATAGTTTCCTATAATCAATTATAATGTTGTTATGATCAATAAAAATTATGTTAGTGAAGATCATCCACAATGTTTAATATGCATTTTCATTTTTCGAAAAGTGCAAAATTATATTTTTCTTTTTTAGGTATTGCCAGTTTCATTTCTCCAATTCTCGCATATTCTGAAAAACTAATACAATGAGTCAAGATGAACCGAAATGGACTTGTAGTGCTTGCACATTTGAGAACTGGCCTAAGTCTCTTAAATGTACGATCTGCCTCTCTCCTAAACAAGCTAATGTTATATCACAAGAAGACTCTCAGGATATATACATGGTAATTTTCTTCTTGGTTATCTAATCCGTAGCTGAAAGGTGTATTTGCATGTCCAGTAGAATCTGGATTGCTAATTTTTCATGGGACCATTCATTGCGAGCGATACATACAGGAAAACGATGAATATGGTCAATATAAAACATTAAGTAATGACTTGAAAATGTATTAAAAGTAATAAAGAAGTAATGTGCTTCAAATTAATAAGGTTCACTTTAAGTATATATAATATACATATAAATTTTTATTGAAAAAATTATGTCCTTAATGCAAAAATACTTACAATGAAAAATAATGAACAAATTTATATATTTAAACTATTCATAAAAAATTTTAGTTTTAATACAATCTTTTTTTCTCAGTGAAGAAATTAAATTTTTTATGGTAGTAACACATTGCTGTTCATTTTCTGTACTCGTGAATCAATACCGAGTGCTGCTTAGTGTTCAAAGGACCTTCTGCATATGGTTGTGGTTTTGTTTCGCTTTCTTATCAGTATCACTTTGCACTTCTTCAGCTTTTGCAACCATTTCTTGAACCAAAAGTTTAAACTTTTCATTTCATACCACAACTTTCTCCACTGTCATAAAACTGCAATAAATCCTTATTTTCTTCATCATTAGTATCAGGAGTTACTATTTTTTTTCTTCTGAAAACGAAAAAACTTTGATATTTTCAAAGGTCTGTAGAATTTCCGAACAATAAACGTGGGAATTCGCTAGTTTCAGAAACAATTTTAAGTCAGCATTATTAACATTATAAGAATAGCATTTGTATTGGGACCTTTAAAACAAGACGATACATATGGGAAAATAGACGATACAGGAACAGTGTATTGAGATTTGACTGTAATCAGTTATATTACTGTTGTTGCAGTTGCTGCAATTCACCTAGGCTACTCAGAAACACATTTTTGCTCATAATAGCTCTAATTCTGATTTAATTATAAATTGTTTAACAAAATATTTATTGCATTAAGAAGCAAGAATATCTGTTTTTGAAACTAGTTTGAAGTTGAAAGCACCTCTTACCAATACTTTACTGTTTTCTGTTAAAACTATTATTTTAAACAGCAGAAATTTTATTTTCCAATTAAAATTAATGTAAGTAAATTATTGAGGATATGTAAGCTTATAAACTTAGAAGATTATAAGGGAACTTATATATCAACTTATAAACTTAGTGAAAAATTAAATATTTGAAAAAATAATACGATCTTTTATAATTTTTTTCGAAACCTGAAAAAACCTTACTTATACTCTACTATACTTACTTATACCATACTCTACTGGTAATTTTAGTGTCAAATGTTGCTGTACGTTTAGATTTGCATATGTTTGTGAACATATGTTGAGATTTTTAACAAACTAAACTCAAAATACCGTTCAAGATGGACATATGTAACTAAGATGCCTAATTTTAACTAATTCTAATATTGATAACTTGGTTAAAAAAAAACTTCAATTTGAAAACTGATTTCTAATAACTTCTTGAAATTATATATTTTGCGTAATTTATTTTATCTATGACCTAACTTACTGATCCTAATTGTACATTTTATTTATTACATATATTTTTCAAATCTCAACTATCCAATCTTCTATGAAAAAAATTGCAAATGGCATAAAAATCTCAGTCAGCATTTATCACTTTTATATTTTACGGAATGGAGGAAAAGTCGGAAGATGTACTCATAATTTTTTTTTCTCTTTTAATATTAGCACACTTTCCATAAGCGCTAACCTCGTCTGAATTAGATTAGAAAAAAATTTCCTTGATAGCTATTTAAGACAGCATATAATTTATATTATTTTATCTGACTAATGACTTAATATTTTTCACTTACTCAGATTGCTCCATTAATATCTGAAAGCAATACGAATCCAACAGCCCAGAGCAGCAGCGCTTCATCGAATCCTCACAACAAGTGGTCCTGCTCCTCTTGTACATACCTGAACTGGCCTAGAGCTACAAAGTGTACGCAGTGTTCATCTGTTAGAAAACAGTTTCCACCCTCCCCAGTCCTAGAGTCTTCTAATATCAGCAGCCCAAATGAACTTCTTTCAAAATCACCAGATGTTGTGACAACTTCAGCATCCATTCACTCTGACAGCTATTACAATGACAGGAATAAGTCTTGGAGTCGTACAATAAAGTGGACTTGCCCTTCTTGTACCTATGAAAATTGGCCAAAATCTGTGAAAGTATGTTGGCTGCATGATTTAAATCACTTGATTTTTTTTTAAAAAATCATTGTTTTAAAGCAGTGGTTCCCAATCTGGGGGCAATTTAACCTCACATTGGAGCCATAATCCTCAGGGGGGCAATGAGTATTCAAAAGAAAATAAATACAAATTATTATAAATAACAGTGAATATTGATGAAGAAGGAAAGAGGTTAAAGATTTGCTTGAAAGGGGAACTTTGATGATTATAAAGCTAGACATTCAAACTTTAATTGAAAGCACAAGGCAGTCATTGTAAAGATGAACAATTGAGTTTAATATTTTAATTATAATTGTTTTCAATTCTTTCAGGTTTCAATTAGAAAAATATATATTTATATTTTAATTATTTTCCTTTAAGTATCCAGACCTTTTTGAAAAGAAAAAAAAAAAAAAACTTCACAAAAGCTACATTTTTATTTTTTTCAATTCAAATTCAAATTATTTAAATTTCTAGTATTTCTGATGCTTATTAACAGCAACTTATGATTAAGCAAAAAGAAGAGGGCGATATGTGGCAGTCAACATATAAAGTTTAAGACTATAGATGGTAGTCAAAATCGTAAAGAGGACAATAGGTCAAAAAGGGCTGAGAACCACTGCTTTAAATCAACTGTGATTTATTATTTTCTTAAAACATTCGCTTGAGCCGTGGTGGCTTGGAGAATGGAGCGTTTGCCTTCCAATGCGATGATCAGGTTTGAATCCCAGTGATGGCTGGTCGATACAAATTCCCTATGGATCACGGGTTAGAGTCCCCTTGCCATCAGGCTAACTGTGGGAGGTTACCTCGGTTTTCCTCTCCATGTAATGTAAATGCGGGTTATTTGCATCAAATCCTTCTCCACGAGGGCAAAATTCTCCCAACACTTGATCCAGGAGTTTCCTTGTTTTCTGGATTGGGTTCAAAATTACAAGGCTATAGAGTTGAACATCAGAAGTCGTGAACACAAAATTATTTTTAAAAATTGGGTCAACTGTTCAATGACTCTTGCTGGCTGAGTGGTAGCGCGTCGCACTCCTGTGCCACAGGTCCTGGGTTCGATCTTCGGACCGGGCAAGGTTGATTCAGCCTTTCATCCCTTCAGTGGATCAATAAATGAGTACCAAGCATGCTTGGGAACTAAAAACTGGGGGTTCCGCTTTCAACTGACCACCTGACCGGAACATCTGCTCCTGCACTCCAGAGCCCAAGGTCAAGAAAACTGAGTTGGACACAGTAGGCCTTGGCCCTATATGGGCTGTCGCGCCACTGAGTTTAGTTTAGTTCAATGACGGTTTTAAAATAAAATAAATTCATTAAATAATATTATAATATAATAAATAAATTATTAAGTTGTAAATATTTTTATACAAAATTATTTATAACTACATCTATATTCTTTAGGTTGGGATATTTTTTAAAGTATGATTTCATTGATAATGTAGATTTCATCCAATAAAATAATAATAAGGGGAATGTATGTAAATTACTCTATTTAAAAATAAACTAATAATTTTTTTTTTTTTTAATTGTGAATGACAGTAAAATAACTTTCCCCTTTGTCTGTATGAAAAATAATTTGCTGGTAATAAACATTAAACATGTCTTAATCATAACCATTTAGTTATATGTTTATATAAGTATAAGTGCTTTTAAAACTTCAGTTAGTGTATGTCAATAATGAAGAAAGACTTCCCAGAGAAACTTAATATATATATGTGTGTTTGTGTGTATACGCATTAGCAAATGTATTCTGATCCAAACAAATTTATTCTTCAATAGATATTTAACTGATAAATTATCTAGGTTAAACAAAATTAATCATTACTTTATTAACACTTAATTTATAAAATTAAATAATAATTTTAAGCATTATAGTTAGAAATATTATCTTTTTTTGTTATATTGTTTTTAAATAATAGGTATTATTGACGCACTTTGCCTGTTAGTGCAGTTATTAAACGTAAAAAATATTTTTAAAAAATCTGATTTAAATCTGTATTTATTTAAACAGTATTTTTGGTATTTTTACATATAAACAGATAGTTTATAGTGAGGAGGAGATTCCTAGTATCGTTGATATTTCAGGCAATGAGTTGCTATGCATTTCTCAATCTTTATGATGTATTCAACTTCGCTTTCATGTAATAATATAAATATGAAATATTGAGTCATGATAAATTATTTAAAAGAAGTAAAAATCAAGTCAAGTTATCATATTTCTTGTTATGAATTAATTTCATTTTATCTTTTTTTTTAAAAAATGTTTTATATTAATATTATAGTAGTGATATTGATAATAATCCTCTCGTAGTGCGTTCTTTGCCACTCTGCCAGACCCAAAGTAGATCAATCTTCACAAACAACAGATGAAGAGAGCCGGTCTGTTCAAAGAGTTACCACATCTCTCTATTCTCCCATCAATTGCCCATCCATTCGTAGAAATGATCACTTATCATCTGACACCACAGAAATACAGGTTATTACATCGATTTGTTATCACTTGTTTTTAAAACAGCCATCAGTTGATTTTTAAAAGTTTCCCCTAATATTGAATTCATATCCTGTTAAAAATAGATTCACAAAATGTTACATTTTTTAGAAATGATTATCAAAAAAACTTTAAGAAAGTAAAGAATCATGTTACCTTAATGACCTACTTAAAATTAATAAAGTTTCCCTTTGTAGCATGCCAAAATGAATAATTATAAACAAATTAAGAAGCACAAAAAATAATTATAGAAAAAAGAGGACGTGGCACTTTAAAAGCTGTACATATAAATTGCCCTGTATCGTCTCTTAATATCAACCCGTTATGTGCAAAAATGAGTATTACTGTTCATGTTTTTTGCATATTTTTCAAAAAAATAGTAATAATCTATTTAATCCTTTGTTTGATAAACATTTCAAATTATAACATTTTCCATGATTTATTAAGTGCAAAATTAAAGAAAAGAAAAGTAAAAAAAAAAAATTATCATTTGCATACAACATTCTGTTAGAATTTTAATAATTTTTTTAATAAATGCACTGCCTTATCAAGTATGTCAAAGCTCTATCTTTAATAAAAAATTAAAGTCCTTTGGAATGGATTACTTACCAACACCAAAAAGTTGTCTATGTAATAAAGCACTTTTAAAGTTTTGTTTTTGCTAGAAAGAATGGCAATAAATTTTTGTTTTAGTTTGTTTAGAATTGCTTGAAGTTTTTGCATAAAAATAAATAAAAACAATTTCGATAGGTCAGTAATTTTTTGGGTAATATGATCCCTTAAATAATTGAAATTTTCTTTTTTTTTCCTTTTCTGAAATTGTTTTTATCTTTTGTAAACTGCAAGAGTTCATCAAATTTTGCTTCGAAATTAAATGCTTGATAATGCATGCTAACACTTCTTTGCCAAGCTTTTTATAATTAAAATAAATTACTACTTATTATCAAAATTTATTATAAAAATTAACAGCAGATGTATATTAATGTCTATATTATTTCCCATATCTAAATTTAAGATCTATTTTCAAATGCTCTTATTTTTGAAGCTAGGCTACATATATACTTATGAAATATATTAAAGGCGGTTTTATTTCCCTAGGTTTCAACTCCCTTAGCTTCAGCTAGTGATATATCCATAGCATCAAACAACTATTTGGAAGAATGCAGACTCCGTAATAGCCGTAGGAACAACAGAGAGGTGGACTGGACATGGTTGAATGCTTGTATGGGTGTAGTAGATGGGGATGCAGATCCTGTTATTGAATATTTGTCTCTGGGTGGGGACCCCGCCAGACAACTCAACGCAAATGAAGTTGCTCTGCTTAAAAGACCTTCTGCATTTGATTCCGGATTTACTCTAGTGCATTTAGCCATTCGCTTTCAAGTAGGCTTTTTTTTCTTTCTCTCTCCTATTACCTTAAATAAAGTTGAATTTCTTACTGAACACTGTGGCATGCAGAGATGTGTTAATGCTCAGGACAAACTATATTTGCTACCTCTGAAAAGTACAATGTAATAATAATAATGTTGACTCTGAAGAGAAGAAAAGCCTTATTTAATTAAAAGATAAAAATATTTGAATGATACATATTTACAAAAATTTTAATGCATAGTTAAAATTATTTTTATGTAAATGTCTGCTGAAATTAATCTTTCGTAAAATTTTATTATTTCCAGCAAAATATTCTTAAATATTTAAATTTTAATAACCTAAAATTTCATTTTTATGTTTGCTTGAAATTCATATTTTACTATTTTGCCTAAATAATAGATGCAACTAATAAAAAAAATTAAGTTCCTAATAAAAGTAACACTTTTATGTTGTAGACAGTTTAGAGGTCATCAATTGGATGCCTGTAACTGTTACCCCCTTTTCTGCACACCACTGACGCTACAACGAAATTAAATTCAAATAGCTGCCTTCTCTATACGAAAATTTAATGTTTAAATTGCCATCATAATTAAAGCTTTCATGAATGATGCTTAATTAAATAAATTTGATTTGAAAAAGATTTTAAATGGAATAAGGTTAATTGTGTATAATCCTTTGGTATAATTATTGATTGCTGACAAAATTCTGAAATTAAAATTATGTTAATTATTCTTATTTGACTACCACTAAGAAAAATTGCCCTTCATGAGTGCATAAACCAGCAGTCGTGAATTTAAAAAAAGTATTAATGAAAGCAGCTCGATTACAATAATATGTAAGTTAATTTTTGCAGATGCTTGATTTACACTTTCCAACTCTTCAATTTCAAATTTGTTGTTAATTTCTCTTACATACAAACTTAAAAATAATATTTGGCATTTGTAAAAATAGTAAGTGTTGAGAAATGTTTCAAATTTTAATCTCATGTAAAATTAAAAATCTGATAAGTTTTTTTCTAACTTTTATTTATCTTGGAAAATCATAAAATTTAATTAAACATAATATTAAGCTTACCCAAATGCTACTCTTAGGTCTTAGTTTTATCCATACCTTTAGTTTTTGTTATTTTATAGTAAAAACTGGCTTAATTAGCTGTAAATAATAAACGTCTATTGATGTGTACAGAAATGACGTTCCCTAATGTGTACAATACTATTAATGAATACTATTTTTTGCAGTTTTTTTCCTTTTCCTAACTTAAATATTTATAAATATTTTTAATAATTATAGAATATTAAATTAAAAAATATTTTTAATGCTTTTTATTTTTTCCAGCGTGAGGATCTGTTAACACTTTTACTCTCTCACACTGGCATGACACGACCTGCAGCTAAAAGAGTTCCAGCCGACATTAGTCGAACTCTGGCAGCTGACATTCGCCATATGATCACTGCATCACTTAAGCAAAGAAGAGGCGAATTTCCTTGCTATTTCGTAACTGAGTGTGTTACTTTTTCTCTTCCTGCAGGTAAGGTTTCATTACAAAAATTTTCTTTAAGCAGCAAATCGTAAATTCAGAGTGAATATTTATTTTTCCGTGCTCAATATTTTAGAGTATTTTTAGTTATGCTCTGTTAAAGGGTGTCTTGGAGTTAGATACTACTTCCTTCACCTCGCATGTTAACATACAAAAAATTATAAGAGTACTAATTTTTTATATCAACAATGACTATTTTGGAATAGTGTTTGTTTCACTTTATTCCTATGGCAGAATCGCAGCAACATGGTTACATTGTCGCAGAATGTTACAGAATTCTTGCAGAAAGATTTTTCTTTTGAAAAGTAAAAAAAATATTAGTTTTCTTTTCTACAGAAATTTACATGTAATATTTCAATTATGCATATAGATAAGTTCTTGCACGCTCAATTTACACCGATAATATCATAAATCGATGTAATGTTTCGGTTGTATTTTCAGCAGTTATTGATATTGATTTTCACATGGATTTTAAATATCCCGATATATTTCAAACAATATAAAAAATTCGAATCGTGCATTTGAGTATTTACTTTTTAAGGCAATAATTATATCAATTTTTGACAGTTATTGCTATTGATTTCCCCCTAGTTTTTAAATCCGATGTTTTTTATGTGATATTATTTATTACAACAATCTAATCTCGAAACAAAACCCGCATTTAAGGAGTCCGATTAGCATGATTTCATCTTTCAGCACATACTACTACAGATTTCATGATTTTTAATTATTTTCGTTGTGATAAATATTTAATTATTTAAAAAATAAGAAAAAGGAAATAATTTGTGCGTCCTCCCCAACAAAATGCAAGAATATCATATTATCAGAATAAAAAATTATTACATGTTCAATTAAACTTATATAGATATATACTTTCTCTTCTGTTAACCGCTTTTGTTATTTTAAATTAGTAACATATATGTTTTTATTATTAAAAGTATCTTCCAGAAAGATATTAGTGCTAGAGAGTTATGTCGCAGATAGCTCGAAAAATTCTACCTCAATGCACTTTATTCGTTAAAATGCATTTTATTGAACCAAATTTTAAAATTTTAGGTTTTTAAATATTTTTTTTGAATTTTTTCAAACTTTACCAAAACTACTGTATTAGCTTCAAAAAAATTTTTAAACTTCAAAAAATTGTGAACCTAATCAATGGGAAATAAGTTTTCATGTAATTCTACGAAACTTAACATGGAAAGTTAGGGAAATGGAATCTGAGGGGCACCTTTGAGACTGTTCTTAATCTCCTTCATCATGTTAAGGACTTTTTGTCAATAATATACCATTTTTATAACTATTTTGAATTTATAATTGTTAGTTTAAGTTTTGTCCATTGCCTCTATAGTGATTATGAAAATGGTGCAAATTGTTATTTAAGAACTTTTTTTTTCCTTCTTTTTTTAATGAAAAACGAAATAATATTTTTTTAATCTAAAAATATTAAAAATTGAGAAGTTGTTCCAACTCTTTGCGTTCATAAAAAATTTTAAAAATTAAGAATTTATTGATTTTAAAAAATTACATTGTGTCAGAAAGATTTCACCAAATAGAAAATTTTTTAAATTTTAAAGAAAGTTTAATAATGAAAAAGTCAAATAAAAGCTTTAGTGTAAGTTTGAGAAACTTAAATTATGTTTTTCTTATTATATTTTGTGTTCCTTTGTGAAAACTGGGAAAAATATTCATGATCCCTTGTTAATTGGTTAAGGCTTTGACTTCCATCTCTATGTACAGAAATTAGACTGACTCACTATCAAAATGTTGATAAGAGATAAATTTTTTGTTATTTTTCTTGTGTTAAATTCTATTTTTAGTACTGCTAACACTAAAAAAAGAATAAGTGGCTATATTCCTCACATTTTTAAGCAATTATATTAATAAATAATAATAAATTAAGAATAAATTTTTCAAAAAAAAAAAATTGTGCAATAAATTAACAGCCTAGTAGTAGAGTTGATACTTTATCATTATAAACAATTATCAAATAGTCTGTAAGATAACAAAGAGTTAATAAGTGAGGTGAGGAATAAGAGATACTACTGAAACATGGCCCTAGAAATGTTTCGTTTTCCTTTTATTTATTTATTTTGAAATGCAGATGTTTTTACTTTTGATACACGCACTTGGCTGTTTAATGAAATTCGAAATTGTGAAATAATATTTAGTACCTGCCATGTCTATTTATTTGCTATAGCTATAAACATATTAAGAGTTATGAGTGTTTGTACATTTTTAGATAGATAAAGAAAGAAACGTCATTTTAAACTTATTTCTATTTGCAGAAATAGAAGATTTCAACCCTATTGTTCAAGAAAAACTATTTGATGATCTCTTAGACAGAGATGCACAAAAAGGTTATTTCAATTTCTTCTTTCTTTGAAAGTGTTTAACTTAATACATTTAAAATTAGTTACTTAAAATGGATACCCAGAATAAAAAATGGTAGATCCCTACCTGCTTTCAATTTTGTGAGAAATGTATAACAGAAGACTAAAAATAAGTATGGTTTCACAACTAATAAAAGTCTTAGGGTTGAGAGTTATGGTAGAGTCCAAATTCCCAAATGATACTTCGGCAAATGAAATATAGACGATACTAGTATACTGTCATAAGTATATAAGTCGATATCTGCCTGTTTTGTTCTGAGTGTCCATTGTTATGTAGAAATAAATGTTAAATGTGTATGGAATGCAGGGCTGCCAACTTTCTACGCTTTTTGTAAAAATTTATTCTAGTGATAGCTATGTTTATGTTTTATTGTATTTATTCATTTAAACTTATTTTCCACCCCACTACATATAAATTATTTAAATATTCATATGCTTTGTTCCAGCTTTCTCACAGCAGCTCTCTTAGGATTTTTAAATGCTAGCAAAATTACTAAAAATTCACAAAGCTATGATTTTTAAATGTCTACCACTTAATAAAAATTTTGGCAGAAAGCGTAGTAGTTGGCAGTCCTGGGAATGTATATTGAAGAAATGTATGTAAGGAAAAATTGTTAAGACTAAATCAAAATATGTGTGATTCACAATTTTACAATATTTTATAGCAAGTAGTATAAAAAGAGGAAAAAAAATGACTACAAATCATACATGGTAAAAGAAATTTAAACAAAAACTAAGATAAGAAAACCAATAGTAAATAATAGAGCAATATTATAAATATTTCATTGCAAAATCTTGTTTGTTTTTTCTGCTTTAGAATTAGAAGAAGAATCACCTATTATAAACTGGAGTTTGGAACTTACAGAGAGGCTTGGGTCCAGACTTTACGCTTTGTGGAATAGAAGTGCTGGCGATTGTCTTCTGGATTCTGCACTTCAAGCTACGTGGGGAGTTTTCGATCGTGATAATACACTCAGGCGTGCCTTGGGGGAAAGTTTATGTGAAGCAGCAGCCGTGTAAGTTCCCTTTAGTTTGTTTCTTTGGTTTCTATAATTTTTTGTTATGACAATAAGGGAGTTGAAGAATTGTATAAAAAAATACTGTGCATAATTTAGCAAATGTTAACTTATAATCAATGTTTACTCTTCATTTTGAAACTGCTTTTCTTCTTCTAAGAAACAGTTTTAAATTGTTGATTACGAATGTTGATAAAAACTTGAATTTATTAATCTTTTAATTTGTTATTAATAAAGGGAGTGATTTTAATAAAATGTTAAAATTCTTTCTTTATTTATGTCAAATATTGAATGAGGATCATTCCAAAGACTGAATAAGGAACAAAGCCAAGACTGAAATTTATGTATCTCTGATATAGAATATAAATATCTGGTCCCAAACTATATTTTTTTTAAAAGTTTTCATTGTATTTAATAGTTATATTTTATATATTTTTAACGTTATAGTTTACATTATATTTTAATAGTTTTAAGTGACAAATTTTCTTTATTCTCATAAAATAATTTTTTTATTAAAATAAGTAATAAAATAAAACAGTGACCTGACAGCCGCCCATGGAGGACCAATCATACTGTGTCCATCTGAGTTTTCTTAACCTTGGGATCTAAGGTACAGGAACAGATGTTTGGGTTGAGTGATAAGCCTAACGCAAAACCCTCAGTGTTTAGTCCCCAAGCCTGCTTGGTACTCATTTTATCAACCCACTATGGGATGAAAGTCTGATGCTATACTTTCTTATCATTTTAGATTTTTTAATTTTAGTTTAAGAAGGTTCCAAGCACATTTGGCTACAAACAGTCATGAAATAGTCTTAGAAAACCCTCTCTTTCAAAAGCAAATTCAAATACCAAGATTGCAAAACAATTATGAACTCTTCATTGAGTACCCAAATTCTCTAAAATGCTACTTATAACCTTCAACTACTCAACTTTATATTTATTGTAGAGACTGCATGCATGCAATACGTTAAAATTGGAGAATGCCTGTCATATTTTTTTTTTCTTAATTAAATTTTGACAGAAAACTGAAGAATGGAATTCTGCAATTAAACATGACTTTATAATGAGTGTTAACTAAGTTTTTTATCATTTTATTGTCAAATACTAAAAATTCTTACTGAGTTTTGTTGTTATTTTACAGTCTGTATCCACGTTGGAAAGAAGCTGAGACATTGCAGGCGAATCTCTTACAGTTTTCGTTGGACGAGACTCAGTGGCAGGAAGATTGGGCGATGCTGCTGTCCCTCGCTTCTCAACCGGGCTCCGCTCTCGAACAAATGCACATCTTCACCTTGGCTCATATATTGCGTCGTCCAATCATCGTTTATGGTGTTAAATATGTAAAGAGCTTTAGAGGAGAGGCCCTCGGTTATGCTAGGTTTGAAGGTATTCTTTTTTTAAATTTTATTTTTCAGTTCCCTTTTTCTAATTATTGTTCTCTTCTTATGATGGTAAAATTGTATATCTATGATAAGATATGCAGTCTTTCTTTCATTAAGTTAAACCAAATAATGTAAAAATCTTATTCAATCAGGAATCAATAAAAATTTAAAATCTTTATTTGGTTTTTTAATGCACTAATTTCCTTGTTTCAAGGTATATACTTACCATTGTTGTGGGAGCCAACATTCTGTTGGAAATCACCGATTGCTCTCGGTTACACCAGAGGTCACTTCACTGCATTGGTGTCTCTTGAGCCGGAAACCGAAGATGTCCTTGGCGCTGGAGCTAACACACGCTCGGGAGATGATCTGAGGGTCATATTTTTACCCTTAATGACTGTTGATCATCAGAGGCTGCCTGTGCACTTCTTAACACAGGAGGAGGTAATTAACTATTGTAAATGCCATAACAATTTTTCTTTTAAGATGTCATCACTTCACATACGTTACACTTGGGAACTAATGTTGTGTTGCATTTGTAAAAATACTTGATTTTGCCTAATTTGGGTGTCGAGATTGCAAATCTGGAATTAGTTTTGCTCCAAGACAGATTTTTTTTAATGACATTTTTAGTCTATTTTTTGTTGAATACAGCATTAACAAGTTTAACAACGTTATATGTTGCTAATGTTGGGTTGCATAAATAACAAAATTTCCAGAGATGTTATGGCTCACCATCAGGATTAAAATTGCAAAGGAACCCATGCACGAAAACATTGTTGTAGGCGTCTGGTGTGCTTTCCTATTCTGACATTTTCAGAAGCAGTTCATAATAGAGCCCAATGGCTAATGACAGTATTTCCTTACCTATGCTGTTTTAATCCGGATGATATGCTCTTACTTTCTTAGAAGTTGGTCACAACTTCTATGCGACCCCCTATTATATACAAAGTCTTCAACCTTGTTCATTTCAACAAAAAATGTCATCTATAAAAAAGTAGCATCGATAGAGAAACTGATTGTAGATCTAAAATCAGCAGTACTATAGTATCTAAGATCTGTTAAAATCTCATGTAACAGAAAACAAAAAAAAAAATTTCCCCGTGTTATCAATTATTAATCCGTTACTAGTAGCTACCAGCTGTTATTCTTGTACCTTTTTGTCAAATTAACTTAGTATTTGTGAAATAGCACTGCGTTTTTTTTTTCAGGCAAAGAACCTATATTTATTGTCTGCTTTAGTTTGATTAAAAATTTCAGTAAAAATAAATCAAAATTAGATATTTAACTATCAAAATGATTCTCACCAACAAAGTTTCATGTGTAAATACTCTTAACAACCATAATATTATGAAGATTGATTATTGGCAAGTCCTCTAGTTCATCCTTTTGGATTGGATAGCTCTATATTCCTGGTTACTTCAGTGTGGATTATGCTGTATTAGTAACCTGTGTTAGCTTTGTCTTGTTTAAAAATGTCTCGGTTCAAATCTTTTATGCTTAGTGTGCGCAATCTCTTATCTATAAAAATCTATAATCTGCAACAAATCTTGAATAATGCTATTTATCAAACATGGTTGTGTTATACATTAAAGAATAAGAGTTAATCTAATTTTATGAATAATGTAGCACAACTGATACCTTTTTTTTAAAGCTTTATTTCATTTGCTTATATGGAGCAGGAGGCAGCACTGAAACACAGAAGCGCTATCTCTTTGCGATTGCAGTGCCAGCATTTTAACCACCTGCATGTTTAACTATCCTGTTATTATGCCTTATTAAACAGATTTATTATTAATTGTGTTATTCTTCAGTTCCAACAAATATATATAGAGAGAGACAGAGAGAAGCATATTTTTATTTATAGATAAATTTTTAAAAAAATGAAGTACAACCAATGAGAGCATGCAATGAAAAAATGCTTTTAATTTTCATTGCTATTAAACTGTAAGACCATTAAGATGACTGCAATAAAGTTCATAAAAGCTCTAAAATTTTAAATTCTGGAGTAATAAAGTTTCATGCTTCATGTAACTATTTTATCTTTTCTCTTCATGTTTTATCTTATTTGCATGTGTCCCTTTGGCAAAAAAACTTTAGATGCATGTACAGTATTCTCTATTACTTACTTAGAATTGAGGTTTATTTTAATAAGATTTCCCTACAATTATAATACAATTTTGATATTCCAACATACACAGTCCCCTATAGTTAATTGCTATTCTTAATTTATAGTTTAAACCAGTCGTCTCAACTCAAAATTGACAGCTATATCGGATTTACATCCTAAGGCAGTGTTTCCCAAAGTGTAGTGCGCATACCCCCAGGGGGACGGGAACAGTTTAGAGGGGGTACGCTTTCTTATGCGAAATAGTTTGCAACAAACAAAAATTTCAGAAATTTTTATTTAAAAACAAAGCTAGCCATGAGAATTTACAATGACCTAATTTTCTAATGGCTATTTTTTGCAGAATCAACAGTTAATAATTCTTGGTGACGACAGCCGGTTGTGATTTTTAACTTTTGTGCAATTTTTTATTGTAAAAAAATACATTTTTCTATTAGTGGTACACAGCGTTACGAAAAATTTAGAAAGGGTACACAAAAGTCATAAGTTTGGGAAACACTGTCCTAAGGAATTGCTCTTGATTTAAAATATTTTCTTTAATAATTATTACAAAATAAAAGCAAACAAAGGTTGTGATTTTTTGAAATGAAGAAAATTAGTACATAAATAAAAATTATTAAGGTATTGTATTTTTACAGTAATGTAATAATAGTCTATATAGACATGAACCCCAACCCTTTTTTTTTTTAAAGCTCTTAACACCTTCTACTGAATGATATAAGTTTTTTTTAACTGTTGTGACATAGGAGGAATACTATGTATAACAGTTGAACACATTAAATAGTTAAATTATTCATTAAACAGCATGCATTAACAGTTGCACTAACATTAAATACAAAAATGTAGCTCATTTTATGCTGACGACAATGAAATTGGAAAAAAATTTTAATATGACAAAAAGCTGTCATTTAAAAAATAAGTTAAAAAAAATGAAAAAAACTTTGTTGTTTAATTTTTTAATATTTGGAAAGTTATTCATCACTGTGCTGTTAAGGTTTTAGAAAAAGCATACAAAAATTGCAAATTATTCTTTGTAATGCTCTTAATGTAAAATCTTGCCAACTAGTGATTTTAGTTTAATTTTGACCATTTTAGTAAAATTTTTAAATATATTTTTAAGCTGATTTCTTTTAGCAAGATAATACACATAATAAAGATTTGAAGCTTTGCTTCACGTTTTTTCAGGATTCAAATTCGATCAAATTAAATTAGTTTCATTTAAGGACCATTCAGAATAATCTATGCAGTAAAAATAACCTTTCACAGCATTATAAAAATGCCTCCACAAAATTCCAATCTAAAAAATCAGATTTTTCACAGATTCTAAATTTCAAAAATAAACTTTTTGCAAAATATGTTTTTTTAATGACTTGTATAAGCAACAGATATATTATTTGCATTGTAGTTGGGCAGAGAGGAAGAAATAATGAAGCAATGGTTGGATTGTTGTGTGACTGAAGGTGGCATCCTAGTGGCACAGCAAAAAATACTTAAACGACCTTATCTTGTGGCACAAATGATTGAAGAATGGCTCGGATTGTATCGAGGTCTAGTCCGTAGACCCACCATTCACTCATCATCACCCGAATCTCATACTCAAGTCTACTCAAGTGATGGGGATTCTGATCAAGAATAATGAACTTAAATTTTGTGAGTTTACTTATTTTTACCCAAAGTTTCTTAACTTTTAATTATATCATTCTTTACTTTTAATTATTATTCCAATTTTGAAATTTACATATAAGTTACTTTATAAATTATGAAAGTTCTATATTATTTATTTTAGGAACTCTTATTAAATACCATCTTTTTTCTGAATTGAGGCAGAGAATATCTTGAATAATATTTTCAATAAAATAAAGTAAGAGTTTGCTAATATTCAAGTCTGTTAAGTTTGCAAAACTCCATGCAAACCGTTGTTCCGACCCACGCTACTTTTTCATTGTTAGAGCATTAGTTATAGATCATTAAGTATCAGGAAACGACACATACAAAACATGGAAATACATAAAATAACATTTGAAAATAAAACACCTGAAAATAATAATTGAAAAAGAAAGATGTAATATTGGCAGCAATAAAATGAATGTTTTTAAAAATGAGTATTTCTTTTCCCTCTCTTGTTTTCCCATACAATAGCAAAAAAAAAAATAGAAATTAAGTGTGCTAGCTCCAGAATTTAAAGAACTCTTGCTGTAAGTGTCTGATTTAATCTGGCTTTTTGCCAAATTTAAATAATGATGTGGATTGATAAGTTGAAAGGCTTGAGAGAAGAGGAGGAACAAAAGTAGGAAGTCTATAGGTTTTTATTTCTAAACAAAGGTTTACAAATTAACTAAGAAGGCTGGGTAGCTCAAAAGGAGAATTGAAAGTTACCCACAAATATAGCATGTTTAATGTTTGTTACGTGATGGTTAGTTATTCTATCGCTTTTTTTTGGGAGGGGCATTTATTTTGACAGTTTTTAAAATCCCATTTTTTTTTTAAATACGACATTATTTATTACAACAGTAACCTAATCTCTAAACGAAACACGCATTTAGTGCACCCCTTTTTGAAGAGTTGGATTCGCATGATTTTGCCGTCAATCTTTTTTCTGGTATTCACTGCTATGGATTTCACTATTTAAAATTTTTTTTTTATTGTAGTGATGATTTACGAATTGCGAAAAAGCAAATAATTAGTGTCTTTTCCTCCTACAAAAAGTGAGAATATCACTCATATTAGAATTTAAAAAAATATTACATATTCATTTAAATATATATATACAATTTTATTTTATCCAAATAGTTTTTTTGTTACTTTAAATTAGTAACATGTATATTTGTTATTATTAAAAGTATCTTGCAGAAAGATATTAATGCTAGAGAGGCTTGTTGCAGAAATCCCAGAAAAATTCTGCCACAAAGAATTTCATACAAACTCAAAAATATAGTTTACTTATTTAGGCATATCCCTTATTGTGCACAATGCCACCCTTATAAAAAAAAATATTGGCTACTGTTTAGGCTAGTTCCTCATGCACACCTTGATTTCATTGTGCATTTGAAATTGATGCCCCTCTGTTCTTTTATGAGCTCATTAAAGATATTGAAGCTTACAAATCTGGACTTTGTATCTCTATATTAGTTCCTTGCGTGTGGTGAACATTGTTTAGCAAAACAATTATTCCATGTAAAAGTCTACTTTCTGACCCTGTTAATCATTGATTCCAAGAATCAATAAGAATAGTGTCACTATCAGAAATGGAACCCATTTTGTTCTACTCTGGAAAACAATAAATGACCTGATAGCTGCTCGGTTATCATCCTTTTATGATTGCTTCTATTACAAATACTGCAACCTAACAAGTGAAAATCTAAAGAATACTCTTTTTCACACCAACAGATACATTTTAGGTTCATCTCGCTCTTTCTAAATAACATAATTTTGGTTTTAAGGTTGTTATTATTATGTTATTCATTGACTATTCATAATAATTTACCAGTGTTTGAAGCTCCATTTTACAAATTTTGGAAGTTCTATATTGATAACCTTACCAATTTTGTTATTTCTATGTTTTAAAATTATTTTACCAATTCTAAAAGTTCAATATGATATATCAAATCCTATGCACTTTAATAATGTTTCATTTGAATTTTTTTTTTCCAGAACATGATGCAATCAGCAATGAGAGATGTAAATAGTGCTTGTGAATATCCCGTCCAAGAAAAGGGGGACTATTTTATGTCATAGCTTCATCACCCTGTATATTACCAACAACATAGTGGGGGGGCACATTGTCCCCACTTCAGCTATTTTTCTCTAATTCTGTACAGATAGCAAGATGTGTATTTATTCAAACTCTTTTAATTTAAAAAAAAAAACTAATATTTATTTTACTCTTATTCAGAGAGAATCTAGAGTTATTTCTTCCCCCCCAATTGTAAATAGAAAAAAATAAAAGTATGTGCATAATATGCAAGTAGAAATTGTAATTTAAAATGGGTATGCAAATTTTAGCATTTTTATTTTACGACTGTTGATTCTTTAAATAAATTATATGTTTGAGACTTGGCGCAAAGAAAATCTGCATAACTCTGTTGTGTGAATATGAATTGATGATTGTTTATAAAAGAGAATATTAATTCTGTTTTTATTTGTTGTGATTTTAATAAATGTATAGCTAGAACATGGATGTCATTATTAAAATTTTTAATCCATTTCGACACATTATTTGCCTTAGTGTGTGCTAAGCTGAGATTTTAAAAGACTCAAAAGCTTCGTATTTTTCTCCTTTTGATTAATTGAGTTTTCATTTTAAATTTTCCTATGACGTGTGTGATTTGCTTTAAATGTTGTTTTAAAAATAAATTTAATATATTACTTATAAAACTTAACTTTATTTGAAATTGATAATTCCCGATTTTATCTTTATCCCTCCCCATAAGGCCAGAAGAGAATTCTTTGTTGGAACACTTACTTACTATGCACTTTGTTTCCCTGAAATAAAATTATTATCCTTGTACAAATTAAATTTATTTAAAAATAAAATTAACTATGAATGGCTTGTGGGTGATTATTATCATAACACGCACATACACATATCTTAACAAATAAGTATAATGGTCAAGATCATACAAGTTTTAGTGGACTAAGGCCATTTTTTCTGTTACCATAAAAAATAGTTATTTTCAATTTTTTTAAAATTTATTAAAATATTATTATAAAATTAAAGTAGAACAAAAAGGACACTTGTGCAATACCGTGATGTGTTGTGTTTTTAATAATAAAATTAAGTGCTTAAAGGTGCTTATTTTCTATTTTAAAAGCCCTTAAAGGTGCTTTTTTTTTTGGAAATTTTGAAAAAATTTATTTTTCCTTTTTCGAAAATGAGATTTTTTCTTTACCATGTCGATTTTCACATTATTCAATGCGAAATTTTCACAATTCATTCAGTCACAATCCATTTCGGCTTATCATCGGTCCATAGCATATGACAGCGCTAATCATTTTACATGTTTGATTAAATACTTACAAGTGTGCATGTGCGTCTACTTAGCTGGGTTTGGTAAGATTATTGCACTCTCATGTACTGCTGCATTTTGCAAGATATTCTCAATTTCAGGCTTCATTTTCCACCCTCTGATATCAAACCGATGTGGTGGCTATTTTTTATGGTGGCTAAGATAATCAAGAAAAAGAGTTTTTTGTCAGTCTATACTATCATGATCATGTAAAGTCTTCGAAATTTATTTTGCATTTTGTTAATGTATATAGTACTGAGTGCTTAAAAAGCACTTAAAAGGTGCTTATTTTTTGTTGAAAGATTTGGCTACGCACCCTGTAAACAGGATACACCCTGCATGCTTTCACATGGGAACTTTTCTGTTTAACAAATGAAAAGTGTTATTCATTTCCCTAAACTCCCTTTGAAAAATACATAAAATATAAAATCAGATTCAATGCATGAGAAAAAGGTGTTTTTAATGAACCTTAGACAAGCAAATTAAGTCAGGAAAGAACACCTTTCTTTTGACGAGAGCACATCTTGGGTGAAAATACGACTTCACTCAGAACCTCCCAGATAAATAGCAAAGTAATACAGTTTTTAAAGCAAAATGAAGAATACAGGAACAAAGAATTTTTATTCATATAAACCTCAAACATAGTTTTCAATTTTTGTTTACATACATCCAGTAGATATTTAGAGACTCTGGTGTATTTTTATTTAACACATTTACTGCCACTCTTCCATTCGTGCATGATAGTCACAAAATTAGCTTACTGCGCAGGTGCAAGATGACATATTCCAATCAAAAACTTAGAAAATAGATACACAATTTTTTTTTAAAGGTGCCATGACTATTGGATTTTGTTAATCGTCAGTGATAATGTTTACTATATAAAAAAAAAGCTTAACTTTGTAATCACCAGATCTAGTATTTATTACACTCCCCAAATATGTGTGGTCTTTTCTTATTTTGGAACACAACATTTGAGTGGATTCCAAACCAACAAAGGTAAAGTTTGAGAAAGGACTGGAAATCCTATCCCAAACTAGGCTGTGATTGGCTAAGGCTTTATCCATTGTGCTGATTGAGAGACTCTAACACCCTAGGCTTGACATCAGAGGCATGAATTCACTAGATAAATGAAAACCCCATTCTTCACCTACGATTTTTATAGGCTGCTTTCAGGCAAGCATTGTTGGGTGAAGAGAACTACAAATCAAGCGCATAATTATCGCTTCCTTGCGTTGCGAGGCAATGTTTTGACCCTCCTTGCAATATGTAGTTTTTAACTTCAGGAATGGTGTAAATTTGACAGGCCTTTTTTCCAAGTCTGATAACTCAGAAGACTACTTTCAGGCACCTGTGTTCACTGAACAGTTTGGTATTAGTTTTTTGCTTTGCACTTCTTTATAAGTATTTAATGCAATGTTTTTATGTACCTAAAAAACAGTAGTCATATTTCAAAATTTTATTGAAAAATATAATAAATTATTAACAGGAATGCTTTAGTTTGTGTGTACACATACACTCATAATATATTCTTTAATACAATAAAGTTCTTTACAATCACTGATTAAGTAGAGTGCTAACAATCACTTTTCCATCAATGGTACCACATATGCATGTACTAATTTCCATAGCTGTGGACCAATCAACAGTGTTCACCGGTTTATTATGACCACCAATGTCAAGTACAGAGGTAGCAGAAGATGGTGTAACCTAGAAACAATTAAAAAATATTCATGTTTTTTTTTCAAACAATGCTCAACATTCTTTATAATTCCTAACAATTACAAATAGCTATTAATTTCAGATCACATAATATTTGATCACTAAAAATATGATAGGAGAAAGTTGGATATAAAACCTTTGACTAAATTACTGAATTCCCATATAACTAGTAACAGGCAGAGGCCTTTTATTTGAAGATAAATAAAAAAAAACAATGAACACTATTTAATAGCAATGTTTTAAAAATTTTGATTGCTGCAAAAATTTTAATTTTTACTCCTGATTATTTGCTGTAGTTTCTAATTGCTTGAAGATATCTATTTCAATTAACTCAACACCTGATAACACCACTTTTAGCTTTTAAATTATCAAAACATGTTTAGCTCCTTCCTTTTCTTTAAATGAGGTTAATAAATAAAACCAGGAACTTGTCAGAGGGACGACTGGTTGGTATTTGTTTTGTCTTGTTAAACAGGAAATATTTTATAAATGATATACAAATACATTGCTATTGTTTTTTAAAGGGAATTTGTATGAATTAGAGCAAGAAACCTAAATGTATCAGGAAAGAAAAACTTCCTCATGAAGCTAGTTAAAATCCCTGGAAAGTTGGGCACATTTCCCTAACAATAAGAACTCCAGAAGAACATGATCTAAGTTTTTTTTTCTGTCCTTTAATCTGATCAACTAACTTACTTTATAATGTCAAGTATATTAAATTCAAAATTATGTAAGTTCCTATATTTTTAAACCCTTATATGTACAGGAGAGAACTGTGTCAGGCCAATGCATTCATTTGTTGCTATTAAAAAATAAATTAGTAGAAAGTTTTTTTTTCATTATTTCTTTATACACTTTGTTTTATCTGACCAGACTGGATATAAATAATTCAAAAAATAATTAATTTGCCCTCCAAAACTGCTTTGGAACTAAAGGACTGTAACAAATCAAGCTATTGTGACGCTTATCGTCACTCAAAATTAAAATCAAGAAGAAAGGGCTAAAATTAGATTTCTAGAACATTTCAGAGTCTTCGATTAAATAAAACTACCGTGGGAAATCTCCATCGGCAAATAGTAAGTTAAATACGGTTAAAGTAATTCAAATAAACGATTAGGTTTAAATCTTACTATGTCACCCCATCATGGGATTGACCCCATCACGGGACAAACTCGAAAACATCAATAACTTTTGGACTTGACCTTTCCTCAGATTTGTAACTTTTTATCACCCAAAAAATACGATATAAAAGCAGCCGAAGGAAAGGGTTGAGCAAGCAATCAGCCTAAGTGATAAAAGGCTGAACCATGACTAAACTTGGTAAGTCTCTCTCCATCTATTCTAAAAGCACGTAAGAATTAATGTATAAATAAGTTAAATTAATTGTATATTCTAATTCTAAAATAGTCCTGTAAATTGCTAAATTGGTTCAATATAGTTACGTTATTTCTTAAATTGTTTAAATAATAAAATGTTACTTGTTAAATGCAAGACTGCAATTTATTCTTTATTTAAAATTATTCAAAAACGCCACACTATATTGAAGAAACAGTTTTTTTTATTTTTATAAAAACATATTTATTTGACTCAAACAACAAAGCAAAAATAAACTGAAATACTCGTAACGGGTTAGTATAAACCTTAAATACTGACAAAAACTATTCTCAACAAAAAATATCTAATTCTCTAAAACAAATATCTAATCTCTCAACAAATTCCAAAAATTGTCTCATTCTTTCATTTTTTTCTTGATCTCCTTAAATGTCTTTTTTTTTTTAATTCATGCCTGTGTTAGACATTTTTAAGACTTTATAGGACTAATTCAAGTAATTTTATAAATGTTTAAGAATATAAATGTGACATAAAGAATATGAATCTTTATGACCTGGTAGTTTTGATCAACTGTGCCCTATATAGACTGACATAAATGACTCTGCATCGAATTTTTGCCCTAATTTTTAAGCTATTTGACCGTCTTAAACATAATTTTTATAAATGTTTTTAGAAAAAGAAATAGGTTATGTTAAAAACTAAAATGTTCTCATTGTTATTAGGTTCTAAAGTCATATTTGTTGTTCAGCAATGCTAAATATGACAGTACGTATGAATTTCAGCAAAATGTACTGCTGTTAAAGCTGGAAGTCTGGTAAATCTTAGATTTTTATCAGTAAAACCTTGCGTTTACCAAATTTGCTTTGTAACTCTTAGGTTTTACCGCAAAGACATGATAGAAGGCTAAAATAGAATCATATTTAAGCATACTTTGGAGTTTTGCCAAACCACTTTAGTAAAAGATATGTTATACCTGTAAATTCTAGGATTTACTGTTAAAACCAAGGTTTTACCAAAGTGGCATGGTAACTCCTAGGTTATTCCACAAAGGCTTGATGAAAGGCTAAAATGGAATCTTGATAAACCATACTTCGGACTTTTACCAAGCTGCTTTGCTAAAATCTATGTTGTAGTGTATCTATATCTATGTTGTAACATAGATTGGCTAGGATTTACCAAACTTCGGGTTTTTATCGTATCACATATCTATATCTTTTTAAGAAAATTTAATATCAATCAAATAAAAAACACCCTTATAAAAAAATTAATAACTTTAAAATAGACATTTTCTTAAACCAAATACTCTTTCTTTATTGACATTTAAAAGTAAATTCCTTACTTTGTAAATGACACCACCTAAAGGACCACAGGTTAAAACGTGATTACCATCATTACTGAAGCTGAAGAGTTTTCCGAATGACCTGAGTTCATGGGATCTTGTGGGAATTGACTCTGAATGTATTTGGAGTTCACTTGATTTATGACCCGTCTGATTCACATTCCAAGAAGAAAACTGAAATATCACAACAAAACTATGTTAGAGATTACCATCATAACTTCAGAAAAGTTGCAGGTCCAGTTAAAAGTTCTAGGTGTAGTCAAGTGGCTATGTGCTACAAGATGAGACTGCTCACAGCAATGTAAGAAAAACAGTGAAGCTAGCATTTCTACTTTTAAAATAATGTAAGGGTATAGTATAGATAAAAGTGAACTATTAAGTTAACAGTTGAAAATTTAGTACTCAATATGAACATTAATGCGAAAGGAAAATATTTAAAAGGCAATATAACACGATGAAACAATATTGGGAGAGAAAAACTAAAATCAGAAGATACCAATACAGGGGTGATTGTGAGCCCAACTCAAAAATCCTGAAAATTTCTTGAGTAAAATCATTAATGACGCATTTCAAATAATTAATGTTTTTATAAATTTAAATCATTGATAGTTTCAAAACATTAAATTCTAAAAAAATTATATTACACATAATTTGAATGAATAATTACGTAAAAGTTTACTTTTATCTCTAATAACATATATTATTTTACCAGAAAAAAATATTTACAAATGAAAGATGCCAAGTATAAGTTCTAGTTCTAATATTTTTAAATAAATATATACAAGAATTTTTATACATAAATGTGATCGATGATATCTAGAAACTTCTGGACCTAGGATTTCCAGAGCGCGGTTAGGGAAAAATCCCGATTTTTTCTGGATCACAATCAATCACCTTCGCCAATATGTTTGACGAACAGTGTACAAAGAGAAAGAATTGAATAGTTTTTGATCTAATGGTCAGATTTTTCAAATAACTTAATGGCTGAACTTTAACTTAATGGCAAATATGCAAATTAATTTCTGCAGACGATATTTAAGTTATGAAATCAGAGGCTAAATAACTTACATTCTCTGAATAAACAGGCCTTTTTTTAGACGGGTTTGGATTCTATACCCTCAAAATGTAGAGGGTAGCCGCAATCTGGAAAATATGTCCTTGATAATTTTGTCAGGAGAGCGGCCCAAAGTTTAGATCTCTTAATGTTAATTTTTGCATATTTCGCTATATCTCGAGAACTTTTGAAGCAAATTGAAAAAGTTTTGTTCGCAACTATAAAATTCGTTTATCCAAAGATAATTCCTGGAAAAATGTTTAACAATTATTTCATATTTTATTTGACACTGAACGGGAAAAAAATAACTGTAAGATCAAAAAATTTTGACATTTTAAAAAATGCAACTTAATACGTATAAAGGAACACAAAATTTGAATGGAACGTCCACACAGTTCCAGAAAAATTTGATTTCAAAAAAGTCGTCGTACATTTAAAAATGAATTTTCTTTTAAGGATCTGCTTGACAGATTGTGCTCAAAGTTTGTGCTGTACCGTGTAAAATGACATTATTTAAAATGATGTAAAGATTTGTACACCTTGCAATACAAAAATTGTTCAACCCTTTTAATAAAATATAAATCATTATTAAAAATTATTTTTTACTTGGAATTATATTTGGATAAATGAATTTTATAATTGCATGCAAAAAAAATTTTCAATTTGCTTTAAAAGTTATCGAGATATAGTGAAATACGCAAAAAGTTAAATTAACAATAAGGGGTCCAAACTTTTGATTGTTCTCCTGACCTAACTATTGGGACTATATTTTCCAGATTGCAGCTAGCCTTTATATTTTGAGGATAAGGAATCCAAATCCGTCGAAAATAACAGTATGTGTATTCAGCGAAAGTGCATTCTTATGTCCGATTTCGTAGCTTAAAATATTGTCCGCACTAACTAATAAGCATATTTGAGGTTGCACCCGTGAACCATTATGTCCGAGGGCTAGCACGTGAATTAAATCCGAGCATTAGATCAAAAGTTATTCAGTTTGTTTGTTTTTTACGCACTGTACGAAGCTTAACAAAATTTTAAAAATAAAGACATCTTGCTATAACTACTTATTTTTTTTATAAGATTATTTGATTCCTTTACAATGTAGAAATTTCTGAATATACAAATTCATATTCTAAGCTATCTTTTTTATAACATAAATATCTACAAATTGATACTAAATTATCAATGCTCTACAACTTTGCTGCAATTCTCTTCTTTTTTTTCCTGCATCAAGAATCGTTTCCAAGATGAAAACGTAAAATTTAAAATTTTCCACAAGATAATGAGGGATGGTGTAGTGCGTGCGTAACACTTTATTACACTTAGCCAAGCATAATGAATGTGGTCAATTAAAGAATGGTGTACCTTTCCATCTTCCCCCATAGTGTAACAGAGGGTTTCATCAGAACTGAACTCAGTAGAAAGTACTCCTCCGCTGTGTGATGTCCAAGTTGCAATGTTTTCAGATGTTCTAAGATCTATTGAGGGAATTAGAAAACAGATTCAGAAGTGCAGCAAAAATAAGTGTAAACAAGAATGATTGTGTTCTGAAAAGCGTAGCAAGAATAATTTTTCTGAATTATTTCATGCTTGGCTTTTAGATGAAAATATAAATGAATTTATGGTGTTGGAATTGTTTCCTAAAGTGAAATTGCTTTCATCATGGTGTTCTATCATGTAAAAGAGAAACAAATAGAGAGTATAGAATATCAATATTTTTATAATAAATATTAAATTTTCTAGGGTAGGACATATTTTTACAGAATGTTCTGTTATGACCGTCTGCTTCTTTTAGAATTGCCATACAATTAATGGACCTAACAATAGCTCAGTATTTTAACTGGCATTTATAACTGATAGAAAATTACTAATAGTGTTATATTTCTTTATATATAGCAGAGCTGGATTACCCATTAGGCCATGGCCTGGGGCCCCCAATGATTAGGGGCCCCCTTAAAATGGATTTTTTGAAAATAAATTTTAAAAAATTAAGAAAACAATAATTTTTCATATTTTTTCAAAATGTTATGATTATTTTTTAGTTCTAATTTAATAAAATAAAATTTAATTTATTGTTATTTATTTTTATTTTAAGTATGCTTTCTTAAATGGAAAGATATATAAATACTTTCATATTTGAATCAATAAAAAATGTACGAGAAAAAAATTTAATCTAAGGACCCCAAAAATTTGAATGGCCTAAGGGCCCCGCACACGCTTAATCCGGCCCTGATATGCAGACTATGATACAATCACGGTAAAGTATCGATTAAGTCCTGACCCAAATTTAGACGAATTGGAGATAAACGGTAGGAAGGTAAAAATACAAATGTTTTAAGAAAATTGAACATATGAATGAATGTGGAAATGTTACTTGATTTGATTAAGTATAAAATAAATTAAAGTAAAATGAACTAATTAAAATAAATAAATTGCATTTCAAAAAACTTACTTCTTAGTTTTGTTTTCAAATTGTTACGATTGCAACATCAAAAGGAATCAACGAGAAAGTAAAAATTATTTTACAAAGAATAAACACAAAGTACGACAGATTTAATTAAAATATATTTATTTTCAACCATTTCTAATCGGAAAAACCTTCAAATTATGCATCGGAAATCACGTGAATACAAATCGCAAAAAAATATTTATCACGATGTTTGATATTAAAATCAAACGAATACGAATCGCTATGTTTGATATTAAGCTTGTGTAAATATGAACCGCGATATTGGGTTTTAAAAACGGATGAATACAAATTACGATACTGGATTTTTAAATCGTGTGTATACGAATTATTTAACCTCCTGAATACGAATCACGGAGTTGGATTTTAAAATCCTTCAAATTTGAATCGCGATGTGTAATTTTCGAGTCTCAACATATTAATTTTTAAATCGTGAGGACACTCCTGTTAATTTTGAAAGTATCTGCAAAATTTAAGAATTTCCTTGACTGTATCCCGCACGGCTTGCGTCTAGATATGGGAGGTGAATGGGAGCTATTATAGTTTTGATAGCTGATCAATAAGGCCCGGATTTTGATGACATTTGCATTTTTGGACATTTTTTGTCCTTTAGAGCATTTTTTTAGATTTATAGGGCATTTTTCATAAAATTTTTTGGCTTATTTTCCATTTTAAAGCATTTTTGAAATTTTTTGTTATTTTTTTCCAATTTTAATTATTTTTTTTATCATATTTTATTATTACACTGGCTTCCAAACAATGAAGAAAATCTCTAGGATATTAACAGGAAGAATTGTCAGTAAGTGAGACCGTCTTTTTCAAGTACGCACCAATAACATCAGAAGACGTTGAAAGAAGCTTCTCCAGATATAAAAATTTACTTTCAGACAAGAGATCCTCGTTTACATTTCAAAATATCAAAAAAAAATTTAATAGTCCAATGTAATTCTGATATTTAGTAATATTATGAGATGGAAGTTGTTATATTCATTAAAGTTTCTATACAAAATGAAAATGTTTTGGAGTCAATATATTTTCCTTTTTTTTGTTATTTTAGAATATAAAACATATTTTTCAAACTTTAATGAACGTAGAACAAGTATTGCATTGCTTTATATTTTTTGAAATGACTCATAGTAATTTTAAAGAGTGAAACATTGTTTTAGTTCAAGATTTTTACTTAATTTAAGTCATGTCATAAAGCATTTTTAGCGCAATTTTCGCATTTTTAAGGGCTTTTTTTGCACTTTTTAAGGGCATTTTTTGCACTCTTTAAGGGCATTTTTTGCACTTTTTAAGGGCATTAATCGGGATTTTTTAGGTCATCAAAATCCGGGCTCTACTGATCAATATTCATTTGAAACTATGGGTGGGGGCTTAATTGAATCCAGGGGATTTTTTGGTAATTCACTTATGCACAATTCACCAATATAAAAATTAATTTTACATTTCTTGTTTGCTGCATGAATAAATCAACATACCTAGTATTGAAGAAGTTCCATTGGATAATCCAACAAGTAGTAGTTGTCCATTATGATTAAAAGAACAGCAGTAGACGCAGGCATTGTGGGAAGGCGGTAACAAATATCTCTGTAATTTAAAAAACACAAAACTTTTGTATCACATCCTTCCTGCATGGACCTAAATATGTACAGCTTCAAAAATACAGTGAAGATTACAAATTACTGTTGCAGTTAATGGTGTATAACTATGCTTTAGAATTAAATCAAAATAAAAAACATTGCATTGATACAACATCACTTTTAAAAAAATGATCTTGGAAAGATAGATTTCTAATATATTTAAATCTTGGAAATATTTTTAAAAAGAAAATAATACTGCAATGTCGTCATTTTTTACACAATATTAGGGGTAATTGTAAGCCAAACTAAAAAATCCTGAAAATTTCTTGAGTAAAATCATTAATAACACATTTCAAAAAATTTATGTCTTTATAAATTTAAATTACTAATATTTTCAAAACATGAAATTCTAAATAAATTACATCCAATTTATTTAGATGAATAATCATGTATGAGTTTACTTTTATCTCTAATCACATTTATTAATCTACCAGAAAAAATATTTACAAATGAAAGAGATACCAAGTACAAAGTCTAGTTCTAATATTTTGAAATAAAATATACAAGAATTTTTATACATGTGATCGATGATTTCTTGAAACTTCTGGACCTTGGATTTCCGGAAACTTCCAGATCTTGGTTAGCGAAACATCCGGAAATCAGGATTTTTGCGGAGCACAATCGTCTATGCAATATTTAATATTAATTTTCAATTTAATTATTATTTTCTGCTAATGCAGTTTATAAAAGATTTGAATTTCGTCACTAGGCAGAAAAATGAATAAAATATTTAAAAAAAAAAAAAACCTATTTCACTGAATTGATAAAAATAAGTTTTACCTCTAATGTTAAAGATTTCATGTCCCACAAACTAAGTTGTCCACCTTCTTGCAAAGTTGCTGAAGTGACAAAATTATTTCCCAGTGGATTGCAACAAATGCAGAGAACTCTGCAAATTAAAATAAACAAAAAAAAAACAATATAAACACTTTTTTATGCAACTGAACTGTAGAAAGAATGGTAAAGCATGAATACTTCTGATCGTTCTCCCCTGATCCATCGACAAATAACTCTTTCATCACCCTCCTCTCTTTCGAGTCATAAATTCTCAATGTGCCTGTCGTACCACCATATAGAAGCTATCGAAATGATTGTTAAATTAGTTATGCTAATGGATTCAGTTTAAAAACTAAGAAGATAATTATTCCAGAAAATGCAACTGACCAATCTTTCTCTTTTCTTGTCCCATTCCAAAGAGAGGACACTAGTTTTGGACATGATTGTTGACAAAGTGGAAATAGAAGGTGTAGCATTCCATATTCTAATGAACAATTAAAAGATAAAAAACATTTTTAAATTGGAAAATATTTAAAAATATAGCTTTTATATATAATAGCTGGAAAATACAATCAACAAAATTGAAATAGAATGACTAATAACAAAATAATGAATGCTTGAAATTGGGGGACTGCTTGATACTCTCACCAACCAGACGGTTAAACACAAACTACAAAAGTGCGTTATGCAAATGTTTTTTTTTTTTTTTTTTGGAGAATGTTCTGGTTTATAACATATAATAGATACAGAATAAATTTGTTGGTATTGAAAAAGATTTTTTATGTAATGAAAGCATTATGAAAACAAATAATTATGCAAGCAGATTTGACAAGTAAAGAAAAGTTGTAAAATGTTTAAAAAAAAGGCAGCAAAATAAAACTGATAAAAACAAGTCAAATAGTCCTTTTTATTTATTTTAAAATTAGATATGCGTGATATGAGCACTTTCATGAAAAGAGATTCATATTCAACTATTAAATTCATAAAACTCGTCACAAAAGTGCAAATTAAAGCTTTAGGCAATTTGATTGGATATGCTTTCCATAAGAATTGTATGATAGTTTGCAATGTACTACATCAAATGCAGAATTTGCAAAAATCTATGATTTTTTTTTATTTTAAAAATCACATTTTCTATTTAAAACACATTTTTTTATTTAATAAGATATTTTTGATTTCACTACAATGTTTTCATTCAAAATAGATTTTTATTTAATTTTTAAATTTGTCAATCAGAACTTATGTAAAATGCATTTAGAAGGCTTGTAATATTGTTCAATAACAATATAATTAAAATAGTAACTACTTCTAACTAAAATGGTTAAAATTATTTTGTACATACTTATTATAAACTAATTATTTAAAAATTAAAGGAATAGTAATTATTTTTGTTCAAGCTCAATACCAAACAACCTCATACATTTGAAGAAACAAAGATTCAATTTGACAGTTAGAATAAATGATGGATAAATTAATAGAGAAAAAATTAATTTAGATCATTAAACAAAAATAAAAAAATGAATTATTCTTGGCAAAATAAAGTAGGTAGATAAATACTTTGTTTACCTCACACTAAAGCTGCACAATCAATCAAAACTAGTCTTTCTTCAATGCTTTCATACACAAACTAGATATTTAATTAATAAGTTTAAAAAGTACTGGTATTTAAATAATCATAAAAACAAACAAGTACAGTTAAAATATGTTTATTAAACAGCAAATTACTTTGCATAGAGTAAAAGGAAAGTCATATTTAAAAGTTTTACATTACTTTTATCCACATTTAGTATGTTTCCTTGTTTAAAATTTATTTATTTTGATCATCAACTAATAATTTATATAGAATATCTCACTATTTATTTGGATAAAACCTTCAATATCAATAGAATCCAGCTTTGAAAAAAAAAATAGCATACAATAGCATTCAAAAATTATTTTTGACTAAAAGCAATAATTCTTTAAAAAATCATCAAGGGATTTAAATCAATGATTTTTAGAAAGAAAAAAAAATCAAGTGATTTAAATCAAGCCAACCCTTATCAACTGGGGGGTTGAACACTAAAAAGAATGCAGGGATATTTCTATTAATGAGCAAGAAACATGATTAGAAATTTTTAAATTCATGTTGTATCCACCAAACATGAATATTTAAAAAAAATATTAATGTTTCCCGATATAATCACAATAAATCATCCTTTTTTATGCTGATTTTGAGCATTTGGCCCACAGCCTGATATGAATAAAAATCTGGATAAAACAAATACTAAATTTTAATGTATAATAACTTCTAAATTTTAATGTATAGTAAGTTCTAAATTTTAATGCATAAAAACTTCTAAATTTTAATGTATAATAATTGTTAAATTTTAAGGTATAGAAACATCTAAATTTTAATGTATAGTAATTTTTAAATTTTAATAATTACTTATAACACTGTATAATAATTACTTAATAACTCCATCCATATCTGAACTAGCAACAGTTGTACCAGTGCAGTTGAATTTGCAGTGAGTTATCAATGAATTGTGTTCAGAGTATTTTTCCTGCAATAAAACATAAAGACAAATTTTATATGAAACCATTTACAATAAAAAAATTGAGAAGAAAACTAATTAAAATGACATTTACCAAACTCAAAATGATCAATCCACTTTTGTTATCCACTATTCAGAAGAGGCAAGTAAACAAATGAAATTAAACAAAAAAGTCAAATATAGCATTAAACTTAAAAGTAAATAATTTTGAAATACATACATAAAATAAAAATTTTAAAAGTTTTCCAGCACAAACAAAGAACGTTACAAAGTAAAAACGATTTTATTCATCATTTATTTGAGAAGTTTGAAATGATACAGTAATTATGAAATTTGTCCAGCTAAATGTAATTTAAATAGATAAAAATTTAATTAAAATTAACAATTATAAAAAGAAGAAAAAAATCCCTTTTGACTGACCAAAAATTGACGTAGATTATGCTAATCAGAAATTTAAAGTTTGTAGGGTTCCTTTGATTTGAATAGGAAGAAATGATGGCGATTATAAGATAAAAATATCAAGATAAAATGATAGAAATCAAGATAAAATGCGTACAATACAATTAAATCATCATAACATAACTAGAGCATTTACTTATGTCTGCTCATATCCGTATCCTCCATCTATCTGACTGAGGTTCGGACAATGTACAGGTGTGCAGAGGTTACCCGACAAAGTGATTGTTATAATTATTTTAAATACTTATCTTTTATTCATCAAATTTTTTTAAATGTTGAATTGAACAATAATTTTCTGCTCATTTTTCTATAAATTGATAAAAATTAAACTCTAAAGTTTATAGTTTTAATAAAAAGTAAACTTATTTTAGTCAATCACATAACATTCTGTTAAGTACAGACATAGTTTGCTTTTGTATTAAGGTAAACCTTATGTAAAGTTATTTGGAAATCTTGTAAAAGGATATGAAAGAAATAATAAATAACGACAGGTGTTGGAATTGTCACGAATCGAACATTTAAAAAAATTGATGGCTCAAATTTGAAATTTGCCTATCATAACAACGTATTAAATACACAGGAATTAATTTGAAAAGCAATAGGAAAGAAGGGGGGAAACAAAGTGAATTTACAAAAAAAAAAAAAAAAAAAGAATAAAAAATAGTAAATACTAAAACTGAATGTTCTTCATTAATAAAGAAATTTGTAGAAAAAAAATTTACATTTTTCATAAAAATGGGCCTTAAAAAATAAAATTCGAATCAACCCCAGGACATTACAGTATTGCCTTATAATTTCCATGTAGAACAGCAATCCCAATACTTTCCGCAAATTCTAAAAAAGTGACAAGTTTAATTAAACATTAAATTCATGACAAGGTTAATTAAATTCACTTATTAAGCCTAGGTAATAGAGGATTTAAGCAAATAAGTAATAAAAAACATTAATTTATAAGAGTTTATAAAACCTTATTTAATCTAAAATACGAATAGATAATCAGAAGGGCATCCACCCTTCAATCTGTTCTGGATTCTAACAACCAATTACCCTTTTCCAGTTGAAAGTTTTCTAAGTCCTGATGCCATGTTATGCTACAGCTATGTGAAATTGGGCTCTGTGCCAAATGGGTGAAAACGAAACAATTATGTTGGAAAAGTGTTCCATGGAAAATGCTGCCGCGAAGAATGCAAGCTTAGGGATCATCAAGTCAAACTCCCTGACTTTTCCAGATTTTTACTAAAAATTATTACATTCCCTGATTTTTTGGGCAATTTCCTTATTTCCTGACTTTTCCTGGTTTTCCAGGTAGCCTAACAACCCTGTTGACTGCTGATAATTATGATATTGTATATTTTTATGTCCTTTCAATCAAAATTCAGGTTGATCCAGTTTGTCCCGTTATTCATATGTCTCCAAATCACAACCAATATTCTTTTGAATGCACAGTTTTACTCTATTATGAAAATGTTATCTTCTACAAAAAAACAGGAAAAAAACTATGGAAAGAAACAGATTTCGAACTCAAATAGAAGGAACTCCTTTTAAAAAAATATCAAATATTAAAACAATTTTTAAAACAGTTTATAATCGCAATCTAGTTTAATTAATAGCATGAATTTCGGAGCTATTTAAGATGTCCTTTTTATTCTAAGCATATGCTAGACATATACAGTGCCACAAATCACATGATGAACTCACAAACAACATACTATATAAACACACTTAAACAGACTCTGAAATATTGGATTTTAAAATGTTATATAAAACGAAATAAATAATTGAGAAATTTAAAAGAAAAAAATGTAAAAAATTTTGAATATTCTAGCACCATAATAAATTTAATTTGTTTAAATTTAAGGTATTCTTTGCAATTCTTATTGCTAAATAGTGATGTGCCAATCGATTGATTTAAATGAATCGATTCTTTAGAATCAATTCACTAAAATGAACCGTTATATGAATCGATTCTTTGATTCTTTTTTTAATGGTCGTTATAATGGTGTGGTCGTACAGTCTTTATAAAAGGTGGTCGTACAAATTAGTTTAGACTGTTTTAGTATTTGAATTAGTTGATCTAGGTCAGGGGCTCTCAATATTTTTCTGCCATGGAACTCTAAATAATTAACGTTCTTTCGGCGGAACACCTGATAAAAGTACTATCTCGTGTAGCCGCTGTAACCTTTCCACGGAACCATAGGGCTTTACGGAACACCAATTGGGGACTATTAATTTAGATCTTAGGCTCTAGGGTGCAGAAGCAGAATATTCCAGTTAAGCGGTCAGCCGAATGTGGCTAAAAAAAGTACCAATTAGCGAAACCCTTGCAATTCTTGGCGGAACTCTAGGGTTCCATGGAACACCATTTGGGAACCACTCTTTTAGATCCTATACTCTAGGGGTCAGAAGTTGAATGTTCTACTTGGGTGGCTATAAAAGTACTATCTCGTGTAACCGCTGTAACTTTTCCACGGAACCATTGAGCTTTCCGGAACACCAATTGGGGACCATCAATTTAGATCTTGGGCTCTAGGGTGCAGAAGCAGAATATTCCAGTTAAGTGGTCAGCCGAATGTGGCTAAAAAAAGTACCAATTAGCGAAACCCTTGCAATTCTTGGCGGAACTCTAGGGTTCCATGGAACACCATTTGGGAACCACTCTTTTAGATCCTATACTCTAGGGGTCAGAAGTTGAATGTTCTACTTGGGTGGCTATAAAAGTACTATCTCGTGTAACCGCTGTAACTTTTCCACGGAACCATAGGGCTACCCGGAACACCAATTGGGAACCATTAATCTAGATCTTGGGCTCTAGGGTTCAAAAGCAGAATGTTCCACTTGGGTGGTCCAGTTGAATGTGGCTGTAAAAAGTACTAACTAGTGGAGCCCCTGTAATTTTAAACGGAACCCAAGGGTTCCGCGAAACACCATTTAGGAACTGCTAATCTAGGCAATGCTAATAATTTTTTTAGAATTTTAATATTTTTATTTTTTTTTTAATATTTGTTTGATTCATCAATTTTATTAAAAAATAATAATTTTTTTAAAAAAAATTGTTAATATAAAGACCAATAATGAATAATAAAGATATTCGTAAAAAAATAAAACGTTAAATTCACTTATAATAATGAAAAAAATTCAAATTGTATAACGTGAAACAAAATAAAAAAATAGTTCAATTGCCTTTTAAAACTTAAAAAATTAAAACTTGAAAAAATGAGAGGATATGCATTGATATTCAATAAGTTTGTCTAAAAGTATTCCTAACAAAAAAAAAATAGAAAAGGGGGAAAAAAAATAAAATAAATAAAATAATTGAAAATATCCCTCCCCCCTGCAGTAAAAGAATATTTACTCTAAATACTCACATTTTTCGCAATAAACAGTTTTTCAATCATTAAAAAAATAAATATTTTTTTTTATCTTTTCTTAAAAAAAATAAATAAAATAAATAAATAAAAAAATAAATAAAAAAAACCTGTCTTTTTTTCTGAAAATTTTTAGTTACTTGCCCCTTTTCATAACCCCCATCCCTCTGAAGGCATCTTTTAATTTTAGAAAAAAAGATAATAGCGAAAAGAATCGATTCGTTTCTCAAAACAGTTCTTTTAATGTTAAAAGATATAAAACCGCTCAAATGAATCATTTAAACAGTTCAGTGAATCGAATGCAATGTTAAAGTATAGGAAAACGACTCAAAAGAACTGATTGGAAATCCAAATCAACTCTTTGAGCCGATATCAATGTTAAGAGATACGAAACGACTCAAATGAATCGTTTAGAAGTTCAATTCAACTCTTTGAGCCGATTTCAATGTTAAGGGATAGGAAACAGTTCAAAAGAATCGATTCATTTGGCTTTATGATTCTTTTAATGCTAAGAGATAGGCAAACAGTTCATTGAGTCGTTTATTCGACTCTTGATTCTTTTTCTCGCATTCGGCTCATTTTTAACCAATCAGAGGATCGTTCATTCGATTCTCGACTCTTTTTGTCTCATTCAACTCATTTTCAACCAATCAGAGATTTGCATTCATACGTAAGTTCATTACCCAATCAGCGCAACGGTTTCATTTTCTATGGCTCTCGCTCCTTGGCATAGAATAAACGATAACATAAAACTCTGCTTTACTTCATATTTACTGAAATTTATAAATCGAAAATTAAACGTATGAATGAAAAAATTCGCTCTTTAATATTAAAGGACTGAAAAGTAATATCTGAGCTTTACAGCATTAATATCTTTTTTATTTGAAAGGAAGAACCGAAACTGGAGAAGACAGCTTTTCAGTTGTTGTTGCCATTTTTAAATTGTTGTTTATCAATAGAATTTATTAATTTCGTAGATGAAAAGAAAAAAAAAGAGAGTGATGCATACCTTTCACTGCATCAGAATGCAGTATGCATTGCATTAATAGCATTTTCAATTCCCTTCATCCTTCAAGTGAGTTCATTTTATTAATCACCTCCGGAAACCGGTTGTGCGCAAGCATTGACATCGGGGTCATTCTCATTGGATGCGATTTTTCCGCTTGCGAAAACTCTCACACATACGAGTAACTTATTGGCAAGTTGTTCGCATGTAAATATTTTCAACCAATCAGATTGTCATTCACATGATACTCGAGTGAGAATGTACCTGTGTCTATTCGACTGAGTTGGGATTTTAGCAAGCTCCAATTGTATAAACGAAATGCTGTATCAAATGCATATGCGGATGTTTAGTAAGTATAAGTACTAACTCTGAATAAGCTTATAAAGTGTAGAGTACAAAATATTGTCAAAAAAAAAAAAAGAATCGATTCTTTTTCAAAAACGAACTTGATGAATCGATTCACAAAAAAGAGTTGATTAAAATATCGATTCGTTCGTTTTTCGCACATCACTATTGCTAAACAATTATTAGACAGTGTTAATAAATAAACAATAATAATAAATAAAATTTGTCATATTTAGTTTTTTCCATTATGTCTAGTTTTTTCCAATGTCTTGGAATAAATCGTTTTCTTCCAGGCAAAATTCCAACTCTGATTTGACATGAAATCAACCTATGTTGATATCAAACTGGAGCTAAACAAATAAGTAGGGTTCACACAAGAAATAAAATTTTAGTGGTCCAATAGGATCATCTAGGTATTCCTTTTGTGGTCCAAAAACTTAATATGGGGGGAAAATGCATGGGAAAAAATTTAACTTTACAATTACATAATTCACATTATGGTACACATCAAAAATTAATAATTGCCATCTATAACCCCCTAAAACTAATTAGGTTCATTAGTTCATAATGATTGAAGATTAGTATTTATTAAAAATTAAGTGTAAAAAAAGTAAAATAATATTAGTAAATAGAAAATAGAGATTAAAATCTTGAAACCAGATAAATAAATAAACGAGGCAAGCAGAGAAAGTGAGAGCTAACAAAATATTATCTTAAAAGTTAACTATTTAAAAATCAAATAAAGTAAATTTGAAAAGAGCAAAAAATATTTTATTGGTGTCAGTACATGAATGCAAAGAATAGCATAACATGTAAATTTAAAATTTCAACATTTAAATTTAAAAATGTTTGTACCAGACATTTTCTGTTATTCCATTTGAATATCCCGCATTTTAATTCCATACCACAAGCCTAGAGCAATAAAATTAGTACAACAGTTTTTTTAATAGCAAGGAAGTTGATTAATTTTTGCTCCTATTTTGTCAATTCCAAGCATATTTCCAGCCTACAAATTTGTTGGCCATGCATAGGATTTTAGTGACATTTGTAGAACACTTGGCAACAATTGTCACCATACTGGTGTGAACCTCACAAATAAGTTATGTAAAATGCTTACATGATTTAATAGGTGAAGGAACAGATGTTGTTGAATGATGTGACTTTAAATGAGGTCTTTCCGCTTTAGCTTGCGATGATCGCTTTTCCTGAAACAGTAAGAATGTGTTATTGAATGGCAAACACAGATGATGTTTCATATCAAAGATCAAATCCGAGTCTAAAATAACAGATATAAGTGTGGACTAAAATTCAAGAACAAGTTATTATTTTAAGGCATCTAAGATTTTTTAAATTCCCTGCACTAAACAATTTACAGGATCTCAAACTTTGTAATGACTATGTATAACAAGAATATAAGTTTATCATAGCAATAATTGACATCATTAAATAATAATGTTTCCGTGATAGTGAAATTTTTTAAAAAAATTCTTTCAACCTTCAATTCAACAATTTTAGTTACACTGGGGAATTATTTCATTTTACAAGTAAATCTAATCTTAACTGCCACACAAAAGTATAGTACATTAATTATCATACAGAAATTTTAATTTTGAAATAAATATTTTCACAAGAGAGCAGAAAATAAAGATCTTATATGGGTGGAACTTATTAAAAGTAATTAACTAAACTCTACTACAAAAGAGCAGTAACTTATATAGTTAGAACTTAAAAGTTCTCTATTTTATTAAATATCCCTTATTTTAAACAAGGAAAGATTACAGTTAGAATATTGAATTCACAATAAATTTTTAAGCTAATTAAAAGACAATACTAAATTAAATGAAAATAGCATTTCATGAAGGAAGAGCAAAATTAAAAATCGTCACCAGCCTAGGATGATTAAAAAGTTGTCTACTAATAGCCACTTGATACCCACTTTTTTTGTTGAGAATGCTAACATTATTTTATACCCTAAGCGAATATTATTTTATTTAATAAATATGGATTTATTATCAATATATTTCATAAAATTCTGAAAATTACTTTACTCTACATTTGTTTCTAGAAAATTTCTTCATTTTAGAAAGGAATCATATAGTATTTACCATATTTTGAGAAATGCCCCTCATTATAAATATCACGTTTTTTTTAATTGTTCAATATTTTTAATTTTTGAAAAAGCAGTGACTTAAAAATGCTATAACTGACCGCAGATCAATAGCAAAATTTCCTCAATTTGTCTTATAATATATCAAATGGAATTGCATCTTAAAGAAAAATATAAATTAATATAGCAAATATAATATAATTGCTTCGTAAACTGTGTTTTGTAATGTGCGCTTCGGAAACAAGTTGTAATATCTTAAACTTAGATACATAACCATCATTTCGTATCAGATAAATTACATTGAAAATTTAAAACATACAAGTAAATAAACGCAACATAAGAAATAATGAATAATTTACATCATTAGAAATAGATCTCGAAGCTTCAGGTGATTCCCTTTTTGGTTTTGTTTCCAACACAGAAAGTGTGCCTGTTGGACGAGGTGGAACACTAGGTGACCTTGGTTTCAATTTGCTAACTTTAGACGAACCTATTTGTAAAAGAAAAAAACACTTAATACTTTTGAATTCACAAATAGTATTTTTTATTGTGAATTTCAAAACAATAAATTCTCAAATTTTAAAAGGGGGTGCGTCAAAATATTCAGATATGAGCAAAATGAGTTTAAAATTATATTTAATATAGTTTAACAAGAGAGAGAGAGAGATAAAAGACATTTTGTACGCTGTTTCAGTTTTGTGATAAACTAACAAAACACCAGCAAAATGCAAATATCAATGAAACCATTAAATAATATTTAATTTTTATGAAATCTTAATACTATTGTGAATCAAAAGAAAATTTTCTGACTGAAATATTACACAGTAGCTGGACATGTGGACATAAAGGATGAAATATTAAATATGACAATGGGTACCTTCGTAAAATAGATCTATTAGAGGCAACCTCCAACAATTCTGAATTAGAAATATAATTATTTTCATAATAAACACTTAAAAGGCGATGTAATTGCTTGATTGCAGCTTTTTATTTAATCAAACATACAAAATATTTTGGTGGCATCAATACTTTTGAACATGGAATTTCTTCCAATCTGATTAATAAAGGTAATAAGCCACAACAATTATTGAGGCTCTTTCAGCAAATAACAAATATCTAATCTTTAACTAGTTTTTGAGAAGGTGTGTTAAAAACACTTGGACAAGTTATTGCATCATAGAATAGACATTAACTGAATTCTTTTTAATTTGTGTGCTGATTTCTTTCTTTTTTCTATAACTTCAATTATAAAATATTTTATAATAAATCTCTCAGTTTACATACTGTTTTTTGGCTTTTTTTACAATGTCAAGCAAAATACCCGCTATTATAGAGTTGTTTAAGGAAGGAAAATGAGAGTATGTGAAATCATTCCTTTGATCTGTATATAAAAATTTGAACTTCCAAACAATCGCTTTGGTGGGAATGAGATAGATTAAAAGTAAGACGGCTTGCCAGCCAATTGCTAAAGATTTCAATAAACGTTTGCACCTCCGCAAAAGGAGGTCACTTATAAACCAATTTATTAAAAGTATTAATTATTTATTAAAAATCTACTCTTATTATTTGCTTATAATTTTTCAATTAATTTATTTTTAATATAGTTATATTAAAAATTTTTTGTCCTTGTGTTCTTTTATTTTTTTGCTGCATCCTGTAAAAAGAAGATATCATTAACAGTTTTAAAAGAATGGGAGAAAGTTAATATGAAGAAAAAAAATTGGATCTATCTAGCTCATTAACTCGAGGCTTTAATTTATGCAAAATTTTAATGATTAAAGAATATTGATCAAAAAAATCACTACATTTATTTAAAATGAGATAAATGATATAAAAATGCCCAACTTGATACTTCTTCAGATTTCTTGGATTCTGTTGAACGACGTCCTAAATTAGGTGAAGTGGGTGTACCTCCTCCGCTAATGTTGCGTATCAGTGACTTGATAGATCTGTTTGAACTCTCTGAAGGAGTTTCCCTAAATGTAATGTGAAAAAATAAAAAACATATTTAGAAATGGTATCTAAGATCACTTTTACTAGTCCGATTTTCTTTTGAAAAAATGAATAAATAAAATATTCCTTAGATAATTTTTCTTCTAATATGGTAAATTGGTCAACCCTTTATCTATAATCTGGTTTTGTTAATTCCAAAAATCTTAAACCTGGACAAAAACAATCTTTTTTTTAAAAAAATTAATGTGGAGAAATTAAGCAACTTTGTAATTCCAGAATGCAGGTAAACGTCCAAATAATCGCTAAAAAAATACTTGACCAGTTAAAATTTATATTAACCCACTGACGGTTCTGCACATAAAAAGTCGTATTTTAACCTGCAGTTTTCTCTGCATAGCAAACCCAGTTTTTCTAGGCTATTAAATAGGTAAATAGTGTGTAGGGGTGAAACATTCTCCCAATTTTGCCCTGCTAAGCCACCAGTGGGTTAAACATGGTGTTTTAAAAAAAAATTTGAAAAATTTTGTCCACACTAACTCCTTGAACTCCAACAGGAAAATCCAAATAAAAAGTTACTCAGGGTGCTTCATTAATTTTTTGTGTTATGTATAAAATAATTAAACAGTTATAGTACTCACTGAGCTATGACATAAAAATCATCCATTAATTCGGAAGGATTACGAAAGATGGTGCGAGGAGGTTCTTGATAAGATTTTGGTTCATCAACATTTTGACCAGACTGAAGAGCTGCTAACTGTATAAATAGTATGAGAGAAAGGAATGCAAAATTAAACCTTAAATGAAACGAAATAAGAAAAATTAAAGGTTTTGAAGTCAAATATTACTAAGCTTACCTTCCTTTTCAGCTTTTCATTTTCGTCAGAAAGTTGTTGAAGTTTAATTAAATCTTCTTCATAACTCAGTAAAGTAGGCATTGCTTTAAGAGAAAGAATGATTAAAGTATATTTCAATAAATAAAGCATTATAAAAAACTTTTAATTGCGTATTTTTTAATTGATTTATGCATTTTATAGTAATTTCTAATTTTAAAGATTATTAAAATCGTTAATACTATCATTGTTGTTGCACATAAAATATCCGGTCTAAATACTCTCACTTAATAACTACTGACTAAATATTATTATTAATGAAATTAAACTTTGATTTAGTTTATTCTATAATCTTATTACAAGAGATTTACAAGAATGGTATGAAACTGTTAAATCATATGCATCTTTGACAAGGTATCCTCAAGAACGAATCATAATAACTTAAAACTACATTCAATAATCCAATAATAACACATAACAGCAAAATAACATGCTAGCAAATAGGTAGCAGATGAATAGAAACAAAAAGCAATTAGTAAAGTCTTTATATACTGTCTCTGAAACAGGAGGCAGCAATGCTATTCTGTAACGAAAGACTGCCGTTATGGATTCGTTAGTGATGACAGAAAATGACGTCGGTTGACATCACAACATAAACGAAACCAACCTTAAATTAGAGTATATGGTTAAATACGTAGAATATGATAAAAATTTATCGCTAACAGATATAACTTCACCGCATAAGATATTACACCTCAAAGTTCTAGTTCATTTAAAATTAAAACATATGAAGGATTGTGATAGTTTTTAGTTTTCCTTACTTAATACTAAATTATTAATTGAATATTAATAGTTAATATTAGATAGCATTAATAGTTAATATTAGATAGCATTAATAGTTAATATTAGATAGCATTAATAGGTAAAAATCCCTGTATAATACAGCTCAAAATCCCATATCTGGATGTTCATTTTCTGGAAATGTTGATTTTCTAGAATCTTTTTAACAATCAAAATGAACAAATCTGTCTTCCTTTTTCCAAAGAGAAGAAATTCCTTTTATTTTTTAATGCTTTAAATTTGTTATAAAATATCATTATTCTCATTGCTGTGTTCAGGTTACCTTAACATTTATACTGTTTTCATGAGCATATCTAAAGAGTTTTTGAAAACACAAGAGCAGTAAAAGACAAAGTTCCTTAAGAGGAATTAACTATGAATATTAATGAAGCTGGAATATTAATAGCGTTTTAAAGCACTCCCAGCTTACAGACTTTGTCACGACCCACGCTAAGGACTACAAATTCTTAGCCAATAAATTAGCCAAATACCAAAAGTATTTGCTGAATTTCAAAATTCTTAGCCAAAGGCATGTCTTAACTTCTGTGCTTGATTTTTTCACATAGAAAACTTCACATCAAAATACAATTTTTTATAAATCTAATTATTTTATAAAATGCAAATTTAAATTAAGAGTAATTTTGCAGTTACAGAGGAGTAAAGGAGCATTGAATGGGAGCAAGGATAAAAAATTTAGATATTGTTTTATCATCTTTGAGGAAAAGGAATAGGTTGGGGTCAGGGCCGGATTAAGCGCAAGTGGGGCCCTAGGCCATTCAAATTTTTGGGGCCCTAGGATTAAATTTTTTTCTCGTATATTTTTTATTTAGCAAATTCAAAATAAAAATAAATAATAAAATAAATTTTACTTTATTTTGTAAAATTAGAACTAAAAAAATTATCGTATTTTATTAATATATATTTGAAATTGATTTTTTTTTTAAAAATCATTGTTTTTCTTAATTTTTTTAAATTTATTTTCAAAAAAGTTTATTTAAGGGGGCCCCTAATCATTGGGGGCCCCAGGCCATGGCCTAGTCTGGCCTAATGAGTAATCCGGCCCTGGTTGGGGTTAATTTTTGATAATTTCTCAGATTAGAGCAGTAATATAAGGATAAACCTTAGGCAACATATGTTATTGTCACAAAAAAACATATTTTCTGCAAAAATATTTGAACGATAATATGCATCTTCTTGTTTTATTAACACAAACCGTAGGAAAAAATTTCGTCACATGATGTGGCAGCAAACCTGGTAATCTAAATTATATGGAAGTTTGTTTCATGCTTGCATAATCTCTCTTGTCGTTTACAATATCTGGACTTGATATAATTCTAATTGATTGTGTAACGTATCTAACAGAAACTACTGTAATCGAATAAAAAAATACAGGAAAATCAGAAAAATTCTCTTCAACCTTTTTTTTTATTTTTTATTTGAGATGAATATTTATTTTTCTTTTCTGTAGAAGGAATCATACTTTCGCCAAAGCACACATTTTTTCTTCAAATTTATGATTTATCGCATTTGGTGAGATGGTCCTACTCTTTTTTCCCTTTAAATTATAAATTTTTTCAATTGAAAACACTCAATTGTATTATTTGTTAAATTTTTTTTAATATTAAATTGAATTGATTCATTTTTCTAATTTGAAACTAGTTTTTTAATGTTATCTTTATATAAATATTTGTACTGTTAATTCCTTGCAACAAATTTTAAATAAAAAAAAAATGAGAGAAATGAGTCATTAGACACAAAAGAAAAAGTTCAACTCACCCTCAGCTTACTTATCCCCTTCATTTTATCAGTGATACTTATTTTATGACACTAAACATTGTTCAGTTAAATACCATTAAATCAATAGCAAAATGCTATTGTGTGAAAATCGTTAATTATCTTCAATTCACTATTTTTTTATTAAATAATAGATAATATACAATAATTTTTTGTCCCAAGTATTCCAGATTTAAGACTTCTCATTGTTGTTGTTGTCATGCCTATTTCTCAATGCCGAACAATTCGAAAAAAGCACTTTCCATTGTAATTATGTCTATTCCAGTGCTAAATAATTCCATATTATTACATGTTTTGTTTTCTGCACATTTAATTTAGAAAGGCAGAAATACACACAATATAATAAGTGTAATTAAAAAGCAGATTTCATTTTACCTGCACTTTGAAAGACAACACTGATAAAGTTATGAAGAGAAAGCAACATGGTATCTTGCCACTGCCGAGAAAAATAAACAGAGAAGTTTGGATGCTCATCAGCATTTTTCATGAAAGGCAAAGCTAGAAGAAGAAAAAAAATAGTTCCATTTTACGACATTGCAATTAGAAAAAGTAAAACAATTTTGCAACAGCTAGTTGTCAACCAATGGGGTCATTGAAACTTAAGCGAAACAAAAATTATAAATAGCATAGGTTCCCAACATGGGCACTAAAGTCTTCTATGAGAGCGATGGAGCATTCTAGAAAATCAGTAATAATTTGTAGGAGAAATATTTATTAAATTAAGGAAAATAATTTTATTTGTTTTATATAAAAAATCTTTTAATGGAGCATTATAATAAACCACGCTAGCTCAGTTTGTTATTTTAACATTTTAATTACAGTAAAATAATACAAACACAACACAAGACAAACATCAAAATCACTTTTTTCTACGTCTACTCAAATTAAACGTTTGAGAGAAAAATGCGGAGAGGATCATGGGTGAAGTTTACACTAGCACAGTCTAGCGGGAAAACCAGGCATTACAGCATTTTATTAATAAAAGATTACAAACCAATTTTAAAGTGAAAGCAACACATTGTTTTCTGTTCCTCACCACATATATTTTTATAAGAATAAAAATGAATAACAATTAAAAATAATATACTCTTAAGTAAGAGAACAAGATCATTAGAATGATCACTAATTGCAAGGTGTTAAAACTATTTATTTAATATAGATCATTTAAGATATTTAGAGTTACAAATTTTGTTCCAGGAAGGCATTCACTCCAATTAATAATAGGTACATAAAAAATTTAACATGAAATTATACATTATGAAGCTGCACTGCTAATTAGTAAATAAATAAAAAATAATTATGCGGTGATAGAAAATTTTATAATATAACTTAGCTGTTGAGGATCCTCATATTTTTGTATCTTAACCTCAGCTCTCCAAAACCATGTCCTTGCCTTCTTTCTCTCACCTCCTCTAACCAAGCCCCCAAAGCATACTCAACTCTTATTGGCTGTTACCACCATCACATAATAAGTAGGGCTATACTTGCTATTTCTTTTTTATTTTTATTTTTGGCTAAATTATTTAAGGGCAGAAAAGGGCAGGTGAAAACTTATGAAAGAGAAATTAAAACTTTAAAGTAATTATAGCAGAGCAGTGCAGCGAAGATAAAAGTAACAAAACATCATAAAAGCAATACCACATATATATAAAAGTAACAAAACATCATAAAAGCTATACCACATAAATAAAAATTTAACTCTAGGGCATACATGACAGTGTTCTTTTTTTTTATTTTTTTTTTAAATAGAAACAAGTGTTTTTGATTTTTCATTTTCATCAGGAAAATGTTACAATAATTTCGAATTTCTGCATAAATTTGTTTAAAAGTTGTTTAACATTCTTCCAAAGAGGTTCAAAGCAAAAAGTATTTTATTGTTGTACAATGTAAATTTTTTTTAATTACAAAGCAATGATGATTATTTGACGTTTATTTGACACCACACATAAATAGTGGTGTCTAATGAGCATGTGACAGAATCATGTGTGACAACTAAACATTTTAATTTGATACATCTATGTATGGGCATATCTTTCTTTAAACACCCATACAGACATGAGCTGTATGGTGCGTGTTGATCAGTGTTATCTAGTGTTCTTGTGTGTTAACACACACCATACAGCCATGAACTGTATGGCGTATATCAACAATGGTCAGTGTGGTTTAGTGTTGTGTGATAACAAAAATCAGATAATTTAAATTAACCCTTTATTCCATCAAAAGTCAAAGGAAGAGAAAGAAAAAAAAATATTCATAATTACCAAACCATTCTTTCCATTCAGGTTGTCCCTGAAGCTCTGAAGTCATTTTTTCAAAAAATTCAAGTAGTTTGTCTTGTTTCCCTGTTGATATACATGTGACTAAATACATTCTAAGCAAAGCAACCTCTAACTTCTTGGCTGTGCCTAGGAAAGAATGTTCTAATCTGGCAAAAAATCTCTGATCCAGGTGACCCCAGGCATCTCTTAGGGTAGCCAAGTCAGAATTCGCAATACAACTACTAAGATGTTCAACAATTCTATCAGGCTGTTAAAAAATTAACACATTAATTTAAAATCAAAAACTTTCTAACATAAGATCAAAATTGTAATAAGATTATACAATCAATCTGTTAAAAAAAAACTAACAGTAAAACACATACAAAGAATATAGAATGGTAAAGAAGTCCAGTTCTTAAAATACAAAACTAACACAGGAACGGCTTGGTTTAGAATGCTATACCAGAAAAACAGCTTACAGGATGAGCACAGATTTTACAGAGCATCATACGTACTAAGATCCAGCGCATTCGCATAAGAAGCAAAGTGGCCATCTGGAGATACATCACTTGTGTATCAGTTGTTGAGCAACTCTAAATGTAAGTTAGGTACATTGTCTCCCGCCAACTGCTGTTTTATTCTTTCTATGTCAAAATGTGTTAGCTAATTTAATCAACATAGATGACATAAATGGTTTCTCAAAGGAATATCTTTATTAACAATACAGTACCGTTTATCAATAGTGTAAAAATGTAGAGCAGACCAATAATAAATAAATAAATAAAAGAATTTTCTTCTTCTCCCCAACCCCAGTAGTGGTTGGGAGGAGAAAAGAGTGGGAACCCATTTCAAGAATTTCAGCTGCTATGCCTGTAAATATTGTTTTTTTTTTCTTTCTTTTATACACAGGAACCACACCTAACCTTACTGGACTGGTCTACATTATGTCTACAAAAGCTAGTCTTCTTGCCCTGAGTATATTCTTGACATAGGGATGCCCAGCATGCCTTGCAAGTCAAAAGTGGCTTTTTGATTTGCTTCCCCAGCTACCTTAAACCTTAATGAACTTATGATCGAAAAAAAATATTTTATGGTATACTCTGTTACAGTTATTTACAATTCAAAGAAAGGCTTTCTCAAAGTAAGGGATAATATATAGTTTATAAGAACTCCTACCGCCACAAAGTCTGAGGCCGTCTGGTGCTATGGAGACAAGAAGGTGCATTTTAGGGAGGGTAGCTTCACTCTAGGACTAACACAATAGACAGAAGAAAGAAATTCCCTTTCTCTCGCCAACCCGACCCCTACTTGAAATAGTCATATCCCGTTACCATAGTCACCACCGCAGGTCCAGACGAATGTTTGGGAGAGTTCTCATTTTAGACAAACTATACTTCATTTTGCAAGTTTTGTTTACGACTGTTTATGGAGGAATGTAATTTTGTACAAATGTGTAGAAATAACTTTGGAAAGAAATAAAATGTAATTTTTCTAAAATCAAAAAATAATAAATATATATAAAAAACATTAATGAAAAAATTTTTTACTTCAAAATTTTAATCCTTTAAATCACATCAATATGCTACTATATAAGTAACAGAACAAATTTTCTTTTCTGAGTAATAAAAGCTAACTTTTAAGATAAATAATCATTTTGCAAATTACTATTTCTTTCACTTGTATTTCTTTGATAGGTCATAATAATTTGCTTTGTAATCTTGCAACTGCATTTGTTCAGAATTAAAACATTTTTATTTATTTATTTAAACCTAGATTGCATACACCCAAATGAAAATTTTAATTCAGCATCATCCTATTACTTTCTAATGAAATCTAAGTTTTATAAAACCTTACAATTTTTAGATTAATATTGGCTGCTAACTTAGTATTGCCAAGATTTTGCGCCCTGCAAACCAAAATTAGTTGTACATCCGTGAGTGAAAAGCTAACTTACAAGAGCAATGCTGCTTATTACAAAGAGCAATATCAAGATGTAAAAATATCGAAAATTTATAAATAAAAATAAATATTGCTTATGTTAGGATAATGACAAGGATAAACCTAGAAAAAAAATTAGGTCTTTTAAGAAACAAAAATCTAAACACTTTAAACTGACCTTTTAAGAAATTCTAAACTTAATATTAATTAACAATAATTAAAAATCAATATATTTTTGCATACATTTTTTTCCATAAAATTATATAAAGATATAGGACATGCTGGACAAATACAATTTTAGTAAAATGCCATTTTGTTTTCGACGAAACTACAAATTATTTTTCAAAATTTTTAAGACTGAGCCATGTCAAAAAAATTTGCATGACTTGATAAATTATAAGAATATTCAACCAACCATTATGTAAATCTATCTATTGATGATACAAATTTTGAGTTAAGGTTCCATAAGCTAATAATTTTAACCTCAGACTTATGATGGACATGCTGGTAATGAAATGATTATTAGTTAATATAGATAAAAACTTTTTTTCCACTGATAAATTGAAAAACAAAGATTTTACATGGATTCATATTATCTAAACAAATTTGTATATAAATAGCTAAAATAATTTACATAAAAAGAAGAAAAAAAAATGATGATTACAATAATAAATTTCTTTTCATACAATATTTGAAATTTTATTAATAAGAAAGTATTCAGTAAAGAATGTAAAGGTAATTAATAAAAATTAAATATCATGGTAACCACCCCTTTTCTTTGATGAAAAAAATAATAAAATTTAAAATGAGTCATATCTAATTTCTAGCAATATGCTGATCTCCTTTAATATTTATAATTACTAGCGATAATTTTCGTTAGTCTTCAAAAAAAATCACCTAAAGTTTTACAAATAAATAATAATTTATTTTTCAAAAAGTAGTATTTGTTATAAATTTTTAAAGATTGATATAAAAAAAAAACATTGAATTACTCGAAATTGTTTGTCTTTGTCAGATTTTATTTCACTTTCAAATGCTTTAAGAGTCGATAAAAAACCTCGAAACATTAAATAATCTTTTACAAGTTCATCTCCAAAACCAATTGCGGACATCTTTTTATAAAAATAGTGAAAATGTTTTCATAATTCACGTTTTATAGCAATCATAATTTTGTGGGAGTCCGTGCATATTGTTTACAAACATTCAAGTTAACGAATGAACACGGCTGTGAGTTTTTCATCAGTTTTCTTTTCTTCTTTTTATCGCAGATTGTCTTGCTTAAAAACCTTTATTTAAATTTTAAACATATGATTGCAGCGCTACCTACAAAGATGGCGTCGCAGTACATGCTCTGCGTCACATTTGTTGTAGTTGTTGTAGTTCATTTACATCCAGGGACCCCATCAGAGGGGAAGCTGGGCGCACGATGAGCCCACTTAAAGCTTGGGGGGGGGGATTTTTACACTAAATAAAACGAATAGTTTGGGGAGGAATTTAGAATGCGCCCAAGAGCTTGGGGGGGATGGGGGCCACTGTTACGTCGCACTAGAGCTGCACAATGGGCTATTGGCGACGGTCTGGGAAACATCCCTGAGGATGAAACGAAGACTGATCGAAGAAAAGATGCCATCACAATTTTGATCCTCTGCAGAGGAGATGGCACCCCCGCTTCGGAAGCCCAACGACTTGCACGCGAAGTCGAGCACTTTACGGTAGCTCAGTTTAACGAGGACCAATACCGCACACCCTCGGTCCCTACGCAGACTGATCCAAGTGGTCACCCACCCGCTCACTGATTGCAGCCAGTGATGCTTGACTTCGGTGATCTGCTGGGAACCGTGCCTTAATGATCGGTCCGCTGCGGGACCTCTGCATCACATCAAATACATAAAGATTTTTACATTATTTTAAATCAGGACTAAAATGTACAATTTAATTTTAAGTAAAAAAGTCAAAAATTTGAGCGGAATCGGTTGAATAATCTCGTTAAATGAAAATACAATTTTTCTGTAATTTCATTATGCAAGAACTATTTGACCAATATTTCGCTTAAATTTTGTTTCTCGTATTTCAAATTGCACAGTTCAAAAATAATGAAAAAGTTGCATTGAGTTGAGTGCATTTGCAATTAGAGGCTTAGTTTATTTTTAGTTACGGTAACGTTAACAGGTATTCTAAAGAAAATTGAATAGGGAATTGATGCATTTTGCGTATATTACGAATTACTCTTCGATTTTGGTAGAAAAATTAACTCCTTGGAACCTTTTTTAAAAAAGTGGAAAGTAATACCAACATTGATGACGTTTAGTATCCTAATAGGACGGGGAAAAAAGTTTTTAAGGAATGTATTATGTAACAAGCAAGAGTTTTGAAAAGTTTTATAAAACTACTTCAGCTAATCAACCAAACTCTTTCTCGATTTTTTTTTTTTTTTTGGAGGGGGGGATTTTATCAACTACAAAAATTAACTATTACAGATTTTTCTGCGGAAAAGGCAGTAAGAAAAGTTAAATTCATAAAATCAATCACCATCATGCTTGAGAATCGGTATTCTCATAGCCAAACGAAAAAAGGTTGGAAAATCAGCCCGAAAAAAGAAGGAAAATTATTAGTAAGCATCAGAGAAAAAGACCACAGGAAAAAAAGTCGCGATACAAAATTAAGTCTCAAATAAATAAATATTATTTTAATAATTAAATCTTGATAAATTAATTCAACATTATTTTAAAATTAATTCGTATAAAAAGACTAGTTTGAAGTTCGTGGAAAGACAGTTTTCACCGTTCCTACTTTTTAAATGCTTTTATTTCATATTTTCTGTTAACTTTAAAATGTTCTAATATCGCTAATTATATTTATATTGTTATATGATGTAAAAATAATTCTTCTTCAAACGAATGACTTTTTTTATGTAAAAAAAAAAAAAAATCTGCGTATAATGAAGTAAATGAAAATATAAATAATTATAAGAATTAAATTGACTACAATTAAGGAGATTAAACTGACTACAATACTTATTTCATTTAAGGAGGAAATGAATTAAATAGTTGATATAATAATATACAGCATAGCCGACCGGCCTGTGTAGGGGTTAGGGAACTGCCCTTGCATCAGAAAGGTTCTGGGTTCGAATCCAGGGCAAGACATAGAGGTTCTTTCATTCTCTATACTATCTGTCCTTACAGTGGAAGCAACGTTGGCCACCTAATTGGCCTCTGAAAGAGTGGCCAACAAATCTGCCCTTCAGATGCCTATATGACCTAGGCTATTCTCCAGGTGGTCATTGGAAAAACAAAAATAATAATAGCATTATATTTAATGCGATTCAAAAAATCTTACTATTAAGTTTCAAGAAATACACTAAGAATAGTATGTTTTTAGAGAAAATGACTATTTAAAAACCAGCATTTTTAAATATAATTTGTGTCTTTTATTTAAATAATAAAAACAGTCGGAATTGAGATCTATATTAAACCAGTTGCTTGCACCACTTGAAGCGCACTAGTGTGTCACTTTTCTATGGAGTTGATTTCGCCAATCACACAGTTTCACAATAATTTAATAAATTTTTCAAAAATATAAACAGAAGAACAAAAAGTCTACATAGGAAATGCAAAAATTTAGTAAATCCTGAATGTTCTTGAACTTTCCTCTAAATCCTTGGACATACTAACTTATACAATGGACTATTTTTGAATTAATAACATTTTATAATATAGTTTATAAGTGAATGAAATTTTATCTTATGAAGTAAAAACTTCGAAATCATTTCTTCGTTATTAGCAATCTCTAAGAATTATATTCCATGAATTTGTAGCAGAAGTAAAAATGTTTAAATTGAAGCTAACAGCTGAAAATTCAAATATTTTTAAGAGGACACGATCTCAGAAAAGGTCACCAAGGCAATTCAGGGTTATAAGACTGAGATCTGTATTTATCTGAAAACATCCACTAACGGAGGTTCCTATCTTAAAATATCTCTCAATAGCTAATATAAAAAGAAGCATTGAGTGAGAAAGAGATAGGAGAGCTAAGTTATAAAACAGTATAAGAAAACTAAAGCTCGGTCGTTGATGGAGTTTGGTCGTTCTTAGAAGTTATCTGCATCAAAATTATTATCGAAAGTATACATGATTTTTCGCAAACGATTTTAATTTTAGTCCGTGTCATGTTCTCGCGTCTCGACATATCGATGAATAAAATTTAGCGTCTATAAAAATGATCCCTGATGATATAATGATGTGTACAAACAAATTTATCAAGTATAAACGATAGAGCTATTTTAAATAAATAAACAACTATTTTAAATAAATAGTTAACTATGTTTCTTGCACTTAATTTTATATCATAAAAATTAGTTAGCTTTAAAAGATGAGGTTTGTTTAAGAGATGCTTGTTTTTTCTAATTTATCTTTCAACTCTAGAAGTAAATCATTGATGGCATGCACTTTGAAGTTGTATCGTCAAAGAAAGCTCTCTAAATAAGAGCCTTACACATATATTTTAAATAGATTTTAATCTACTTATTTGTTTATTTAAATTTTTTGTTCCGATACTTTTTCCGCATTTACTGCAGATGTTTGTCCGGTCGTTGGAAGAGGTTTTAAATGTTTCGCCAACACAAAAAAAAAAAATTCCCTGCCACCCAAAAGTGGTCACTAAATAGAGGTAGTCTTTCCTGGAGGTTTCACTGTATACTATTTGAGTGAAGGGTAACTTAATGGTTTAACCTTTCATAAGGTCATTTTTTTTCTAGTAATGTTATGTTCAAATATTTTTGGGATTCAAATTAATTTCAAAAACGAATTCTTTTAGCTTATTACACAAAATAAATTTTTAAGACTATTTCTTTTTCCTGTAGGATTTTTAGTTTTATCTGCTGTAAAGAATTGTCAGAACTTGATATTTAGTACTTATTACTCAGTACTTATACTAAATACTATAATTTCAATACATACTATATATTTAGTACTTATAATCATTATTCGCCATCGCAAAGCTGGAATACTCCATCTGGAGAGACGATCGGATCGGAGCCTTGTCACTTCCCCTTCTCAGTTTTATAGGAATGTAGTATATTTTCCCATTTCTTAAGATTTTTCTTATTTAATTGTCAAAAATATTTTATAAAATTCCCACGACACTTTCATTTAGAACTATATTTAATATAGTTTTCAGTGCTCTAGAAACTAGCTTTAAATTTAAATTTCATGTCTTACAAGCATTTCATTAAAAGAACCTTGAATGCAGCAGAAAGTTTTGACTATTCTTCAATTTTGACTGAACACCACACATACTTTTAAGAATCTTTGTGAGGTCACAGACGCTGTTTAATAGTGCTCAAATGTGTGGTATAGCAATGTGAATTGCTCTTCTACTAGCAGACTGAAATAAATATTTTAGTTGTAATAAATAAAAATTGAGTAAATTTTAAATAATTATTTAGTAAATGCTTAAAGCAATGTAAATTTTTTAGTTTTATATCATATTTTCCACTGTTAGTCACTGACTTGGAACTAAATGGAAAGTTCAGTGTCAATCACTGATGACTGATGTGGACATTCAATGTGTTAATCAGTTAATAAAATTTTAGCATGAAATAAAAACTTAGAAATCATTTTCTCTACCTTGGCATTACAGCCTATTACATTTAACAAATTGGAAAACAATGAATTGGAATGAAAGAAATCTTAAGACTTCTACAAATCATAAAGAAAAATAATGGAAGAAAAATAATGAAAGCATACTATTTGTAAGATGCATTTATTTATTTCTTAAATATAGTTCACAAGAATAAATCTTCAGTTTCCTTTTCTCTTTAAAAATAATAATAATCTAACTAAAAGAAGCCACATAAACTTTGTACAACGCAAGTCATGGATATCTTATTCAATAATAATGACACATTTCAATAATGAATAGCACAGAAACAATACACACACAAAAACACAATTAAATCATACGGTTGAAAGGTAGAGAAAAAGAATAACATTAAGTTACCATAAGGCAACCCATAATTTGGAGGTAGCCAGTACAATTTCACACATAAAAGCAAAAGCATTCACACAATATTTTCTAAAACATATAAGCAAAGTTAAAAAACAAAAATGCATTTTTTAAAGAATGGGGTTTTTATTTAGATAAAAACAATGTACACAGAAAGCCTCACAGGGTTCCACAAATCGAAAACAATGGTCCGAATTTTATTTTGATGGGTTGAGTGATTTTTATTGATTATTGAGTAATTTTTATAATAAGACCATTTAAAAAAAAAGATGGGGAAATGATTTTTATAATAAAATTATTTAAAAAAAATACTAAAAAGAATTTTTACAAAAAAAGATACAAAGAAGTGAAATTAAAAGCACTTTTAAGTTGAATTTTAATGTAAAATAGACATTTTGTAGTATAAATTACTAGCCATTCAATAAAATATTTAATACAAACACGCTTTTTCTAAAAAACTGAATGTTATATACTAAGTGTCATCTTTTTTATTTTTAAAATGATTCATTTTGCGATTAATAAATTGAATTGCCTGAATTTTTTCTAACATAAAATACGAAAAATCATTTCCAATAGAAAGTTGGTATTAAAAGATGATAGACTCCTCTGAAGTCCTATTGCCACAATTTTCATAAAATTAGCAGATTTGGAATGGAGAAAATTTTGGTTAATTTGGATAATTATTTGGAGGGGAAAAAACGCTTTTTAATAATTTCATTTATGAAAATAGCTTCAAACAAGCCAAAAATTTTCCTTCTAAGAATATAATAGACATAGCTACTATATTATCACTATTAAAGCAAAAATTTCAGATATACTGTTATAGCCTAATATGTGATCTAAAAGTGCATCTGAGTATCTTTAGAGATATGTAAAGCCAAGAACCATATTTTAATTGAAAATCAACTATTAAAATAAAATCCCCATTCTTCCCAAACATATAGTTTCAGAACCCTATGAGCAGCAGTGCATTTCAAAGCATAAAATAAAGCATATAATAATCTTTAAAACAGCTGCATAAAATTTAAAGACTAGCAGTCTCATTTAACCGGGATCGTCGGACAAATAAATAATTTTTATAAAGCTACCGGGTATTGAAGTTTTGGACAAACAAAATGAGTACAGAAGGGAAACCTCTCTATATGAGCACCTTGCAGCATTTTCAAGAATCTACCGAGGGCAGTGAAGAGTGTCGGACGGAATACCGCACGACGAGATGCGAGGGAAATGTGCCTGACAGTTATAATTAGAGGCACTGGAATATTGAGCACATTCACCCAGCAGCCGTGCTGGTCCATACACACCTAGAATGGAACATTGAATTTACTGGGAAATCTCAAAAGAAATAAATTTTAAAGGAATGTCAAAACGGATAAAATGAAACGCGTGAGATATTTGAATGATCAACTAGTAATAAATTGATAGAATCGATTAAAAGTTAAAATAGATTTTTGACGATACTTTTCAAATATCTATTTTCATATAATCTTGTCGAATACTTGAAATGGTGTGGTGTTTTGATTCTTGTAATTTATGTTTGGAAGAGAGTGAAAGAAAAAAAAATTGCTACTTGTATTAATACACATATGGTTTTCATAAGAAATTTTTTTTTAAATTTGAATATCAAAATATAAGATGAAATCAAGTAAATGGAGAAAAATAAAAATTCTTAATTTTAAATATATTTTTTGAACAAAAAATTTATAGAACCCATTAAAAAATGACAAAAATTTTTTTGATGAACTATACCATTAGGGGAGAATATTTTCTTTTAACTTAGAGCGCAACGTTCAATTATCTTATTAGGATTTGCTTTTTAGTGACTAATTATAAATACAGTGATGCTAAACGTTACATTTTTATTACTAGCCATTGACTCGAAAACTTTTTTTTCTTTTTAAATTCTAGTTACAAAATAAGAATTTTAAAAAAAATTTCCAAACACTTAACTGTTAATTTTCATTATAATTAGCCAAATGCTTTCTGGTTCCCAAGAAATACGACCACAGATATTCAAAAAGTACCATGCTTATAACTGTATATAAGAGATAAAAACATAAATTGAACATTCATTCCAGATGAATTAATATCTGAAGACTCTCATGGAAAACATTAGAGATTCCAATCATTCTGTTGCATCAACTTTATAAAAGCAAATTTAAAGCTAAAGCATGCTCTTGCAACCTCATATTATTGTCCAATATGCGCAGAAAAAGGAAGATACGCCATTAAATCTATATATATACAGTAAAATTACAATGCAAACTAAAATATACTTGCTAACAACCTATTCAGTATAATCTCAGGGTACATTTCAAATTATTAAACCCAAAATGATTTTGATCTATCTGGTACAAAGCAAATGAATTCTTCAATACAATAGTCACATTTTAAATGCACTAATTAAAGCTAGAGTCCACTAATGATGTAAGGTACAAATATATAGCAAATTCTCTTCTGAATTGTAATAAAAAAAAATGAAGCGATTGAGTATCATTTGTTTGCCTATTCTGAACAGCTCCAACACCGTTCATGTTTTGTTTTTTTTTTTTTTTTTTTNTGGACAAGAATATTTAGATGAATTATAAATTTTAACTGTCATAATTTGTAGCTTAATAAGTAAATGAAGAACTTAGTGGAAGAAGCGGAAAATGAAACGTCGAGGACACGAGTCTTAGAATGAATGGAAACTGTTTGAAAAACAACTTATTAATCTAATTTACTTAAAGTTTTGCTTTTATGAATAAATGTTCTACTATACCATGCTTTTATGAGACCTTTACTCTTATATTAGATTTTAACTTAAATATTTGATTTTAGTTTTCTCTCTAATTTTTTTTTGTACTTTTGAGAATCTCTTGTGAAAGCACTAAACCTTTCAGAAAGAATTAAAGATGAAATAGATTAAATGATAAAATATATATTTTCTGAAAAATGTCAAGCAAGTTTTACTTCAGTTTTTTAAAACTAAATAATTGCTTATTTTTAATTTTTCATCAAAATTTAATTTTGTTAAAGTTTAAACTAATGAATACTGATGTGGATGACGCTAACAAATCTTTGGACGAAATTTGTGTAGCAAAAGATATTTATCAAAAATCTAAAAGTAGACAAATGTATAATACACTGAAATAACAATCGAAAAATTCTGATTGCATAATTGTATTAGTACAATTTCATCAAAAAATATTAGTATATTTTCTTGATTAGGAAAATTTTAGGTTAATCAATATTTCTTTTTCTGTAAAGTTCATTTCAAAATACTTTTTGGGGATAGCGAGTAGTTATCGACAATGTCAACCTTCATCTATGAAAGGGTACCTCACCGTAGAATTGAGTTAACATGTCTTAATATACCAGTGAATTGGAATTATATTTTTGTAGTGGCAGATACACTTCAGTACTTCCCCACCAAAATTAAATCTGTGATAGAATTCAATGAACATATACCACTAGTTCATTCATTGCTATTTTTTGTGTGCAGCCGGGAGAGCTGTATTAAGTTCACGGTGGGTCGTGGTCGCTCCTGTGTTGCCTTCAGCAGTCGAGTGTATACATTGTATATAGTGTGTGATCGAGACTGAGAAGCAACAGCGCAAGGACAATGTCGCAGTCATAGTGGGGGTTTCTGTGAAGGCAGGCATGTTAGCATCACTGCCGAAGGTCAACAATGTGGGGATATATTTATCAACCATGTCAACCTTCATCTATGAAAAGTTTCCTCACCATAGAATTGAGTTAACATGTCTTATATACTAGTGGATTGGAATTATATATTTGTAGTGGTAGATAGACTACACGCTTTTCAGTTATTTATTGAAGATAGATGGACCTTATTGTTCAAATTTTTAATTTGAGTGAATGATGATCATTAACATAGAATAATGATAGACATTTCCATAACTTTTTTCTATTCATAAACAGTTTTCAATTGGATTCTTTTATACTCTCAATCGAAATTTTTTTTTATTTTCATCTTCCAATTTCCCTAAGAAATGTAATTTGCACCTATAACTTTGTTATTTTTACTCGAAGAATGAACTTCATGCAAGGAATCTTTCAAAAACTGAAAAAATAGAAAATTTTAATTGAATGATCTTTGGCATGTTTTGATACTGTAATGATTCTGTTCATGAAGATATGATTATAAAAATCGACTGGTTTTGTTAGTGACACTCAATCCACTGTTAGAAAATACTAACCTTAGGAGGTTCCATAGACATTTGTAAATTTACATTTGGCATAGACCGCCTCAAGTGAGGACTGTAGGATGCATGACGAAAAGTAAAACCTTCTGAATAAGGGGTTGATCTGAAGGTTGCAGAAGTGTTGTGATTCTATAGACAGAAAGAGCAATTAATATTTATTTATTTACCTATTTGTTAGATGAATGAAAATGAATGCAAAGATAATTACCACAGTAAGTTTTCCTTGTTCTGGTGTGGGTGACACTGAAAAATATGAGTTTAATTATATTATGAGGTGAGTTACATTGAGATAGGATGGAAATTGATTTTCAATTTTATAATTGTTATTAAATTTTAAATTTTTTGCTAAATGTTAAAGATTATGAACATTTCCTTGTCTGAATTTTTTAGGCTTTTTGAGAAAGGTTTGAAATGGTAATGCCACTTTAGAAAATAAATGTAAGATTTTTTCCTTTTTTTGCAGAAAAAAAAGGATTTTACAACTTTAAGGAAACATCCTGTTTTCCTTTAAGTATAAACCATATACCAAATACATAACTAATGCCAAACCTTGTCACAGCAAATTTGTGAGATTTTTTTTTTTAAAACTACCAGATATAAATGAAAAAAAGTCAATTAAAAAAAGAATTTTTTTTTTATAAATTATTGAGTTACATACATTAAAATAAATTTTACACCAAATAGTGCAATAGTAATTTTGAAAATTGTTAGAATCAATATTGTTATAAACATTAAAAAAATCTAGAAATTTTAAAACGGTATGTAAAAAAGAAACATTTTTATCTCTACTTTAATTCAGAGAAAAAGAAAAAAAAGTATTATTAAATTTTTTATCTACATAATCTTAAAGCATTTTTTTAAATTTTGCATTATCTGAATCATAAGCTTTCAAATAAATAAAAAACATAAATAAAAAGTACAATTATTTACAAATTTTTTTTAAACTTATGAAACATTTTATTGAATTTTTTAGGCAGTAATAATAATAGAAATTGTCTCTTTTTTTTTTAAAAGGAAAAAAAAGCATAGCATAGTTACCAGTCAGAAAAATTTCTTTAACATTTGAGAAGAGTACATGCATGTGCAATTTATAATGGAATTTATTTCAATTTGATCAATTCAATTATATTGAACTCAATTTGAATTTCTATTGAATCGTAAGGAAAACTATTTCCATTTAACAGAATAAATAAACAAAAAGTTAACTTTACCAATAAACTCTAAATGTACAATAAAACTTTCTAGAATACAAAGTTATATAGAAATAGTTATTTAAAATTATTTCAGAAATTGAGAATAACACATGTTTAGTATAATCTATTAAAAAAAAATTTGCAGAAAGAACTTACGATCAGACTTGCCACTTCCAAATTCTGAACTTTGTGTTGGTTGAATTTTAACAAAGGATAAATCACTAGTCTACAAAGAATAAGAAGCAGGGTAACTGACTGTCAGAAGGTAATTAAAAAATAATATTTTAAACCACAGTTTTTTGCAACCTTTTCATTAAAATGGTGTACATTTAAAATCAATATATTTAATACACCTCATAACAATGAAAATGAATTACATGTCATACTTACAATGATAATACCATACTAAAAACTAAAATAAATTTTATAAAGATGTTTAAAAAAAATTTAGAAAGTCTGAGTAAAGGAAGGTTGAATCAACTAGCACTTTGAAATGGTTAGATACATGTTAAGATAAGTTCTGATTTTTCAATTTCCCCTTTCAATACATTACTTAGCACGTGTTTCATTATTTTGAAAAAATGAATTGATTATGCACGTATGGTTGAAAGTAATGGTGATTTATGTTGAGAAATGTGTCAATAAATGTAGAAATATTTAAAATTATGCAGAATCCATAAATTCCTGTAATTATATGTACCATTGAGAAAAAAAATAATAAATGGCTACATGAAAATAAACACTGGATTACCAATTTTAAAATTGTGATTCATTACCATCTAAAGCTACAACCCCTATAAATGAACGATTTTGACTTACTATTTGATAGCACCTTTTCATTAAAAGTAATTTCAATAATTAAAATAAGGGGAAAAAACGTAGAGAAACAAAAAGAAATAAATTTCAAGCAATTTTTAACTATACAGAATTCTGAAGGGCCTTACATATTGATTCTGACAATAATATAACAGAAAACTTATGTATGATATTCATGGTTATGCCATAACATTTTTTTTAATGTCAGAATCATTTACATTTTTTTAGTCAGAACTTTTTACATTATCTTAGTGTCAGTTCAAATTCATATTAGTCAGTTCATTCAAAAACAAATAATAGAATGAGAATAGAAACATGGAAAAGTTTCTCTATAAAGTGGAATTTTAAAAAATAATTGTAATAGATATTATGATTATTTAACTTGAAGCTCAATAACTGACTACTGTTACTGACGATTCTAAGACTGGTTATTTTCCAGGTATGATATAGGAATGTTCCAGGTTCTTTTTAAAAAACTGCAACTTTCCCTGTTCTTTAAGAATTAAATGAAATTCCCTGACAATTCCAGGTTTTCCCTTACCTGTGGAGGTCTGAAGATATTTATGGAGAAAATGATCAGTCACGGAAAAATGATCAGTTTCATCTTTTGAAAAATTCTAAGTTTCACATGTAAGAAAACAGTATTTTGTGACAAAAATATTTCATTAAAAACACAAGAAAATACTTAAAAAATTGTTTTAAGAATGGATAAATAGGTTTACAGTATTTACCGTAATTTATCTTTTGTCAACACAGTTTGATATGTTACTTTCTTTATGGAATTACATTGGCTTAGTTAATATGAATGTCCAAAACTGGTCCTTTTGGTTTTCAACCAAAAAATGGAAAACTTTTATATAAATACCGAAAAATATTTTTATTTAGATATTTATACTAGTAAATTTTTGCATTAGTTAAGGTTAATTCCAAATCCTAGACAAATTTACTCAAAATTTTTTACTGTGAATTAAATTTTAATTGTCAGAGCCTTAAGTTTAAATCTGTGTTATACTCTCCCCCATACAGAAATTATTATTGAATTAGCAGCACTTAGAAAATGACCATAATTTTTGAAGAGAAGTTTACTTGATAAGCAAAGATTTTTTGATTTAAAAATAGAAATTTTATACAAAAACATAAATATATTAAGCATAATAATATTGTAACCCACCATAAAACCCATTCCTCCTTCTCTTCCGGCAGCCGGTAAAGTTGCTGATTTAGTTGAAAAGCCATAACCAGGTTTTGGTATCGGTCGAAGAGACGATACAACTGAAGTAAAAAACACAGTTACAATCAATAGAAATGCTAAATAAAAATTCCTACACTAATATAAATTTCTAAACAAATCAAGTTATTAGCACCAAATTTTTTTTCTTGCCATATATTATTATTACAAATAAATTCCTCTCAAATCTTGTAAAACATTTCTACGTTTAGTTAAAAATGAAAATTTCAAAATTAACACTTTGAAAATAAAAATTATATATAATACACTTGGGATACTGCTTCGTACCATTTGAAAATATACTTTAATTTTTTCCATATAATGGTTGCTTTCAACACAAAATTAATTTATTTTGAACATAAAATATTTTTAGCATTATAGACATTATGTAATGATATATTATGCACCAATATTAGGATTTAAAAAACATTTGTAATACATAAAACATAGTTAAAATAATTTAATTATTTAATAAAAATATGTTAACAGAATACAACATTCATAATTGAAGATAAAAATATTCATATTATGAAAAGTTTGTTAATAAGATTTGTTATACATTAAAGCTTTTATGGTAAAACAGGAAACAAATAGTTTACCATTGTAGCATGGCGTATTACCCGAAGAACGTCCCAGAGAAGAACGATACCCTGAGCTGCGATCAAATTCATCATCTTCCCAAGGTCTAGGTCTATCAATGTCCCTAGAAGGAGCTGAAAAATATTAAATTAGGAATAAACAAACAACAAGAATAATATATTTGCTTGTATTAATGAAAAAAATAAACATGTCAAGAAATACAAATAGAAATGATGGCAGCTAATGCTTTAGCAGATCTGACAAACCAACCAAAGCCAGAGTGGCCGTCTGATGTTTCCTTTACTTTCCTTTATTTGCAACAACAGAGAGTTTCTCTTAAAAAGAAGAGATATATAACCAACTGCTTACATTTTTATTTTCAAATGTGTGTTATCAGATTGTATCACAAAGAAAACAACGATTTAAATACATCATCGATTAAAAATATACCATATACCGACTATATGGAAACATTCCAATTTTTTTTTCTCCATAAAACTATAGTTTTTTTGCATTAAACGTAAACAGTTCATTTTGTTTGCATGCATAAACTGTTTAGTAATTTTGTTCAACGAATAGTTACTTCTACATAGAATAACAAAAAAAATTTGTATATATCAATTTGGAAAATTTTTAACATAGGTTCCTTTGTTAGCACACAGTAGAAACTATTTTAAAAATTAAAAAAAAATTATGCAAAGTATTAAAAAACAACTCACAAGCATTAATTGAACTATAATAACGTAATCTAGCAGGTGGCTCCCTATTGGCTGATGGAACTCTTGATGCATTTCTAGGATCAAGATTGGCTTTTTTCCATGCTTTCAACTTTTCACGCTCCTGAACATTTTTCAAAAATACCTTAAGGAAATAAAAAGAAAATTTAAGTGAAGTTTATTTTGTAACACAATGATAATAAATAATATATACACATAATATATAATAAAAATTAATGAGAATTTAAAAATGCATATTTTTATAAAAATCTAATCATGGTGTCACAGTTTTCCATTGCTGTCGGTACAATTTTATTGGCTGGAAAATAGCATGGTAGGATACAGTTTTCCAAAATTAATTTCAATATTTTTGTGATTTTCATCAGCATAAAATTAATATAAATAAATGGGGATTTAGAAAAGAATCTTATGTTTTTTCCACAACCTGTAAAATATGGGAAATAAATCATAAACCATTTCAGACCTTAATTTAACTGCCACATCATAAGATCATAAAAAGTTTAAATACTTAAGAGACACAAAGTTAAAGGTTTTTCTAGGAAATTGTGAATATCAATCGTAAAATGTGCGCATTTTTTCTTTTCCAAATTAAATTATGATAAAGAGACTACACTAGTGACAGAATAAATTAATTTTGAATTTTACAGTTGATGAAAAATCTGCTAAGAGTTTTTGTGAAAAAACTGACCTTTCCTATACCAGTAGCAATTTTAGACAACTCTTGTTCTTCTTTTTTCAGACGTGGGTCACAATCTGTTTCATCACCATTCTCATCAGGTTCATAATCTTTAGAGCCGCCACTCCAACGCCTTCTTCTCTCTACAAGTTGAAAAACTTGTTACAAAATGTAGGACATTAATTTAAGTAGTATTAGAATACATTCAACCCATGAGGTTTACCTCACTGAGTAATAAAATATATCTGTCAATTAAGTTATAATTTCTATTTCAGATAGAAATATCTAGTTCACTCTATATTTTTAAAATATACATAATTTTTTGCTTCATTGTATCACATTTATTTTTAGCTTTCAATAAAAAAAAGTGAAGCAACTCTAATAACTGCATTAAAATCCCATAGAAAAACAGTTTCAACATCGTATTTGTTTTTCTACACATTAATTTCCAAAATACCGTCACTTCAAAATTCATTTACAAATCGCTTTTAAATTGAACAAACTAAAATGACATCACTACTTGTGGGAAGGAAGATGATATGTAATGACTGGATTTAATATGATTTTAGAAAATATCTGAAAATTTTGCTCTTAAACAAGTTACTTTTTTGATTTTCTTTTTTTCTATTTAAAAATTTTTAATTGGTTTTATTACAGTCTTAAGATATATAACATTATTTTCAAAGTTTTATTTAGTCTAATATTGCACAGATTTTAATTTTAATAAAAGAACATACCTGCCAACTTTTACGCATTTGGCGTAAAATTTTATTTCTATATTTAAAGTGGCAGTAAAATGTATGCTTTCTATATATTCCTTGCATTTATAAACTTATTTTATAATCTTTTCAACCACCACTATTTTTAAAAAAATTAAGTATATATATAATATTTAATAGTGTCATTGTTGTCTGCATAAGCTGTTTAAAAATACAGCGTAAGTTCTGCTTAAAAATGAAATTTAAATTCCAATTTTCTACCAATGGGAAAAATTAGCCTCGAAAGGCTTAAAAGTTGGCAGGTATGAAAGAAATAGCTCTTTAATAGAAAACAATAATGCAATTAACTGATTTTTCAAAAGGCACTCATAACAAGAAAAATAATAACAGTGCAACTTAGATTAAGTTTTTATACGACCTCATAAATAACAAATATAAATACTGCGACTATAGACAGTATTTTCTTTAGTTTTGTTACAAATGTAGTTATGTATAATGCATACGACTAACTAAATACTTCTTTTAATTATTAAAATTAAATTTGTTCAAAATGAAACACGTGGAAACGAAATATGTAGCTTAAGTTGACATCAGTCGATACATACCATCCCCCTTCCACACGTAGTATGTCACTTTCAACCAATAGCAAGCACAGACAACTATGAAATTTAATCAATCATCACAATATTACATAATATTGTTTGAATTTTCATTCATTGCTTTCATGGAAACTTCACCCAGTAAAAAACTACATTAAGAAAGTATCCAAGATTTAAAAAAAATTCCCACAAACTTTATGAAACAATAAAATGTCAATTGTGTCGATTATTTCAATCTAAAACATTTTTTCAAAGACTCTTAAGGGTCACACTGCCTACTCTAATTCCATTTTATTGCTTCAGTTGTTCTTAATAATTAAACTGATTTTGTATGAATATAAGAGAAACAGTTTAAAAATTTGATAACTGTACATAATATAGAATAAAATCTATAGGACAGAATGCCAAGATATTTTATAAAATTCTGATATTGTGTCCAGTGCAACGAAAAAAAAAAGGATTTCCCTGAATAACTTTTGAGCTAATGATTGGATCTTCACTTTTTAGTACTCAAGCATAATGGTTTGATGATGTTACCTCAAATATGCTAATTAATTAGTGCAAACGATATTTTAAGTTACGAAAGCAAACTCAAAAACGTACTTTTCTCTGAATACCTCCCCCCCCCCCTGGATTCAGATTTCTGACCACTAAGATATACAGGAGAGCAGCAAACTGGGAAATTTAGTCCCGATAGTTTGGTCAAAAGAATGCTCTTAAGTTTGGACCCTGAATGTTAATTTTTGCGCATTTCACCATATCTCGCCAACTTTCTAAGGAAATTAAAAGAATTTAGCACACAAGTGTAAAATTTGTTTATACAAAGATAATTCCACGCAAAAAAAAATATATTTTAGTAAATATTTATTATTTTTTATCTAATAATAGATGGAAAAATTTTGAATTGTAAGGTAAACTATTTTTTACGTTATCTAAAAGAATATAATTTTGTATTTTAAAATAAAAAATTTGAGCAAAATCTGACTTTTTTAAAATTCAATTTCTCAGGAACTATTCAACCGGTTTTGCATATTTGATAACTACACTTGATTAATTGGCACATTTGAGGTCACCCGCTCGAACCATTAAGTCCTAGAACCTAAAGATCATTAGATCATAAGTTATTCAGGGTGAATCTTTTTTTGGCACACTGTACATTGCCAGTAATATATGCTATAATAGGTCTCCTTATTTAATACCTCATCCCGATTCAATTTCATTTCAAACTGATCCCCTAACATGTATTCAAATGTCCTTTTAGACTAATGTTTGATAAATTAAATAGTTAGACCTAAAAGTGAATCTCCAGTGAAGAAGTTAAAGAAATTATTTTGTCTTTTCTAATTCTAAGACTCGAGAGTAAAATAACATATCCAACTGAGTTACCTACCAGGATCTGTGTAAGGAAATGGAGGAGCAGGAAAATCATCCCTTTCAATAGGAGGAACATATTTTGGATCAGGTTTAACAGCATCTGGATAATGAGCTAATTCAATTGGTTCTTCATTATTCATGTGAGGAGAACGTGGTCTAGGTGTTGATGATTGAATAGTATCAACTGTAACAATAGTGAACCTTTTTAGTGAAACATTTAGTACAAACTATTAAGTATAAGAATGGAGAGTACAAATTTTTATATTTAGAAGAAAAAAAGAATAAGTATTTAGATCAAAAATGCCTAGTTTTAAGAACTGATAAATTGAATGGGTATCAAAGTACTGATTTGATTGTTTTAAAATTTGATGATTTTAATGTTTTTATCACATTAATTCAAGAGACAATTTGTATGTAATTTATAAAATGTATGCATTTACGTAATACTCAGTTGAATTATTTGTAGCAGGAAAAATAAAATTAATTCACTGCTTTCAAAACCATTTTTGCTAAAAAATCATTTAACTTGATAAGAAAGATTATAAAATATTATTTGACACACTTTGCATTCAATTCAAATGTTAAAATATGTTTCAAAAAATAATGTTTTTTTTCTTTTTAATCTGGATAATTTATTATAATTCATTTCATAGCAGGAATATAAAAGAATAATTTTAAAGAAAGTATTAATTATCTTACCTAAGACCTGCATTCCTGAAATAAAATAAATAGAAAAATATTAAAATCCTTCAAAAACTATAATACAAAAAAATTTAAGAAAATAATAATCAAAATTTACCTTGTTTAGAAGCAGGTCGAGAAATAGGAGTTCTTCTTCGACCACTACCACCAGTATCTATCATTACAGACACATGTTATTAATTAAATTACAATAATTAAAAAAAAAAACATTAAATGCCAAGTATTTAAAAACCAAACTCAAAATAATATTTAAAATTTAAATAATTTGAAATTTTATAAACTAGTCAAAAATCAATAGGTATTTGTCATATAGAAATAAATATGCATACCATATTTCCTAACATTTAAAACTTAATTATTATCTTATTTAATACTTTTCTCAGCCCTGCAGCCACACCCTCTGGGTACTTTTCAAAATCTTTTATACTTAATAATTAATATGTACATAAAATTGAAGATTTCTTTTTAATTTGGAGCTCCATAATTTTTATTATTTATTATATTTGATTCTTTATTAAACAATTTATGATGTTTAATATATAATTGCTGGTCTGTATCACTCTAGATTGTAATAATGGACAATTGAAAATACATAATCAGTATTTTTTTAAATCAGCAAAATCCCACGATAATATTATTATAAACATAAAATATTATGCACAAAAAAATATTTAGTGAAAATCAGCAGTGACAAAAAAAAATTACTAAAATTTGCAATTCGACTTTCTTATTTCTTAATAATATCGTACGAAAATAATAGAATTTAAAAAGCAACGTGGATATCTGCAATGATAACTGTGAAAAAGTCTATTGAAGAAACGGCGGTAACGCCAAGTTAAAAAGTGATTAATGAAAGCACAAAATGAATATTGTGTATCTTAATAATATATAGGAAATATAGGAATTTAAAAACACTAAGAAAATTTTTAGTAATAATAGTAGATAGAACGATCAGAGCACCTCATGGACTTACAACAAAAGTGATTAATCAAAAGTGTAATTCAATTTTGCATGTCGTAATAGTATTAGAATTTAAAAAACATTGAGAAAATCAATCGCATCAACTGCAATTCAAAATAAAACTGAAATATGGATTTACAATAGTATCGAGCACCCCTAAAAAAAAGATAACCGAAATGCGAGATTCGAAATTTCCGTGTCGTAATATCATATAAAAAAATTTTTCTATATGAATAATAAAAGGGGGCAAATATATCATTGATTAAATAATTCTTGTTACAAATCAGAATTTACAACAAAAGCGATACACATTAACATATAAGTTTAAAAAAATTAGAAGAAGCATTATTTTTCTTTTAAACGTTTTACATTTCGGAATTACTTTTAAGATTATCAATTTTACTTTTGTGTTTGCTTCAGTAGTTCATTAATTTGAGCTGAAATTACTATGGAATTTATTTTTCTTTTAAGTTTATCTGAAGTTGGATTTTTCTCCAATAAATCCAAGAAAGAAAAAAAGAAGAAGAGGATACTGGTAAGGATGGAATAAGAGCCTCGTTAAAGAGATTTTGTGTAACGAATTTAAATTTTAGATGAGCAGAACTCCAAGAAAATTTTGTCAGAACATAAACTATTAATTCTCAGAAGTCCACAAATCAACAACAGTCTGGAGATTTGAGTAATTCTATGAATTAGAGGAAGAATCTGCTGATCTGAAGAATCTTGATGTTACAAGCAAAACATAAAATTATGTTTTTTTCGAAGAAAAAAAATATATATCTTCATATTTTACATATGTCAAAAATAAGCTCCTATTTTTCCTTATTTCTACACTTTTTTTTTTAATTATATGCAAGTTTAGTTGATTGTTTTTTTTTTCTTCTTAGATTTCAAATTTTTTTTTCTCTAAAATAATGTTCTGTTAAGACCTTTGAAAGATTGCATTTTCATAATAATATTCTTGCCAATTTTTCTGCCAACAATAAACTTGGCAGAAATATAAGGATTGATTTTTATATGTAGATGATTATCTGGTAAAATCTTCCTTGTATCCTCTTCCAAACCATTTTAAAGCAAGATTAAAATGTTTTTCATTTATTTCATTTTTTTTAAAGATACATCAATGACATCTTATTATTTTTGAAACAAGAAGCAATATAACTAAAATATTATACCAAACCCCATAAACATTTCCAAAAACATTGTATTTGATAACGAAAAAATAAATCACTTACCTGGAGGTCGGTGAAACTGCGGAGATTTGGGAGGATGAGGCTGTAGAGGACGCCTTAGATATCCTTGAGTAGGTTCAGACGTTAAATAACTAAATGTGTAAACTCTGCTTAAATCTGTTATTAAAGGATCCTTTTCGAGGAACATACCAGGACTAGTTCTTCCATACTTGAGAAGAAAAAAGCATTTTTAATATGATAGCAAACCTCGTTTTTTTAAAAACTACATTAGGTTTTGGACGTCCTTAAAATTTGAATTTATTCAAACGTATTTTTTATGAAATAGATTGAGTGGACCCTAAATACTAATTCAAATATAGATTAAACAGATCTTTTCGATCAAAGCTAGCATTTTTTTTTTAAATTCTACAATGTAGGTTCTCCAGCATTTGAGTTTTTTGATGTACATAATTATCAACTGCAGTAAACTGAGGCTAAAATTTTTAAAATTCTGATTAAACCTTTATCAAGACTAATTATTTCTCTCTTTGATCTTTACCGTATCTGATTGAATATGGATTATTCGTACATCTGGTGCAATGTACATTATTAATATATCTGGTTCAATGTATATCATTCATGTATCTGAGTGGTGGACAAAATTCTGTTACTTCGAATTTATTCAAACATTAAAATATTATCTTTGCTATCACTAGAAAAATATTTTCTGAAACTACAGAAATTCCGTTGCAGATGAAAGATATGTCCATGTCTAAATAAGGTGAAGTTTAATTAATTCTGACAAGTAATTTCTGTGCTACAAAGTTATATATTTATCACATGTTTGCAAAACCTTAAATAATGGAAGAAAAAACTTTTCCAGCATATGGCAGCAGAAAAGTTTTCTTAAGCTTTGGGAAGCCACAAAAAATTTTGATTTTAGATCAATCAGTCTTAATAATGAAAAGACAAATAAAGAAAATTATATATAATATTTACCATCATTTCTGAATTAAAAAACATTTGATGTTTTGTACATTTTGTTTTCTTTACATTTTTAAATTTTATTATAAATTCAAAGTTTATTGATTTATTTTTTCAAAGTTCAAAAACATTGAAATTAAGTTTGAAAACAAGTTATGGATTTAGCTCTGCTAGTCATGCAGATTTTTATCAATTTAATTAAATTTTGACTACAAGCAAGTGAGCAAAGGGCTTTTAAGCCACAGTCTATGAACTACTACCTTAAATGTATTTCATAAATAACTGCATATTTTTAACATAAAAGATAACTTACTACAAGATCTATAGCCTGTAATTGAAAATATTTTTTTTTTTTTTTTTTTTTTTTTTTTTTTTTTTNTTTTTTTTTTTTTTTTTTTTTGTTTTTTCAATTTCATAAAAATGCATTTTTGAAATTTTTGGTCATTTCTTTTTTAAATATTACATTTCAAAAGTACATTCAAACTAATAAAAACTCCGTGTTAAAGTGTTCTAGAAGAGTAGAGAATTCATAAAAAAATAATAATTGCTTGGATAGGAACAACAACTTAAATAAATCAAAACAAAATAAAAATAGCTTTAAAAGTAAAACATTAATCGTTAATCTTCTCAAAAACTAAACCAAAGTCTTATTACAACGACAATATTAAAATTATTTTTAAAAAAAATCTAAAACAGTTAGCAACATAACTATTTCATTTAAATATTTGTAATCAATTGTTTAACAATTTTTTCAAACGTAGAGCAGTAAAATATAATTTTGAAAATACAAATATAAACACGAAAATAAAATTTTATGTGTTTAAAGGTTATGTGTTATCAAAATGCTATTTAAAATTTAAAAACAAATCAAACAAAAAAAATAAAGCAAGTCAAACATTAGCAAATAAAAAAAATAAAAAAGAGGAAAACAAAACAAAACAAACCTGTCTAGTAAGTGAACTATATGGACTTGTGGAACGAGAACTTGAAAGACTAGGGGAATAGGGCGGGTACTGCAGCAAAAATTATGCAATTACTTTCAAGAAATAGCAAATCAAAAAGAAACAAAGCAAAATCAAAATATAAGCATTCACAACAAAAAAAAGGGAAAAAAATCATAATCCAATGCAATATAAAAAGCAAAATATTAGGTTAAATTCAAAGAAGTAATAACATTGTAGCTACACGTACATGTCCATCTAATATACCATTTGATTTGTGATCATCATCAAAATCATCATCCAATTTTCCATCAGGAGAGGGTCCACAACGAGGATGCCAAATAGCCCCACCTAAAGTATAGAAAAAATTACTTCAAAATAGGGGCACTGCATATAAATGAATTTTAAAAAATTTTTAATAGAAAGTATTTAAAGAAAAAACATGTAGATTTTTTTTTTTTTTTAATATATATATATAATGGAGAGTTGCCAAATTTAGAGCAGAATTTTATTTGTATCTAAGAACGCATTCTAGAATATTAAATAAAACCTCAGAAAGCAATAAGATATTACTTGATTAAAAAACTTTATTGGATTCAAAAACATACAGATTGGATATAACTGTTGACAAGCTTCAAGAGCTCAAAAATAAGTGCCCAGATGTGAATCTTCTCATTCACATCTGGCAAGACTATCATCTATTTTTGAGCGCTTGACACATGTCTACTGTTACATCAAATCTGTATATTTTTGAAATGAAACACACATTTTAGAATATTGGTTGTAGCGACAAATTGTGCTCATTTTAAAAATACTGCTTTGCAATTTTTTTCTTCCTGTGACCAGTGCCATCTTTTAATTTGTAACTACTTTTCAAGTTTAGTTGGAGAAAAAAAAATCTTTCTTAGTTTCATAAACAGAAAATTGTGCATTTCTTATCTCCTTTTACTTTTTAATGATTTTTCAAATCATCAATCATTTTTGACACCTACTGAATCACCTGCTTAAAATTTCTTTTGCTGTCTGTTTTTAAACAAATGGATTTATTTTTTTATTTTTTATGAATGGTACAGTTTGTAAGTTCAAATTCTATTTTAAATAATTAAAACAATAATAAATTTTTTAATAATGTATACATTAATAATTTACTAAATAAATACTCAATTTCTGAATGTCTTCACAAAAACAAGTTCATTAAAATTTTTATAATTAATTAAGGGGATAATTCTCTTACAAAGAGTTTATTTTAGATAGACTAAATTTAATCTGATTATCTAGGTTTGTAGACATAGTTCCTTGAAATCAAAATTCAACGTAAGAATTTAAAAATGATTGCTGTAAGTTTTTTGGCTTGTGAACTTATTGTAAAAAAATATTTCATAAAAAGTGAAAGGTACACAATTCCTTATAGTACATCATTAGAAAATTTGAATAGGAATTTTGATACTTCAATTTGCCGAGAGAATATTATAAATGTCATACATAATAGTATACATATTATTAGATAAAAAAGAAAAGCAGTTGATTTACTTTGCAAATACATTTCTTCTCCATCACCAAAAGGATCCCCGCACTTGGAACACCGAGCACAAGTAGGATGAAAATGATGATTATCTCCAGCCTTTCAAAAAAAATTAAAATATATAAATGAAGTTGCAGATTTTCAATAATCACAAGTCAGTTACAAAAAAATTTCAAAATAAAAACTACCACCCATTTAGTGTACATCGCAACCGAATCTCACATTATCATAATTGCCAACATAAACAGTAAAAAATTCAGTAAATTTTACAAAATATAAATTTTATGATAAGAAATGAATAAACAAAATAATTTAAATATGGGGAATGAATTTCAGGGATTTTTATAGTCATCATAATATAAAAACTTGCCGGCCAGGTGGCCGAGTGGTTGGCGTGCCTGACTGCGGAGCCGATGGTTGCGGGTTCGAATCCCGCTCAGGGCATGGATGTTTCTTTCTCTCTGTGTTCTATGTCCTTTCTCCTTTGTGTGAATGTGACCCGCCCTATAAACGGGTTTGTGGTTGTGTGACGTGGGCGACGCTGCTCCACTGCCGTGGCTTCGCCGCAGGTGCCCACTGGGTAACGAGAAGAGAGTAGCAGTTCTGGCACTCCTAACCAATGGGACAATACATCCCAAGTGCCCGCCATTGAAAAAAAAATAATAAATAATATTAAAACTTTATAATACACTAATAACTATAAATGGTCTGCAATGTTTTTCATTTATGATTGACATTAAATGAACTTAAATTTGAAATGTTTTTCATTACGTTAATTTATAATTTTGAATATTAATAGACAAATAATTTATTATTGATACTTAAAAGATATTTTAATTAATTTAAAAAGACGGTTCTGAATAAAAATAAACTGAAAATTTTTGAACCAAAATAAAACTTTTAACCAATTACAATAAATGAGGCTAGTTTCATTACGTATTAGTAAAACTTATTTAAATATTCAAGCAAGCAATAAATTGTGAGAAAATTCTATTTCAATAGGGATTTTTTTTAGGAAGCTTTAGGGAATTTTTTGAAATGTAAACCAAAAGAGCAGAAAAAATTGTCAAAATCAAGTTGTCTACAGGTAAATCGAGTGAAGTTGGAAGATATGCATTATTAATGCTTTCAAGAGCATTGCAACACTGAAGAAACAATATTAACAGCTAGATAAAGAAGATTTGTGAGTTGGTTGCTTTCTCCATAAACGAGAAACTCTACTGACCATAGAATCAAAACAAACAAAATCAGGATACGATTAATCTAGTTTTATTTTAGTATTTCATGCTTTTACTTAATAAGAATTATAAGTAAATATAACAATTGATAAGAAAGTTTTTTCCTTTAATTACAATTAAAGAAGTTCACACTAATTTTATTAACTTATATAAAATCATAAATAGTGTTAAGATTCCTATCATTTTAAAATCTAATTTTATTTTATAACAAAAAAAAAANAAAAAAAAAAAAAAAAAAAAAAAAAAAAAAAAAAAAAAAAAAAAAAAGAGAGAGAGAGAGAGAAAATACATCAAAGATTTAAATGCAAACAATGAAACTGTGGAAAAAAAAAGCTGTATGTATGGAGAAAAAAAATTTAAAGATCAACTTATGACTTTTCTCCTTTTCTTGAAATGAAAAAAGTCCATCATAAAAAGATTTGCAGCAACATTTTAATTTTATTCTAATAGTGCATGCATAGCTAAGCATGTTGTGTTTCAAAAAATAAAGGTAACATTAATCATAAAATTGAAACAAGTAATTTTATATTTTTTAGATATGTTAACTACAAAATTGTTTTGCAATTTTTAACATTAAAAATGTGTCAATAATTTGAAATTTAATATGTATTCATTGAAATTTCATAAACACAAAAATATAAAACTTCTGAAAACAAGCATAAAAAACTTAATAAGGAAAAACATTATTTGGGAAAATAGACCTCAGATCAAAATTTTTCTGTAAATATAGACAATATTTTCAGTCCAGAGTAATCAAACACAACTTTTATTGCATTTTATAAAATAAATTTTTTTGTGGAGATTTTGATATCAAACTTGACATAAAATTTTGAATACAACAACAGGGGCTTAATAATGATAAAAGATACATTTAAGTAAACTTACCCTCAGGACTTTACCAATAATGTATCGTTCACAATGATTGCACTTCACACCAAACTGCTTTTGGTAATCCTTTTCACAGTATGGAATTCCATCCCTATTGAAATATAATAATTTTTATAGTTAAATTTAAATAGGTTTAACATACCTAATAAACAAAAACAGAGATATTTTATAGAATGTAGGAAAACATTTGCAGAAATATAGAATAGTTTGTTTGACTGTCATAGTTTTCCAGGTCCTCAAATATCCATTATTTCATGTAAATCCATAAATTCTGAAACAACTAATATTTTCATGACACTAAATTATCACTTAACAGACCTGTTATTTTATTTGATGAATATGTTAATCCCATAGATTCTTTAAGGAACTTGCATTAACTTTCTCAATGTTTCCAATTAAAAATGATGTTCTTAAATTAAATTTTGAAATTTTAACTAATGTACTGCTTATGCTAGTTTGTAGAAAGAATTCTGTAAAGCATAGTTTCTCCATCAAATGTTCAGTTTTCTGAGTAAAAGCAAGTAGACTGTACACTCAACACTAAATATGAAGTTGTAAATTAAATAAATGAACAAATACCAACAAAAAATTTACTTTTGCAGTAAAATCAGATTTATTTTGATAAATGATCTTTATAAATCCCTTTACATACTTAAAGAGTTTTTTGTATTGAAACTTGTAGAACTAAAGAAAAAATAAACAATAAGGCCTAATAAATACATTATAAATAAGTATTTTGCAAATCCAAATGATAAAGTTATAAAATGTTAAAAATATTCTAGGCATTAAGCATTTATTTGTACTTTTCAAAAGTCATACAGTAAAATCACACTATTATCTGATCAAGAAACGTAAAGTTTTAAAATTCTTAAAAGTTTGGCTTAGCTTAGTTTGAAAATTCTATACAGCATTTTATAAATATTTTTTTTAGATTTAGAAAGTGTAATTTTGAAATTAATGCATCATGTTACAGTAGTGCGCTTATTATCAAGAGTCAAAACAATTTTAAAAATTTGATTTTCCAGATTCAGATGCATTGTAAATATATTGTAGTGTGCCTACCATTACAAAATTAAAATTCCAATTCACTAGTACATAAGACATGTTAACTCGAACTAGGGGAACCTTTTCATAGATCAAGGTTGACATCGTTGATATCTACTCTCCCCACAATACAAAATTGATATTGTTAGATATTGTGTGAATAGTGAATATTAATTTTTCATAAAAAGATATAGCAAAACTGAGTCAAATTTAAGAGGCAATCAAAAGATTACAAAAGCATTAATTCAATTGCAATTTTATTGAGAAAGAAAATGGAACTAAAGCAATTCTTATATAAGACGCTAAATCCTCTTAACCACTGGAAAAAAAATCTTTTAACGCATAAAAACATTTAGATTTGCAAAGGGGAAAGATTGCAATTTGTTTATATTTGCTGAGAAAGAGGAGAGGAAGGGATCAAAAAGTACAACTTGAAATAGGTGAAAAACATTTAGCACTTAACAAACAAAATCAACTTCCTTACGTCTAATAAATGTCAAACACAGTAAGATAAAAACATAAAGTATCTGCACACAATCTAAAACTGTCTGCAAGCTCACAATATTTTTTGAGAACAGAAACATTTTATTAAATATACAAAAACTATTTAATATTTTTATTTATTCTTGACAATATATATATANGTAATTTACTGCATTATAAAATAATGGCAGTAAATTTAAAGTTATGTTATAAAAAGTGCTTAAAATAAAGCAGACCATTACCAAGTTCATGTTCTGATTATTTTTAACATTGGGGAAGTAATGTTAAATTCAAAGTTAATAGCAAAAGTTTTTTTATTTTATGTATAAATTTTTTTATAAGCAAAATTTGTTAAATAATATATTATACTTTCAGCATTCAAAAGCATAAATGGGAATGAGGTGCAATTTGAATTTATATTTTATTTTTTAGTTTAATTTTGTTAATTTTTTATGTTACCCATCTATACAAATTTTCACTGCATTTGTGCATTATGTTTTGAATTTGGATTTTAATATTTTCGAAATACAATGTTTATGTTAAAAAAGAAATAATCAAAATTCATTTAAAATATTCTCAATGTATATTATTTTATGTAATGCTACATTGTAAGCATATTGACATGCTTTTGGCTTCATTTTGTTGAAAAAAAAAAGTTTATTCTTTATTTACGATTAAATCATTGCTACAAAAAGAAACCTTTGCTTTTTACGTACACAAGTGTATGCAGCCAATTTGATGTTTTTAGTCCTTTCCATCATTCAGTTATTTTCAAATATTTTTCACTAAAAGAATATATTACCTTAAATTTTTCATGATCTCCTTAAAATTTGTATAATTTATATTATATTGGTTGAAAATTATAGGCAATATTCATTTCATGAAGTAAATTGATACTAATGTTATATGTGAATATTGCTTAAGTATAACATTAAATAATGACACATTCATATTAAGAAACACTTTCGTAGATGCTGATAAGCAAATGGAAACTCACTCTTTCAGCTATTTTATTAAGCAATTCTTTATAACAATTAGGTATTACTGCAAATTTCTGAATATAAGCCAATCAGTGTTTAAGCTGAAGAGCACTCTTGTTATTTGGAAATTCGCCCAAAACTCAAAATTTGTGTATAAGTGGACATAAAAAAAGGCATGCTATCCTTGTAAATAAAAATGTACCCATTCTCTACTTCACAAGCATTTCAGATGAGCATTGCAGATTGGCATCATATCATCAGCCCGACTTTCTTTCCCCTTCTCTTCTTCACCAGGCTTTTCAATTACTATTAGGGATTGAAGTCTGCAGCACTTCAACTTTGCAGAAAGCCAAATTAAAGCATTAGTAATTTCCGGTAAATGGGCCGCGGCCTATACGTGTTTAAAAGTTGGCCTGTCATGATGTGCGGCCTGTACGCCGATGCGGCCTATTCGTAGAATTTTTTTTTATCCCACACCACATGTGAGAATTTTTTGATCACGGTGGTTTTATTCCAAAATAGATGTTTACCGAAAATTTTCCGAAATAACGAACCTAATTCTTAATGTTTACTCTGAAGACGTCTTTTTTTCTTATTTTTTTAAATGAAATTATAGTTTAACACTAGGTTTATGGATGTTTCTTATATATCTATCTCTATGAACACACGTCAATTTGACGCAATAAAAATCTATAACTACGAGGTTTCATTAAAAAAAAATTTTACGGATACGTTGTTGTTGTTAATTTACGTCGCACTAGAGCTGCGCTATGGGCTATTGGCGACGGTCTGGGAAACATCCCGGAGGATGATCCGAAGACATGCCATCACAATTTTGATCCTCTGCGGAGGGGATGGCACCCCCGCTTCGCCAGCTCGACGACCTGCATGCGAAGTAGAACACTTTGTGTTAGCACAGTTTAACGAGGACCAATACCGCACACCCTCGGTCCCTACGCAGACTGATCCAAGTGGGCACACTGACCGCAATCAGTGATGCTGACTTCGGTGATCTGCTGGGAACCGTGTCTTAACGATCAGTCCACTGAGGAACTTTTTACGGATACGATGCAATTTATTAAGCGCTTTTGAAGAAAATAGTCTTCAAAATACAATTACCTCGATCAACAGATAAAAGTCATTACAAGAGATAAAATAAAAATGCAAAAGGGTTTTGTAATTTTCCTTATAAAATTCGAAATGCGTCAAAATGACACATCCCGTAAACCAAGGAAGTTTTCGATTGACGAAAAACAGCATTATGCCGTCTACAAATGGTGTTAAAAAATCCGATTTGTTACTTAAGAATATAAACTCTTTTTGTTCTATGCATCAATCTGATTTTAGATGATCCTTGAAGTTCCGTTAAATTTAAAAAAAAAAACAAAAAAAAAACAATACTTCTGCATAAATAAGCGCGCCTAAGTAAAAAAAATCACGGGAGTTTTTAAATTGACTTCGAGCTGCTTAACTGATGTAAAAACTGTCAAATTGCAACAGAAAAAAAGATTTAACTCGAAAGAAAGAAAAAAAATTAAAAATAGAAGAAAAAAACGATATTCTTCAAAGAATCCCGCTACTGAGTTTATAAGAAATATCAAATATATATATTTTAATTGGAACACTTGCTTCTGTCTCGGAAGCAAAATTCATTCATTTGTTATTAAAATTCATAATTTATTATATTTTTTCTTAAAAGTATTTTTTTCTATTATATTTTACATTGGATTTTATTTTAATCAATTTCAATAAAAAAAAAAGGTAAATTCATCATTCTTCAGAATTTCCTATATCGTCTAAAAATTGAAAATAAATTTTTTCAATATTTTGTTATTTTTCATTATCTGTAAACATATTATAAAATATATATAATACTTATTATAAAATAATGAAAAATAAAATAATTGAAGCTTAAGATTTAGAGACGCAAGATTTTGTCTTATTAGAAATATGTTTCCTTTGTGAATTAATCGTAGTAACCGTACTGTGCAATCGTAGTTTCTTTCTTTCTTTCTTTTTTGAACGAGTTCTCTTATGAAATAGTTTTGATACGATTTTTTTCCCTATATTAAAGCGTTTTGATTATAAAAGATTTAAATTTTTTAATGATAAACAATACGAAACTTCATTTTTAAAATTGGACTTGGATTTTTTTTAATTATAAAGAAACGTGTTCTTTTCAGAATTCATCATCTCGCCTTTTTTATGCAGCTAGAACAGTTTCGTAATAAATAAAGTTTCAGAAACAAAACGAAAAACAAAGACAAAAACCAAAAACAATTTGTTTAATTTTCCGTATGCTCTGCTGACATTCCCAACCCTTATTCTCGAAGGTCATTCATTGTGCAAGCGAGAGCAGGCGGGGGGGGGGGTTGTGGGGAGAAAGAAAGAAACATTTTATCTCCTCCTTCCCAGTTTTAAACATTTCACCATTGGAAGAGGGGAGGGAAGTGGTTCATTTTACTTTTACGCACACTAAATTTATCTTGGGCTGTCAATGTCATAAATATTTTGGACATCCTAGAATCTTTCTGCAAGTTCCGCCCCTCCTACGACTGCCGTGATCATTAACCTTCTCTTTAGCAATTCATTTTCTTTTTCTGAAGGTCACTGAAAGGTTTACATTTCAAATGCATTCTTACGTTTGACCGTTAGCGAATGAAATAGATATTCTTCCTAGTGGGGTGGAGAGGGAGTCCGTGGGAAGGGGGCCCCGCATGTATTTCAACATATTGCACTGCTTTCCTCACATTCTTTAGTTCGTTTCCCCTACTAGTTCTACAGAATTCCATTCATACATTTCCTTCTCTTTCTTTGGCCTTCTTTTCTTCCCCTTCCCCTTCAAAGCATGAAAAAATTGTGTGCGTAAAACTGACATTTAGGAGTTTGCATTTCTTGTTAAACTTAGCTATCGTTCGTTCTTTTCAAAAGTTAGTTACATATTTTACTATAGTTTTAGTATACTTGTCTAACACTTTAGTACTAAATGTCTTCAAAACATCGTAAAAGCTACACTTCTGCTTTTAAATTAAAAGTTGTTTCTAGAGCGGAACAAATCGGAAACAGAGCTGCTGCTCGAGATTTTGAAGTGGATGAAAAATGTGTTCGCAGATGGCTAGCGAATAAAGAGATAATTGCGAAGTTACCCCAGCAAAATCGTGCAAGAAGATCTGGAGTTGTAAAATTTCCTCAATTGGAAAATGATTTGGCGAAATGGATTGAAGAGCAGCGAGAGAAGGGGTTTCCAGTTTCTACAATCAAAATTCGTTTACAAGCAAAATTAATTGCAAACCAGCTGGGCATTCAGGGTTTCAAAGGTGGCCCAAGCTGGTGCTATCGTTTCATGAAGAGAAAAAAGATATCGGTCAGAACAAGGACCACTGCTGGACAAAAACTTCCCGAAAATTGGGAGGAGAAAAAAGATAACTTCTTGAAATTTGTGAAGCACCTCATTGATGAGGAAAAATTTTCTCCCTCTCAAATAATAAACTTGGATGAAACGCCATTGACCTTTGATTGCCCTGCTAGTAGAACAGTTGATAAAATAGGGACAAAGAGTGTTCCAATAATTACTACAGGGAATGAGAAAACATCGTTTACTTGTGTATTAGCTTGTTCAGCTGATGGGAAAAAACTAAGTCCAATGATTATTTTTAAGCGCAAAACAATACCAAAAGGCAATTTCCCCCCCAACATAATTGTGAAAGCAAATGAAAAAGGTTGGATGTGTGAAGAAATTATGGTAGATTGGCTGGATCTCGTGTGGAGAAGACGACCTGGGGCTTTTTTTCAAAGCAGAGGTTTGCTTCTAATGGATTCAATGACTTCCCACCTTCTCGAATCTGTGAAAAGCAAATGTAGAAAAGTAAACGCATCGCTCGCCATAATTCCCGCTGGCTTAACGAAAAAATTACAACCCCTTGATTTAGGGGTTAATCATTCATTTAAGGTAGAAATGCGTAGTCAGTGGGAAAAATGGATGAGCAATGGATTGCATACTTACACTAAAAGTGGAAAGATGCGCCGTGCATCTTATGAAGAAGTTGCCTGGTGGGTGTCCAACGCCTGATTGAGGGGTAAGGAAACCACTATAACGTCTGGTTTTAAGGATGCAGGACTGGACTTTTGCGTAAAAAATGTTCCTTCCTCAATGTCGGATGAGGAAGATGATATAGAAAATGAACTGGATCATGATTTACAACGTTTGTTTTGTTCTGACAGTGAGGAATCAGATTTCGATGGTTTTGAATAAATATAGGATCAAAAATATTTGAAAAATATAAATAAATAAATGCTGATTTATTTTGTGATTAGTTTATTTTTTTATCGTTTATACATCCTCAACTTATGATTTTAATTGGTTATACTTGTTTCATCTGTAAGTAAGTATCATTTTCAAATCTTTCTTTTTATGATAAGTATACATAAAAATGTTGATGATAATATAATGAGTATATATAAAAAAAAGATATATCAATAACTGTTTTCTAAGTATAGAGTTTATGTTTTAAAGATTATTATTTTTTCTGTCTATTTTCACGCATGTGCCATTTGATAAAAATCGATGATTGATCGAAAAAACGAAAGTGCGGCCTTTACGACGGTGCGGCCTATAAGATGAAAATAGAAATTTTTAGCGATGTTTTTTGCGGGTGCGGCCAGTACGGCGGTGCGGCCTATTTACCGGAAATTACTGTAATTGAAAATTTTTTTTCCATCTGTTTTTTCATTTCATAAAAATGCGTTTTTGAAATTTTTGATCATTTCTTTTTTAAATATTACATTTCAAAAGTACATTCAAACTAATAAAAACTCTGTATTAAAGTGTTCTAGAAGAGTAGAGAATTCATAAAAAATAATTGCTTGGATAGGAACAACAACTTAAATAAATCAAAACAAAATTAAAATAGCTTTAAAAGTAAAACATTAATCGTTAATCTTTTCAAAAACTAAACCAAAGTCTTATTACAACGACAATATTAAAATTATTTTTAAAAAAAATCTAAAACAGTTAGCAACATAACTATTTCATTTAAATATTTGTAATCAATTGTTTAACAATTTTTTCAAATGTAGAGCAGTAAAATATAATTTTGAAAATACAAATATAAACATGAAAATAAAATTTTATGTGTTTTAAAGGTTATGTGTTATCAAAGACTAATGNACTTGAAAGACTAGGGGAATAGGGCGGGTACTGCAGCAAAAATTATGCAATTACTTTCAAGAAATAGCAAATCAAAAAGAAACAAAGCAAAATCAAAATATAAGCATTCACAACAAAAAAAGGGAAAAAAAATCATAATCCAATGCAATATAAAAAGCAAAATATTAGGTTAAATTCAAAGAAGTAATAACATTGTAGCTACACGTACATGTCCATCTAATATACCATTTGATTTGTGATCATCATCAAAATCATCATCCAATTTTCCATCAGGAGAGGGTCCACAACGAGGATGCCAAATAGCCCCACCTAAAGTATAGAAAAAATTACTTCAAAATAGGGGCACTACATATAAATGAATTTTAAAAATTTTTTAATAGAAAGTATTTAAAGAAAAAAACATGTAGATTTTTTTTTTTTTTTTTGTAATGGGGAAATGCCAAATTTAGACCAGAATTTTATTTATATCTTAAGAACACATTCTAGAATATTAAATAAAACCTCAGAAAGCAATAAGATATTACTTGATTAAAAAACTTTATTGGATTCAAAAACATACAGATTGGATATAACAGTTGACAAGTTTCAAGAGCTCAAAAATAGGTGCCCAGATGTGAATCTTCTCATTCACATCTGGCAAGACTATCATCTATTTTTGAGCGCTTGACACATGTCTACTGTTACATCAAATCTGTATATTTTTGAAATGAAACACACATTTTAGAATATTGGTTGTAGCGACAAATTGTGCTCATTTTAAAAATACTGCTTTGCAATTTTTTTCTTCCTGTGACCAGTGCCATCTTTTAATTTGTAACTACTTTTCAAGTTTAGTTGGAGAAAAAAAAATCTTTCTTAGTTTCATAAACAGAAAATTGTGCATTTCTTATCTCCTTTTACTTTTTAATGATTTTTCAAATCATCAATCATTTTTGACACCTACTGAATCACCTGCTTAAAATTTCTTTTGCTGTCTGTTTTTAAACAAATGGATTTATTTTTTTATTTTTTATGAATGGTACAGTTTGTAAGTTCAAATTCTATTTTAAATAATTAAAACAATAATAAATTTTTTAATAATGTATACATTAATAATTTACTAAATAAATACTCAATTTCTGAATGTCTTCACAAAAACAAGTTCATTAAAATTTTTATAATTAATTAAGGGGATAATTCTCTTACAAAGAGTTTATTTTAGATAGACTAAATTTAATCTGATTATCTAGGTTTGTAGACATAGTTCCTTGAAATCAAAATTCAACGTAAGAATTTAAAAATGATTGCTGTAAGTTTTTTGGCTTGTGAACTTATTGTAAAAAAATATTTCATAAAAAGTGAAAGGTACACAATTCCTTATAGTACATCATTAGAAAATTTGAATAGGAATTTTGATACTTCAATTTGCCGAGAGAATATTATAAATGTCATACATAATAGTATACATATTATTAGATAAAAAAGAAAAGCAGTTGATTTACTTTGCAAATACATTTCTTCTCCATCACCAAAAGGATCCCCGCACTTGGAACACCGAGCACAAGTAGGATGAAAATGATGATTATCTCCAGCCTTTGAAAAAAAAAATTAAAATATATAAATGAAGTTGCAGATTTTAAATAATCACAAGTCAGTTACAAAAAAAAAAAATTAAAAATAAAAACTACCACTCATTTAGTTTACATCGCAACCAAATACTGTCTCTCACATTATCATAATTGCTAACATAAACAGTAAAAAATTCAGTAAATTTTACAAAATAATATTAATTTCATGACAACAGATGCATAATATACTAAATAATTTAAATATGGGGAATTTCAGGGATTTCTATAGTCACCATAATATAAAAATTTTATAATACACTAATAACTATAAATGGTCTGCAATGTTTTTCATTTATGATTCAAATAAATGAACTTAAATTTGAAATGTTTTCCATAATGTTAATCCATAATTTTATGTTTCCATAATTCCATTATGTTTCCATAATTTTGAATAGTAATAGACACATAATTTATTATTGATACTTAAAAGATTTTTTAATTAATTTAAAAAGACTGTTCCGAATAAAAATAAACTGAAAATTTTTGAACCCAAAAAAAACTTTTAACCGATTACAATAAATGAGGCTAGTTTCATTATGCATTAGTAAAACTTATTTAAATATTCAAGCAAGCAATAAATTGTGAGAAAATTCTTTTTCAATACGGATTTTTTTTAGGAAACATTAGGGAATTTTCTGAAATGTAAAAAAATGGAGACAAAACCATAAGACCAGAAAAAATGTTCAAAATCCAGTAGTTTACAGGTAAATCGAGAGAAGTTAGCAGATATGCATTATTAATGTTTTCAAGTGCATTACAATACTGAAGAAACAATATTAACAACTAGATAAAGAAGATTTGTGAGTTGGTTGCTTCCTCCATAAACGAGAAACTCTACTGACCATAGAATCAAAACAAACAAACTCAGGATATTATTAACCTAGTTTTAATTTAGTATTTCATGCTTTTACTTATTAAGAAATATAAGTAAATATAACTATTGATAAGAAAGTTTTTTACCTTTAATTACAATTAAAGAGCTTTACACTGATTTTATTAACTTATATAATATTATAAATAGTGTTATATAATATTATAAATAGTGTTAAGATTCGAATAGTTTTGAAATCTAATTTCATTTTGTAACAAGAAAAAAAAAAGAGAAAAAATACATCAAAAATTTAAATGCAAACAATGAAAATGTGAAAGAAAAAGCTTAGTTTACACTAAGTGTGTATGGAGAAAAAAATTTAAAGATCAACTTATGGCTTTTCTCCTTTTCTTGAAATGAAAAAAAGTCAAATTCTGAGAAAAAAGTGAAGTCCATCTTAAAAAGATTTGCAGTAACATTTTAATTTTATTCTAATAGTGAATGCATAGCTAAGCATGTTGTGTTTCAAAAATAAAGGTAACATTAATCATAAAATTGAAACAAGTAATTTTATATTTTTTAGATATGTTAACTACAAAACTGTTTTGCAATTTTTAACATTAAAAATGTGTCAATAATTTGAAATTTAATACATATTCAGAAACACAAAAATAGAAAACTTCTGAAAACAAGCATAAAAAACGTAATAAGGAAAAACGTTATTCAGAAAAATAGATCACAGATCAAAATTTTTCAGTAAATATAGATAATATTTTCATTCCAGGGTAATCATACAAAACTTTTATTGCATTTTATACAAGAAATTTTTTGTGGAGATTTTCATTTTAAACTTGACATAAAATTTTGAATACAACAACAGTGACTTAATAATGATAAGATACATTGAAATAAACTTACCCTCAGGACTTTACCAATAATGTATCGTTCACAATGATTGCACTTCACACCAAACTGTTTTTGGTAATCCTTTTCACAGTATGGAATCCCATCCCTATTGAAATATAATGATTTTTACAGTTAGATTTAAATAGGTTTAACATACCTAATAAACAAAAACAGGGAATCAGAAACATTTTATAGAATGTAGGAAAACATTTGTAGAAATATAGAATAGTTTGTTTGACTGTCATAGTTTTCCAGGTTCTCAAACATCCATTATTTCATGTAAATCCATAAATTCTAAAACAACTAATATTTTCATGACACTAATTTATCACTTAAACAGACCTGTTATTTTATTTAATGAATATGCTTATCCCATAGATTCTTTAAGGAACTGAGAATAGAAAATATTTGCATTAATTTTCTCAATGTTTTGAATTAAAAATGATGTTTTTAAATTAAATTTTGAAATTTTAAATAAGGTACTGCTTATGTTAGTTTATAGAAAGAATTCTGTAAAGCATAGTTTCTCCATCAAATGCTCAACCAGTTTTCTGAGTAAAAGCAATTAGACTGTACACTCAACACTAAATATGAAGTGGTGAATTAAAGAAATGAACAAATACCAACAAAAAATTTACTTTTGCAATGAAATCAGATTTATTTTGATAAATGATCTCTATAAATCACTTTACATACTTAAAGAGTTTTTTGTATTGAAATTAACTTGTAGAACTAATGAAAAAATAAACAATAAGGCCTAATAAATACATTATAAATAAGTATTTTGCAAATTCAAATGATAAAGTTATAAAATGTTAAAAATTATTCTAGGCATTAAGCATTTATTTGTACTTTTCAAAAGTCATACAGAATGGAATTAAAGCAATTACAGTGAATTCGCGATCACTCGAATCTGATAGGACTACTGACGAAAAACTTCGACATATCGGAAGTTCGACTTACCGTTAGTTTAGGTTTTGGACTTTCAAAATATTGTCGGATTATTTAATTAATGCTTATTAATTACAAATCTTCTAAATGCTTACAATATTTAAGATCATTTTTCTGACAAGCCATTTACGATAAGACTGTTTGAAGCACTTTATGATACCCTGGTCCATCGGCTGCAACTTTGCTGTTGTGTTTGGCGGGAGAAACTGCAAGTTTACTGCTTTCAAATTAGGTAGATCACTA